AATTCAGGGTGTGATTGCATTTGGAATAATATGTACAGCTCTGGTCGCCCACCTCAAAAGGGACATTGCAGGGCTGCAAAAAGGTTCAGAAAAGGGAGATGGAGCAACTATGATGAAAGGTTTCAGTGTTGGGGGTGGGTAGAAAAAGGCAGGTTAAGAGGCTTCTGAAATGATGAATGATGTGGAGAACATGGAAGTCTGACTGTAAGCTCCCTGGGGCAGAGACTTGTCCCCTTGTACTTTGTAAGTACAAAAGCAATGACAAACCTAGACAGCATCTTAAAAAGCAGAGACATCATCTTGCCAACAAAGGTCCGTATAGTTAAAGCTATGGTTTTCCCAGTAGTGATGTATGGAAGTGAGAGCTGGACCATAAAGAAGGCTGATCACCGAAGAATGGATGCTTTTGAATTCTGGTGCTGGAGGAGACTCTTGAGAGTCCCATGGACTGCAAGAAGATCAAACCTCTCCATTCTTAAGGAACTCAGCCCTGAGTGCTCACTGGAAGGACAGATCGTGAAGCTGAGGCTCCAAGACTTTGGCCACCTCAGGAGAAGAGAAGACTCCCTGGAAAAGACCCTGATGTTGGGAAAGATGGAGGGCACAAGGAGAAGGGGACGACAGAGGACGAGATGGTTGGACAGTGTTCTCAAATCTACCAGCATGAGTTTGACCAAACTGCGGGAGGCAGTGGAAGACAGGAGTGCCTGGCGTGCTCTGGTCCAGGGGTCACGAAGAGGCGGACACAACTAAACGAGTAAACAACAACAACTTTGTTACATGCCAGGCACAAGGAAAAGAAACAGCCTGGTAGTGTTCCCCGCCTGAACTGGGAGCTGCTGCTCTCTCTGCCAGGACTTGGGCAGGGGCCTCTCCCAGGCTGGCCACCAAAATGCCTTCTGCCTGGAGATGCTGGCTCTAGGCCTGCCAGCCAGCTGGGTCCCCCGTCTCCAGGAGGGCCTGAGAGACCAGTACCCAAGGACAGAAGGCCAGGAAGCAGGAGGTGGAAAGCGCACCTGCGGCAGGAGCAGACTTAGGGGCGGAGAGAGAGGCCAGTCTTGTGTTGACAACCCCGTTTCCAGGCAGGAGCAGGCTGCTCCCAGGCACACATCCTCCATGGAGAACGGGGAGTCCCATCAGAGCAGCTCTGCAGCCAGCGAGGGCCCCTCCCCTCCTCCTGAAGCCAAGTCCCAGGCTGGCCTCCACTAGTGAAAGATGGCGGGGGCACCACTCCCTCCATGCCCCCCCTTGGTCTTGCTCAGGGCTCTCCCGCCTTTGCTTTGGGACTTTAAAAGGCAACTATTTAAACCATTTATTAAATTCAGGCATCCACCTGTGATGGATTAACCACGGTTAACCACAATTTGCCGGCTGCTCCAGAAGAAAAACATTTTTAAAAGCCAGATGCGAATGATGTTAACGATCTATCAATCTACTGGAAATTAGCAGCAACTATGCTTTGATCTGAAATGTCTTAAAGGCAGCTGGACAGACCAGGCTGCAACCTGAACTGTGAGACAGGCTTGCCAGCAGCCAGAGTGCTGACCACTCTCTTGGCGTGGGGCAGAGGGGTCTGGGTGTGGGTGGTCTGGTCTGGGCGGGCAGCTCCACCCACAGACCCCTGCAGCCAAAAGCCAGGCCACACCCTCCCTTTCGAGGAAGTGCAGCGCACACAGATTAGCCAGAACACTTTGCCCTGCGCTAATCAGCCCCAGGCAATAAAGCCTCTAAGTTCCTGACCCATTTTCACCATAAGCCGATTCACAGCTATTTATAGTGCACACACACAGAGGCTCCCAAGGTCGCCCGTCAATGGACTGTGTCCCCGCTGAGAGAGCAAGCACAGGCACTCAAAGGCCATCCCAAAATGACCGAGGGAACAGAGTGGCTCCCCTCTGAAGAAAGGGGACGGCATTTGGGACTTTCCAGCTAGAAGAAAAGGCAAGCAAGAGTCTGCGGCATGATAGAAGTTTAAAAAAGGGAGAAAGTGGATAAAGAACAGCTTTTCTCCCTCTCTCACAAGGCTAGAACTCCCAGAATCACAGAGCTGCAGACTTGGAAGGGACCCCAAGGGGTCATCCAGTCCACCCCCTGAAACGCAGGGACGTCAGCTAAAGCATCCCTGGCAGAGGCCACCTGACCTCTGCTTAAAAAGCTCCACGGAAGCCGAGGCCACCACCTTCTGAGGGAGTCCGTTCCACTGCTCCTCATGGACACCAACGCAGCGGCGGACCAAGCCGGTCAGGGCCAGCCGGGGCAGGATGCTCCGTGGGGCCTCCAAGGAGTATGCCTGCCTCCTCCCATGTAGCTGCCCTACAGCTGGGGGAGAGAGGCAGTGGAGCCTGCGCGTGCTCAAGACAGCAGGTCTCTCCCAGGAGAGACACGTCTCAGGCGCACTGCAGGCCCCACGGTGAGTACCGACTGGCATTTTGTCACCCCCCTCAGTGGTGACACCCAAAGCGGCCCGCCTCCGCTGCAGCAATGAAGCTGAATGTTGGAAGATTCAGCTGAGATAAAAGTACTTACAGTGGTGCCCCGCAAGACGAATGCCTCGCAAGACGGAAAACCCGCTAGACGAAAGGGTTTTCCGTTTTGGAGGTGCTTCACAAAACGAATTTCCTATGGGCTTGCTTTGCAAGACGAAAATGTCTTGCGAGTTCCTGCGGGGTTTTTTCCCTCCCCCCCCTTTTTCCCAAGCCGCTAAGCCGCTTATCAGCTGATCCGCTAAACCGCTTAACAGCTGATCGCGAAGCCGCTTATCAGCTGATCCGCTAAGCCGCTTAACAGCTGATCCGTTAAGCCACTAAGCCGCTTATCAGCTGATCCGCTTAACAGCTGATCCGTTAAGCCACTAAGCCGCTTATCAGCTGATCCGTTAAACCACTAAGCCGCTTATCAGCTGATCCGCTAAGCCGCTTAACAGCTGATCCGTTAAGCCACTAAGCCGCTTATCAGCTGATCCGCTAAGCCGCTTAACAGCTGATCGCGAAGCCGCTTATCAGCTGATCCGCTAAGCCGCTTAACAGCTGATCCGTTAAGCCACTAAGCCGCTTATCAGCTGATCCGCTAAGCCGCTTATCAGCTGATCCGCTAAGCCCGCTAATAGCGCTAATCCGCTAATGGGCTTGCTTCGCAAGACAAAAAAACCGCAAGACGAAGAGACTCACGGAATGGATTCTTTTCGTCTTGCGAGGCACCACTGTATTCAGGCAGCGCATAACTCTGGGGAATTTGGCTCCCACAGGAGGCAGTCCAGGCAACTCCCGATTTTGTGGGAGTTGCATTCCTGGTCCCCGTGTGCATCGGAGGAGTGTGCATAAGCCTGCCCCACCCTGTTTTGGGGCCACGGCAAGGAGTGTGTGCCCGTGTCAATTGGGCGCGTGTAAAACGGTCACTGCCTGCTATAGGCATCAACTTGGATGGTTTCAAAAGAGGATTACAGGAATTCAGAGAGGGCTACCAAGGGCCACTAGCCTCAATGGCTAAGCTCTGCCTCCGTGGTCAGAAGCAGCAACGCTTCCAAATCACAATTCGTGGAAAGCACAGGGAGAGCGCGAGTTCTGGTGCTCGAATCCTGCTTTCAGGTTCCCACAGGCATCTGAATGGCCCCTGTGAGACCAGGATGCTGGGGGCTTCGCAGGCCAGACTGCTTCCCCTATTTCTGCAGGTGCAGGCCCATCAACCCAGCGCTGCAGAGTATTCAGGCTTTGTGCTGCCCCGACACAAGCACGCAGGCAGCAAGGAACGTTCTCCACGCAAGAAGGAAAGTCTAGCACTTACCCGTCTAGGAGGACGAAGAGCAGAGCAGCTGGCTGGGCTGCCACCGTCAGAGGAGAGGGCAGCGACTGAGGTCTGCAGCTGGTGGAGAGATTGCCCACACGGCCAGCATCTTCAGCCTCCTGTCTTCAACGGGAGATGAGCGGCCTGTTCTTCCACCTTGCAAGGACCTTTCTGAGCTCGGCTCTTTCCAGACCTAAGCCGCAGCAGAGGGTTAGTTTCAACGCTTGACATTCCTGGTGCCTGGAAGAGCGGGAAGCTGCCATTTCCAGGCCATGTATCCAAGCAAAAGGGGCAGGATCACGCCCACCCACCCTCACCTGAGGACTGCCCCCTACACTATCTGCTGGTGTCAGCCCAGCCTACCCTCAGGGAGAGACTGTGAGGAGCCAGCCTGGAAACCCAGGGACCGCAAGGTGTCCCGAGTGCCTCCGACGGGGATGCTTGAAAAGGTTAGACGAATTAAGAGACGAAGGCTAACCATGACTACTTCTTCTGGTCATGGCGTCTATGCACTCCCCCCAGTATCAAAGGCAGCATGCGTCTGAATACAAGTTGCTGGAGATCGCAAGCCCGAGGAGGAGGCTGGCGCATCAGTGCCCAAAGGATCCTGGACCAGGCAGGCCAGCAGGTGCTGTTCTGATCCTCAGACAAAGGCACGCCAACGTCTTGAGATGCTATGCCCTTGACGGAGGCTGCTGACCCACCCTCCTGGGCTCTCCCCAGCAGGCTGCTGGGGTTCCCCCCCTTTGCCCGGGGGGAGGGAGTTTTGGCCTAGACAAAAGCCCTCCTTCCTGCTCCACATTCTTCAGCCTCTCCTGGTCTGGCTGGAAGAGGTCCCACTCGCTTCCTTCCTCCAAGTAGCAGTCCCCCCTGCGCAATGACACTGCACAGCGCAGCCCCTCAGCCCAAAGCCCAACTGGTTCAGGATGTGTGCTAAGTGGTTGCCGCTGTAATCTCAGAGCAGAGGACCGGTGGGCTGGTCGCTCAGGAGTAGTTTGGAAAATCCAAGAATGGCAGATGCCAAGCTTGCCAGACAGCCTTGCCACCTTCCTTTCACAAATGCCATCCTCCTCCTCCTCTGTTACCTTATACCACACCACCCTGGGACCCCTCCCCTGCATACTGTCTCTTCCAAGCATCCTCTGGCTGAAAAACTGCACCTGGGGGGGGGGGCATCATTTCTGTTACAAAGGGATTCCACACCAGAGCCAAACAACAGCAGCCTTTAAAATCACTGCATCATTTAATGTCAGCAGTACAATGATAGGAGACTTGAGTCTGGATGACATTGTTGGAAGACAAATGTGTGATACAAAAGAAAGTAGAGAGCCATGCAACCAAAGATTCACTGTAAAAATACCGGTACAATATATACAAACCCCATTTCAAATAGTATTTACATTTTATAGCATGTTTATAAAGCTCTGGTAGATGACCAATTTCATCAATTAATTTTTTTGCCATTTGTGTCTATTGAAGTGATTTTACAGTTTTTACAAAAGATCAGTTTTTTTTATACAAATGTCACTGAGCATCTCTATCTAAATAAGCACGCAAGACAGAATACTTCACAAAGAACCTCCCCGGTTAAAGTTACACTCAAAAACTTTACACCAGTTTGAGAGCTATAGCTGCACCAAGGAGCCCTGGAAATGATAGTTTGGGGAGGCTGCTGAGAATTTTGTTCTAGTTCACTGTCCCTCCCGCAGGACCTACAGCAGCTAGACCTCAATGCTTGTGCATAGAGTCAGAACGGTGAAACGGTTGCTAAGTTTGTAGAACGGACAATTGGCTTAACCGTCTCAGCTTTCACTGAGGAAAACTGGTTTAAGTTTGGAATGAGATGGAACACGTCCCTCCTATTCTTAAACCAGTTCCTCCAATACACTGCGGCTTTTATGCTCCCGGGTAAGAGCCAAACCACATCTCCATTAAATGAATGTGCCTGAAACAGGAGGATTTGCAGCGGCACAGGTCTGGGGGAACGACCAACCTTTCAAGGTGTCCTGATGGCCCCTTTTAAAGTAAACACTGCCAAGTTCAGCACCCACAACGTTCCCAGCAATGCAAATGCCTTAAAGCTGTTTTCCCAACCCTAAATACCTTTTTCTCCGAATGAAAGACACCCCACCACTTCTCATACATAGATACTACACGGTAGAGAGAGAAGACCTTCTTACAGCTAGTCAGTTTCAGCTAAGACACACTCCGCTCACGGTGTTTACCGCCTTCACCACTCAAGACTATGACCTCCACGCAGGGGGAGAGACCAACCTGTTCCAAATCTTTGGGGATGCTGTGTGCTGAGCATGGTTGCAGGATGCTTCCTTGACCACGCTGGGTCGCTAGGACAGACTCAGTCAAGGCAGAGGGGAAGCCTCGGCTGCCTCTTTGTTTTCTGGGTAGGTTCCTTGCACAGAAAGGGCACAAGCACCTCGTCTCTGCTGAGCTGACAGAGCTCATGTTTTTCAGAACACTGCAAATAGCTGCGAAATACCCTTGCTGTTCAGAAATACTTTTTCCAGGCGAGCATCCAGTCTCTCTCCTGCCTTCAAGTGCAGATGGACAAGTGAGAAGGAAGACGACGAAGAGCAGCAGCCCCACCTGAAGGAGGCTGCCAAGAGGCAGCAGGCGCTTACAGGATCAGGCCAAACAGCTTTGTGTGCTTTAACACAAAGACGATGAGATGCCAACCTCACGATGCTGGCAGGGGAGAGGCAGTAGTACTATGCAGGGCAGGGGGGCTACGAAGCAAGTGCAGGCCCCAAACTCCTCTTCCCTTTGAGAAGAGATTCTGGCTGGGCTTTAAAACAGCCAGCAGGCAAGGTGACTGTGATGAGCTCTCAAGAACAGACGTTGCAATCTCTGGTTCTTGCTCCTGGTCCTCATCAGCTGCTTCTGAAGCACCAACGCCAGACAGCTGCTCTTCTGATGCTTCCAAAAGACTCTCCACCTTCAGCAACGTTTCCACTTCTAAAGCCACGTGGAATCTCCAGTTATTCAGGCTGGATTTTAAGCGAACCTGCTCTCCAGCCGAGCCTCTGGGCCCTGGCCTGCTCTACAGTTGCCCCGTTCCACCTCCCTAAGACGGCCTGCGAAACTGCCTGTTCTCATAGGAGCTACATAATCTACAGGCCATTTGGGAGCCCTGGCAGTGCCTGCTTATTAAGACAAGTGCAGAAGACAGACAAGTGGAATCAAAGGGATATTAATAATTTAATTTCAATACTACAAATTCTGTTTTGGTAGAAAGCATCACTTTTTTTGAGAGGCCGCCCCAACACCCCAGATGTAGCGCCCTGTTCTAGTTCAGCTGGATCTGGATCCAGCAACCTCCAGGAAATGGCAAACAAGTACTTAAAATCCAACACAATTACAAAAATAATCCAACATGGTTATTTCTCCATGGTAATTTTCACCGCACTAGATTTTTCTTCTTCTTCTTAAAAAAAGGCTATGATACACTTATTTTGTTACAGCTAAGAAATGAAGATACATATATTCTACAGATCAGCATGGCTGACAGCATCATCCCTTTACGCAACAGGAAAGAACCACCTTTCTCTCCCCAGCCTCTCCTCCACCCCACAGAGAACACCTGAAGAGGAGGAGGAGGAGGAGGAGCAGGAGGGGTTCGGACGTAGCCCACTGTGCAAAGGAAGGCTAAGGGCTGGAGGGATTGCTGGCCCAGGTTTCCAAAGAAGATTTGAAGACAATGAATGATTTCAGGTGAGCCTCAAACAAAGGCCCAGGGCATCAGACAATACTGGCTAGTACTACTTAAGATACTCTGATTACTTGTTTACAATGCAGCTTGGATATTACACGCTACAGCACTGAGCAAAACCCAAAGGATGTATATACAAGTTATATGGCTGGGATGGAGGGGGGTGGATTAATGGAATAAAAGGAAAAGAAGAGAACAAGTTTCGAACACTGCTGCTTCTCTCGGGCACAAGGCTGCAGGGGCAAGTCTTTAATACTACTGGCAGAACGGGGAGGCTGTGGGGTCAAAGCCTTTAAAAACATCCTTTAAGGAGCCGGCATCCTGCGGGTCCCCCTCCTGCGCAGGGCTGTTTCCAGCAAAGGGGCTGCCTGCCCCAGACTTGGCCGCCTGCTTCACCATGCCATAGACGGGGGGCACCGGAAGGTTGTGGATGCCGGGCTGTGCGGCAGTCTCTGTGGCAGCAGGCGCGGTGGTGGTGGCGGCAGTGGTGGCCGAGGTGGCGGCGGCGGCGGCGGCCTTGGGCCGTGGCCGGTTGTAGCTGTTGTACCTGTCGGTTGACGGTTCTGCACTGGGCTTCTCCGCTTCCAGCTGGTCCAGGGCCGACCGGCGAACAAACAAGGGCTCCTTCCCTCTGGCGCTGCCTTTGCTATTGCTACTGCCGCCGCCGTCGGAGCCCTTGGCCGCCGGGCTGCCCTCCCCAGCTGGCTCCGCAGCCTTGCCGCCTGAGCCCGGAGTCCTTGGGTCGTAGAGGCTGATCCCGCTCAGGACGCTGCTCTGGCCGGTGCCTCTGCTCAGCCCCCCCGCCGTCAGCAGCCGGGGGTCGTAGGGGGCGATGCTGGGGGCTGCCTCTGAGGAGGCCGCAGGGCCAGCTGCCGACGTGCTGGCGGCCTCCGTTGGCTTGGAGGGCGCCGAGGGCGCCGGCTCAGAAGCCTTTTGCAGCCGGGGGTCAGCAGGGGCTTTGCGCATCCGGGGGTCGCTTGGCTTGTCGCTGGGGGTTGGGCTGCCTGCTGCGTTGACGGTCTTCAATATCCTCGAGAGCAGCTCAAAGTCCGGGAGGCTGGAGCCAGAGCCGGCCGAGGCTTCTGCTGGGGCTGCCGCCCGCTGCCTGGGGTCGGAGAGGCCGGTGGAGTTCTGAGGCCGGTTCAGGCGTGGATCCAGACCAGGCAGAGCCTGCAGAGCCGCCGGGACGGGAACAAACTCCTGCTTGGGGACAGGCAGCGGGATGAGGTCCTCAGGGCTCCACAGGACCATGCGGGCAAAACCGGGCATGACCAGGACAATGTCTTTCTTGATGTGGCTGAACTGCTGCAGCTGACCCCGAGGGTCCCTCAGGGTGTGGTTTGGCAGAGCATCCAGGGGAATCGTGACCGGCTTGTCCCTCAGCGCCCTCTCCCCTTCCTCCTCTTCCGGAACCGGAACGCCCTTCTGCCCAACCGAGGGGCTGGAATGCAGAGCGTCTGCTTTAGGGGCAGAGGGGGGAATGTGCCGCGCCAGCCTGGGATCTGTGGGCCCTGCGTCCCCCGCACCGGGCGGAGCGGAAGGCTCCACACCTCGAGAAAGCCTGGGGTCACGCAGGAGGCGAGGGTCTGCTGGCCGGCCGCTTCCCGGGGGCTGGCTTTTCTGGAGGCGAGGGTCGCTCCTGCCCAAGGCGGGGCCAGTGCCACTGGGAGAGTCTTCATGGGGTCGGCTGGAACTTTGCTGCCGCAGAGTCTTCAGGATGGAGCTAACACTGCTGCTGCCATCGTCCTCGTCGCTGGAGTACCAATTGCCAGTATCACCTGGGGGGGCGGCAGAGAGAAGGGGCAATAGAATGAGTAACGAGGCAAAGCTGGAGTATCACTCCTGGGTATAGTATCCCCCAAATCAGGGATAACTGACAGATACTTGAAACTGCAAAACGCAAACCTCGCCTGGCCGAAGCGCTTAAGGCAACATTAAATGCAAACTGCCACCCCAAGCAAAAGGTCTGCCTCTCTGTCTGTCTCTGAGACATGCATCACCCAAGCTTTAGAGGTCAGTTGGGGCTCTGGACTATGCCAGACTCCATCATGAATGGCAGGTGACTGTGTCCTCAGCCTAAATGAAGAGACCACTTCCTTCTCACCAGCTGCAGCTCAAGAACCCCAGGGGGAGGGGCTCTAGGAGAGGGATGGGCAACCTCTGGCCCCACCCATGGCCCCCTGCTCATCACCTGAGGTCATGTGACAGGGTGGGGCGGGGCAGATAAACCTGCAGAAAAAAGCATCAAATTCAAAAAGTCTCAAATTCTGCCACAGGCAAAGAAGGAAGACTCAGAAGGCGGGGGGGGGGGGGGCGACGACTTAGGTGAGTGCCTGGTTTTTCCTTTGCAAGCTGCAGGTTTGAAGCTGAGTCACCTGCCGCCCTATGACAAGAGGTGACTGACAGGTAGGCAGCCCTGCCCAACTGTGAAAGTGGTCCATGGAGGGAGGGGGTTCTGGGGGGTCCACTTCCCAACCTCTGATCTAGGAGGACACCAAGGCAGCCAGTCTGAACGACGAGAGCGGCTTGGCCACTCCAAGAACTAGAGCTGCCACTCCAACAAGCGTGGAGTCGGGGGCTGCCAGAGCCACTTGCCTTCCTCGTGCTCCCGATCCGGCTTGTAGCCTTCCGCGTGCCGCCGAGCCCTCTCTTCCTCCTCCTGCTGCTTGTGCTGGATGCGCAGGTACAGAGCCCGCTGCGTGGACGGCAGGAAGTCGGGGACGTTGGTGGGAGGCTTCTGCAGTCTGGGCATCCCTCCGTCGCAGAAGGGGTCTGGCTCCAAGGAAGGGTCGGGGAAGATGTTTTCCCCGGGCAGCTCGTCCATCTCATCGTAGTTCCCGTAGCCCTCTGTCAGGGAAAGCGCAGGCAAGGAGGCCGTGAGAAACAAGGGCGGGGAGAGCAAGCACAGCCATGCTGGGGACGGAGGAGCCTCCAGGAGCGGCCGCCTCCCAGCAGACTGTGGCCCTGGGGGCACTGGGCCGCTGCAGGGGCCAAAGGGCCCATTGGACTCAATGCTCTAGCGCAGCATTTCTCAACCTGTGGGTCCCCAGATGTTGTTGGACTGCAACTCCCATCATGCCTAGCCAGCATGACCAGTGGTCAGGGATGATGGGAGTTGTAGTCCAACGGTCTTGTTTTCATACGGAAGCTGCCTTGAGTCCCATAAGGGGAAAATGTGGGGTAAGGTAAAACAAGATAAAGGCCCCCTGGACAGTTAAGTCCAGTCAAAGGCGACTATGGGGTTGCGGCGCTCATCTCGCTTTCAGGCCGAGGGAGCCGGCGTTTGTCCACAGACAGCTTTCCGGGTCATGTGGCCAGCAGGACTAAACCGCTACTGACACACGGAGGACCGTGATGAGTGCCAGAGCACACGGAAACGCCGTTTACCTTCCCACCGCAGCAGTACCTATTTATCTACTTGCGCTGGCATGCTTTCAAACAGCTAGGTTGGCAGGAGCTGGGACAGCCACAGGAGCTCACCCCGTTGCAGAGATTCAAACCGCTGACCTTCCTACCAGGAAGCCCAAGAGGCTCAGTGGTTTAGACCACAGTGCCACCCGCTCTAGCGAGTCTCGTTTTCAAACCTAAGCTGCCTTGAGTTCCATAGGGGGAAAAGGTGGGGTATAGAATAATAATAATAATAATAATAATAATAATAGGCCTGCTGCCCACAGCTTCTCTTTAGCCACACCGCTGACATGCACCTATTTTTAACTGCTATTTTTAAATGAGTAAACACTTGGTATTGTTTTGCCACTGGGCTCCTTTGGAAGAGAGGGAGGGAGGGAAGGAGGACAGGATATAAATGAGTTAAAAGGAAGGATCAAGTACCTGGGCCACCCATCAGGTTGGGGTCCATCTCCAAGCCTTCTGGATGCGGGTAGAAGCCGTCATAGAAGTCGGGTGCTGGTGGGCCAGGGGGCATCTCCTCGGGCCCAAAGGGCATCATTGGGGGCCCGGGGCCCATGGGAGGACCAGGGTTCATGCCGGGGCCCATGGGCATGTCGGGACACATGTCAGGGCACATGTCAGGAAGCATGTCGGGGGGCATGTCCGGGGGCATGTCGGGATGCCCAGGGAACATAGGCGGAGACATGCCTGGGTGCCTAGAGGAATGAACGCAGCGAGGGTCAGCAAAATGGCCGAAGAGGAGGAAGAAGAAGAAAAGGAGCCTTTTCAGAGGCGGCTCACTTCAGCACGGGGTGAGGCAGGTCAAGCCAAACCTGCCAGGCAGCAGGACATGGAGGAGGAGCGTAGCCTGGAAAGAAGAGTCAGCCCCCTACCACCCACCACACCCAGGCCTGGACCTGAAGCACTTTGGCTGCCACCAAGAGGGAGGGGGAAGCCCCAGGCGCACTCCCCTTCCTTGCCCCTCACCAGATCCCCGTACGCGCTGGAGGGAAGGTGGCACGTACCTCACACCCAGCTTCTCCGCCAGCTGGCCGGTGGGCCTCACCACAATCTCAAAGAGGGAGGGGATCTTCTTGTACATGTCCTGCTGCTGCTGCAGCTGCTGCGGCGAGAGGGGCTCGTGCATCGGAGGCGGCATCTGCGGGGGCCCAGGGGGCGGGAGGGGAGGCGGTGGGGGCGGCGGAGCAGGTGGCCCCCCAGGCATGGGCCGGCCGTTGGGCGACGTTGGAGCTGGCGGCCCTGGCGGCCGAGGGGGGGTGGGCAGCAGTCCTACCCCGGGGGGCGGCTTGGGCAAGGGGTTGATGCCTTGCTTCTTCAGCTCCTCCACTTCCTTCTCGTCTTCCGCTCCGGCCTCAGCATCGTCCGCCAACATCTAAGGGGCAAGCGAAACAAGGCCGTGGGCGAAGAAGGCAGGGGCCGCCTTGGGTGGTAAGGCAGGAGTCGTCTCCCGTTATCCCCACACGCCGACTGCATGGCTCCCGAACCATCCCTGCTCCCCACAACTGCTAAGGAGAAGGCACTGCCCTCGGCAAAGGGCTTCCATGACCGGAAGCAAATCTCAGCAGCCCCCCGGCCCACTCACCTTATCCAGAAGCTCCCGCGTCTCGTCTGTGAGAGGTTCGTGGGAGAACATGCAGTCGTCTCCATTGATGCAGTTCCCAGTCGTGTGGAACAGCTTGCAAGGGAAGTCCCGTGCGAGGCATTAAAGAAAGTAAATCATGCCAAGGGCAAAGGCACAGGAGAACTAACGCACCCCAGGCCGGGCTTCGGCTTGCAGCAGGCCCACCCCCGGACTCAGGGTTCTCACACCCAGGAAGTGGGGCTGATCTCCCTAGAGCAACCCTGGCCCAGCTCAAAAACTTTGATTGAAGCTCAGCCGTTGTCCACAGTATGGAGAGTCAGATTAAACCTCCCCACCTACCCTTTGATATTAGCTTTCCTCTAAAAATGCAAGACTCAGAGGCAAATCTAAGAAACCCCGGCGTGGAAGCAACCAGAAAGGATATCGTGCATGTAGGGACAGTTTTCAGCTCTGGCGCAGTAGCCAGTGATGTAAAACTTGCACAGTTCCCGCTTCTTTGGCAGCTCAATGTCATGGCTGAAGTTGCAGTGTTCGCCCTGCCAGGAAAAAGCAGAAGGTGAAAGAGCTGACTTTTGCAGAGTGTGACACCTGAGCACAAAGGATGTTTGGCAGTTCATCCCTGGAAACACTCCCCACCTCAATCAACTCCAGAGGTGAGATGAGCCACCTCTTCACACAATCAGACAATGAGGGAAAAAGAAGAACTTCTCATTTGGAAAGAACAGCAACAGGAGTAACGTACAACCATGAACACCTTCCCAAGTTACAAGGACAGGCTCAGCACTCAAGGTCTTTGTGACGGACCCTGGAAGGGCAGGTGCTGTTGTGACATCAGCAGCAAACTGCTGGCACGGAGGCCAAAATGGGCAGAGCTGGTGGTACAGCAAGACAGAAGCGAGACTTAGCTGGCATCTAGCGGTGTAACATTATGCCTGCAAAAGAGGTGAAATCTAATACGCTCCAAGTCAATGGAGAGCCCAAGGTGATCTCTTCCCCTACAGCAGAGTTCAGGGACCCATGGCCCTCCAGGTACTGTTGGACTAAAACTCCCACCATCCCTGGCCACCGACTGTGCTGGACGGGGCTGATGGGAACCAGAGTCCAGCAAATTCTAGAGAGCAACAGATGCCCACTGCTGCCCTCCCTATGCAACCAGCCATATGCCTTGTAGACCTTCAGTCACGTGCAATGGGGCCACACCCAGGTCTGACTCTGGCGATGGGGAATGGCGCATAATTTAACTCTCTGGTTGCTTGTTTTTCAGCTGTTTTATTGCATTCCTACATGTAGAGCCACACTGAGATCTTGTGAAGGGCAGCACATTAATAAACACACAAAACATAATAGTGGTGAAACAATGATCCCTCCTTCAAGAGGTAGCCACTGCGTCCTCCACACAGGCCAAGTATGCATTACATAGAAAGGGCCTCCATCAGCCATGAGCCCCCAAATGAAGCACTGGTGAAGGCCAAGGGGAGCACAGCAGGCCCCTCACCTCACCTGCGGGATCGGATTTCTTTCCCCAGGGCCTGTAAGACAGAGCTGTTCTGCCTGGCCTTTGGCTTGGAATCAACTTGATCCCCTCTCCCTCTTTCCTTTTTCCTTCTGTGATGGAACTCCTGTTTGGGGACTTCCCTGGCTTTTTTCTGGCCCACGTAGGACCAGAATGGATAGTTGGCCTTGGTGAAGACTTGACATTTCCATCCCCAAAAAGTTTTTGATTTGAGTTTCTACTGAAATGAGGCTGCATTTTAATGTTGTATTTTAATCTTGTTTTTAAGTTGTATTTTAATCAATTTTTTTATACCTGGTGTTAGCCACCCTGAGCCCAGTCTTGGCTGGGGAGGGCAGGGTATAAATAAAATTATTATTATTATTATTATTATTATTATTATTATCTGCTGCTCCTCCTGGTATGCCCCACAGAGGAACCTACGGTCTGCAAATAAAAACATCCTGAAGGTCCCAGGCCTCAGAGAGGTTAGGCTGGCCTCAACTAGAGCCAGGGCTTTCTCGGCTGCGGCTCCAATCTGGTGGAACGCTCTGTCACAAGAGACTAGGGCCCTGCGGGACCTGACATCTTTCCGCAAGGCCTGCAAGACAGAGATGTTCCACCAGGCCTTTGGTCAGGGCCCAGCCTGACTCCCTCCTCTGGCAACCTGCACAGAATTTTGCTCAACGGTTGCCATTAATTTGATTTTAATTAATTTTTATAATGAAATGTTTTTAGAATGTTGGATTATTTGATTGTTTGATTATTTGATTGTTGTTAGCCGCCCTGAGCCCGGCTTCGGCAGGGGAGGGCGGAATATAAATAAAATTTATTATTATTGTTGTTGTTGTTGTTGTTTATTACTTCGATTTTATGGATCAATGGTCTCGTTAGATAGTAAAACTCATGTTAAATTGTTTTAGGGGTTGTTTTTAAAAGTCTGGAACAGATTAATCCATTTAGCATTACTTTCTATGGGAAAGCACGCCTTGGTTTTGACCGGACGTCCGGAACGGATTAAGTTTTAGAACCAAGGTACCACTGTACTGTACAAGCCTCTGATGCAAGTGGATTCTAGTACAAGAAAGCTTATGCCATAACAAGTCCATGAGCCTTTAAGGTGCCACCAGACAGACACCTTGCTGTTTTTGCTGCAACAGACTCCGATGGCGCATATGCCTGCAGACCCAGTGCGTGGTCACCACATCATCAGGCAGCCAGGAATGAAAGCTGGTCCTGAACACTTACCCAGGTGCATCTTCCCTCCACAAAATATTTGCAGATGACTTTTCCTTTCTTATCTGATTGCTGGTGAGATTTATCGTGGTCGTTCCGCCGATAATTCCCGCCTCCGCCTCCATCCTATGGCAATCACAAGACACTTTATTTACCAATGTTATTCATGCAAAGCCTCCGAAAGTAGCTTACATAATTTTAGAACAAAACAATCTGTAAATATTGCCTGCTGCCACCCAGTCTTGCTGCAACAATTTTGTTGGGTTTTCCCCAGCCTGCCTTCTCAGAAGTCTGGCTGCTGCTGCAAACAGCTTCCTTTTTCTGCCCCACCCAGGTTGTGTAACCACTGTTCCTTTAACTCTGAACTTGCAAACTATGCTGCCAACAGTTTCTCTAGGAACATGCAGTGCCTTTGCTATCTTTTTGTATCCTGCTCCTTGTTTGTGAAGGGCGATGTTCTCTTCTCTTACCTTCTTGGACCATTCTCCTAACTTAGCCATATTCCTACCATGCAGCCAAATTTGACACTCTGCAACCCCCTAGTCCGCTCAGGTATTCCATGTGTTCAAGCACACCTAGTGCAACTAGTGGAGCCCTTGATCAGTTGTACCAGGTGCGCTTGAGACAACACCTGCTGTATTTGTGTTGCTGTGAGGGGTTCTATACAGGGGGCTGAATAATAGTGAGACTGGAGAAGCCAGTATAAGTTGCAATTTCAGCTGAATTTGGGGAACCATGGAGCATCTGCTGCACTGAGCTATTTCAATTGATTTTGTTTGATTTGCTCATTGCAAACAGCTGAAAGTCTGCAAATTTTGATAATACAGTGGAACCTCGGTTTTCGAACGTCTCAGAAGCTGAACAATTTGGAACCAGAACGCAGAAAACCCGGAAGTAATTGCTTCCGTTTTCGAACATGCCTTGGAAGTCATACGGCTTCCAAGGCGCATTTCTCAATTTTTTCAATGGATTCTGCCAACCGCTCATTGATCCTTGGTTTTCGAATGTTTCAGAAGTCAAACTGTCTTCCAGAACGGGTTATGTTCGAAAACCGAGGTTCCACTGTAAACTTGATTTGCAATGGTGGTTGAGTAATTTTGATTGCAACTGCATCTCGACCAATCAGGCTTTGGCCCCATGGAAGCAGAAGGGGCCTAATCCAGGCACACAAACTGTAGGGGAAGGCTTAAGGAACGTGGGTCGGGGAAGTCGCTCACCCCCATGTCGTCATCGTAGTAGTCGTCCTCTTCATTCATCCCCCCTCCTTTGCCCATGCCTCCTCTCCCCCGGCCTCTTCCTCGGCCCATCCCCTTGCCTCCTCGCCCTCGGGAGCCACGGCCTCGGCCACGACCTAAGCCTGGAACAAGTCAAGCAACAACATTGTCTTAAATGGCAACAGATGACACACCATCACTTCAAGTCCACACAGGCAACTGGATCACACAGTGCCAGCGCAAACGAAAGGGAAAGAGAGGCCTGTGAGGGCTCCAGCCTGCCGGCCAGAGGGGTAACTGCAGTCTTGGCCAACCGCAAGACCCCCGGCCTACCTACCTCTTCCCCTTCCTTCCTTGCTCCTGCGATACTGGTTCAGCTCTTTGGAATAGTCGTCATACTCATCTCCCCCTGCAGGCTCTTCTCCTTCGCAGTACTGGCATTCAGAAAGAGAAGAAATCAGCAAAGTGGGGTTTAGCTCATGAAATGCCACACAAGGAGTATCCAACAATGAAGGAATACAGAGAATAGAATCTAACCAAAACAAACACAGCTGTGTATATAATGAAAGTGTAACACGAACTGAATGTCCCGGTGGAATTGATATTATGCAATTGGACAAAATAATGTCCATGCAATGTACAGTCGCAATGTACATTGTAATAACAGCATGACATGTATTATTTAGCAATGTGTCTGAACCGACTGGAAGATGACATGCGAAATGAGGACACTGCCCAGGCATCTCCTCGGCCGGAGTCCTTCATCTTATCTAGAAGATTCACTACATAGTCAAACTACTGAACTCTCGGTTATATTGAAAAGCAATTTGCAAGATTACATATATGTTTTTTTCAAGTCCTCTGCCACTGTACACAGAGGCCTCAAGCGGATATTATTTTGGGTCATGATGCCAATTGCGTTGGGACATTCAGTATGTGTTATACTTCCATTGTATACAGTTGTGTATGTTTTGATTACATGCCACACAAGATGCCGAAGCTGGGCTGGCTGCGAGTGCCAACCGTGCCAGCTCACCTCCATTTCCTCTTCATACATTTCCTCCTCCTCCTCCTCCGCATGCTCTCCTCTTCCCCTGCCACGGTTGCCTCTGCCCATGCCTCGCCCACGCATCCCGCCTCTTCCACGACCACGGTAGCCTCGGCCTCGGCCACGACCCCCTATGGGCACAAGACAAACAAAACAAAAACGGATCAGACTCTGGGGCACAAAGAGACGCTGCTTCCAGCTTCCTGCCAAGGCTCCCTGTAAGCTGGGACAGCAGAGCGTTTTGCATCTGTCTATCAGGAACAGCAAAATCCCCATGCAATGGCGCACAGCCCTGCCTCCATGATTCTGTGGACCAGAGGACACAACACACCAGGGGTGGGGGGGTGGGGAATATGGTGTCTTGCCTTTCTATGACTAAGATCTCAAAGGAAAGGAAAGCAGCCATGTTGTGGCAAGGGACCTCAGCCCCAGGGGAGGATGCTGCATAACCAAGGAGCTAACGCACCTTCGGTACCAAAGTCAATCTGACTCAAAACATGCAGCTGGCCTCAAGGGAGCCCAACAGGCAGGGACAGTTCAACTCCTCTCTGGTGACAAAAAGCAGGCAGGAACGCAACCCTGTTTTCTGAGTTTGAACCCAGAACAAAAATCTGCACTGAGCCTGAAGCGCCTTTTAAAAAGGCAAGTTTAATCCCTTTGAATGCTGACTAACTTTCACGATGGGCGTCACTTTTGTACTGGGGAGCAAACACTTTCCCAGCATCTGGAATGAGGGCTAAGCACAGGCAGGTGTGTACCTCTCCCCCTGTGCGACCCCTCCTTGGCCCTCCGGTATTGGTTCAGCTCCTTTGCGAAGTCATCATAGTCTTCTTTGCCCATGTCCTCGTCATCCTCTCCCTCATAGTCACAATAGCCCTCGTTCTCATATTCCTCGTACATGGGGTAGTTCTTGCTTTCCATTTTGGAATATCCCTTTTTGGGGGCGCTGTGAGATGACGAATACTGCTGATGAGACTGGAAGTGAACGCACACAGAGTTATTACCAGGCATAACAAGCTGATCACCATCAGCCATCATCTCAAGGAGACGTACAATGAAAACAGCAAATGTACTGGAAACAGGGTGCCATAGGCACTCCTGGCAAAAACACATTGAGTCAACTGGGAAAGCCACCTGTCTCTTGAAAGAAATGCTGCTCCACACCGCAGGGGCAGCCACACCAAAAACCCTGGCCTGAGTTCCTGTGGAGGAGGGCTGCTGAGATCCTGGGGACTTGCAGGAGAAACTCTCCAGTAGGCCGCAGGAATAAGGCGGTCTCTCTCATAACCTGGTCCTCAGGTGTATAGGGTCTTGAGGTACAAATGGGCTCCTTATGCATCTTCTAAACCAGCCTCTCCAGAGGGCCCTCCCTGATCACTGGCCATGCTGGCTGAGGCTGAACTGTAGTCCAAAAAGTACGGAGGGCACCACATTGGGGGAGGCTCTCCTCCAAACCACCCTTTCCGGGAGCAGACACCCAGCTGCCTGCTTTCCCCTCTGGCACAGAGGCCTCCACTGCCACCTGCCAGTTCTGCCACAAATCCCGCTGGCCCCTGTTGCGTGGGAGCCTTTGCCTAACCGCAGGGTGGGACTGAGACCCCAGCCTGATTCCCGGTGAACTTCCAAATGCACTTACGGAGGAGGAGTAGAGAGGGCTGTACTCCCTGTACTTCCGATGCCCCTTCTCGCCAGGGCTGAAGTCTGAGTCCTCACTGTAGTCTGAGAAATCGTCACTTGAAGAGGCATGGCGCTGCAAAGGAGGGCAAGGCTGTTACTGGCTGCTCCCCAGATTGTACTTTTTTTTCACCCGGCTCTGGCTACTGCTTAAAAGGAGCTTTAATGTTTTCAGCACAGACTTCTCTACACAGGTGGGAATTCCAACTATTTATGAAGCAGCAGTCACTACATCAGGCTGTAACAGCCAACAGAAGACAAGGGCAGCAGGGACACCACATCGGCACAACAGAGAGACAAGCAACTTTTTGTGCCTCCTCTCCATTAACTTTTTCATGCCAGCTGGCCATTAGATTGCTTATTTCCTCCTCCCTCCCAACCCCTTTATCTTTTCTGTTGTGTCTTTTTAGATTATAAACCTGATAGGCCAATGACCCTCCTTGGTTTTTAGAGATTTGAAAGCTCTGGCTAATGGGTAGCAGTTGAAAATAGATAGATGATAGACAGATAGATAGATAGATAGATAGATAGATGGAAGATACTGCTTGCCTGGAGCAAGCAGGCAGTTTCCAAAGGCATCAAATGCAACTTGAAATTGGGCTTCCAGCACATGCACTCTAGGTTACATGATTTTTCAGATACTTTGGTATTTCTACATGCAAGTCTAACTGTTTTTGGTTCCTCGTATCATCTGTTCACCTTAGAAGCAGTTGCTTTTAATCAAGAGTGATCTCTTCTAGCCTCCAAACATTTCTGCCACCTTTGATTCTAGTTCATCACTTCTCATCTCATTCATGCAGTTGTGTGGCCCCCTCATGCTTTTGAAGACCAGCATGCCATTGGCACAGCAGGCTCTGGGCCCACCAAGATCCTTGTTAAGAAATGCAGGTGACAGTCTGTGCTTGGCATCCCCTTTACGTCCCCAGCTCTCTGACCCCAGACCAGGGCAAACATCAAAGGAAAGGTTGAGGAGGGGTCTGAAACTGATATTCTTGAAGCTTGCCTGGCCTCACCCACCTTGTGCTTCGATTTCCTTTTCTTTTTGGACCTCCGCTTCTCTTTCTCACGCTCTTTCCGACGCTTCCTTTTCCTCCGGTGAGTCTTCTCTTCATCCGAGTCACTATGATGCTTCTCGTTTTTGTCCTTCCGACTCTTCTCTCGGGACTCTGAAGCATCATGCGGCTCCTCGCCCCCATCATCTTCCAGCTCCCCTTCTTCCAGCTCCCCATCCTCCCTGTAAAGACACACAACCAGAATCATTTGGATGGAAGGAGCAAGGCAGGTGACAGAGGTGTGTTTCAAAGCAGAAAACTGTGCTAAATAGCATGTCGCTTGCCTGTCAAAGGTCACAGGCCTGATCAGTGCATTGGAAAAGAACAAACCAGTCCTGCTTCCCCCAGAACAGGTCCTTATTCTGCAGAGTATGTGCAAAAATGAATGCAGCTCCAGCCCTAAGACTATATTCCGGGAGAGGATAGAAACACACACATGCATGCACAAACCAGCAAAAGCAACCATCAAGTGGCTGGCTACGTATCTGACTACGCAAACACATTTGTGACTGGAAACCTCAGAGTTAAATAAAAGCAGGAGACATTGCTATTCACAAACTGCTTTTGTGAACTGCTTCACAAAAATGAAGTGTTGCCTTTTTACACTGCCACTGCAAGGTAACCCATTTACTCCTCCCCAGCCCAAGAATACAGCAAAGTGGCAACGCAAGAAGAGCTGAGAAAGCCCAGAGCTGAAGTGCCACTTCTTCCCATCCAAAGACAAAAGTCACTACAACTTCCATCCCCATTCCAAAGCCAGAGAACCAATTGCTGAGGAACCCTGCACTCTTCTGCAAGGCTGAAAGGATAAATAACGCACGTATTTCTAAAGCAAGTCCCCAAAACTGCTCAAAAGAGTTCATGCATGACATGCTTTCATTTCATAAATTAAGTGTTTACTAAAAAAGGTTTGCCATTTTTATCACCTCCATAATACAGCTAGGAGGGTGATGATAATGGGCTGACCCAAGGCGGCGTGGCGGCGAGACGCAGTGTGAGCTGAGAACCGAGGATTCAGCTGATATGTCGTGCTCACCATCCCTCTGCCACAACAGCTTGTAAGCTTTCCTTACATGCGACCAAATTCCTGAGTGGGAATCTTATTTCTAAAGTGAAACCAACATCTCCTGAACATCTGCTTGGGCCCTTCAACAGCCATTTAAAGGGGCTCGTCTCCTACTTGGAATGACACACAGGCTTTTATTTTGTCTTGGCTGCCTACTGTGGTTTGTGGAGACACCAGCAGTGGGGAAAGGTCAGCGGGTGCTCTGAAGACCACCACTCCAAGCACCACCACCAGTAGCCCATCACTATGGCAGAAGCCCTGCAGGCACCAGGCCGGCCAGTCACTACGAAAGCAAAACTTCTAGGCTGGCACTCTCCAGGCCACAAACGGTTTAGCTGCTTCCGTCAGTATCCATGAGCCAAGCACAACAGTGAGACCCAAGGACATACAGTAAATGATAGACCAAGATACAAAGCTGGCAATGGGGCCGGCTAACCATATGGCATTTTTAATGGACGTAATCCTCATTTAAGAAAAGAAGCCCATATCAGTGTAGACCGTCAGATGTGGAAATCGCAACCATGCCCACTTTTCTGCTGGAATGTTGGACTCACAAACTTCACATGCACTTAAAACTAGAATACTCACTACATTTGTATTTCAAATAAAGAACCACCTCAGTTTGCCTATATTATGCTAGTCCATGTTCTGTGCTTGTAAACTGAAGGCAATAGGTAAAGGATGTGGTTTATCTGACTTCCAGGATTAAGAAACAGCAGGCACTCAAGGAAGCGATGTGTTTCACGAAAGGAAGAGCTGCCGGGGGAGACAAGCTCACACCCTTTCTGGCGTGAGCCAGCATTACTTGCAGGGAGCTACTGGTGCTACCTGAGTACAGCAAGCAGGATTGTTCTCCTGATCTCAGGGGGCGGTGGGGGAAGAGAGGGGGGTGAGGGTTGCCTGCTCATCAGGTATATTCATGCCTCACCTCAGTGAATCCCTCTCTTCCTCCACCTCACACTCAAAGTCTGCTGCTAGTCAAATTGCCTCTGCAGCACACATGGTGGAAGCCGGGCTGCCGCCGCTGCTACAGAAACTACTGACTTTCTCCCCAGAGCCTGCCTGCCAGCCAGCTGACACGGCCCTGCACGCAACTCAGGTGCCTCCTCCTCTCTGTAAGCAGGACACCGTGGTGCGGTGCTGACTGTGGTGTGTGGCCAGCCAGGGCAAAGCCTGGGCAGCGCCACCACCTCCAGGCTGAGTGTTTGCATCTCAGACAGGGAACAGTTTAAAGCTGGCAGCAACCTTCAGAATTATTTGCAGCTCTTCCACAACTGGAAGCATGTGCAAGAGGGGCTTCCAAGACCTAAACAGAGCCAAATCTGGCACTGCAATTTACTAGTTATGACTGTTCCAACTCTCAAAATAACTTCGAAGAAAAACGGCATCCAATACCTCACATCCCTACAAATGAATGCTTGGGAGAGAGGGGGTTTAGACAGCCTAAAGTTGTGGGGGGGGCACAGAAGGGAAGTCACAGCCTTTTTAGGGCAGCTGGACTTCATCTCTGCCATCCACTTTCCAATGGCAGCACTGATCCCTTCACCTAAACCTCTTCCACCTGGGCATAAATACACAGCTTTCGCCTTGACCATGCTTAGTCTGGTAACAGAAAACGCCTTTAGGGCTTCAGCATGCAAGATACATGTGCAATCCCATGCATATTTACCCAGAAGTAAGTCCTACTGTGTTTAATGGGGCTTACTCCCTAGTAAGTGTGGTTAGGATTGTAGCCTTATTCTGGCAGTCAAAATGATCTAAAACTTGGTGGCTTCATGCTGTGTGAAAAGCTATTAATCAGCAACTCTGAGTAAAGTAATTATTACTAAAAGCTACAGGGCTCTGTCAACTTCATAGTAGAGCTTGCCATACGTGTTCACTGTGGCTATAGGGCAAAGCAGCGTGGTTGCCATGTGGCTATAGGGCTTTCAGAGAATCAAGTTGACACTGGGGAAAACGCTAGCCTTGTGACTGGCCCACCACAGCTCTTGGGGACTTTCCTCGGGAGCCAGTCCCTTTGCTACCTCTGCAGCAGAATGCTGAGCTTCATGCAAAGTATTACATCACAGTCGCCCTGTGTGACCTCACAGATCACGTGACCAGAGCCTCCTGCAGGAGACAACAGACCCTTCCAAGGCCTGGATCAGAACAGCACAGAGGCTTCTCCTGGAAAGTCCAGGGTGCTCATGCTTCTGCGGGTGTCTGGTGCCAACAGTACAAAACCCAGGCACGGCAAAGGCACCGTGCTTGAAAAGATCACATCTGCCAGAGAAAAGACAGAGAAAGAATACCAGGCTGAGGAAAGAAGCCATGGCAGGAGAAGGCTGCGTAATGGCAGAGACCAGCACGACAAAGGTCACCTCTCAGAGGCCAAGAGAAGGAGCTGGGTTCAACAGGCCCACGGGGGGCATGGGGGGCTCCTCCAGGCATATATACAGGGAGATGCCTGGCACAGAACAGGAAAGTGGGAGGGGGAACAGGTGCCGAAGGAGGGCAGCAGGCGATGAGCGTGAAGAAAAGACCGGATGGAAACAAAAGGGAAGCCACTGAGCCTGACATGTAACCTTGAATGAAACCTGACAGGGATCCAGCGCACAGACGTAAAGAGAGAAGCCACACTGTCAAGGCAATGAGGCAGAAAGGTAATTTTAGGAGAATATTCTAAGTTGATTAAGGAACAGAAGCACTGCAGGACAGAAGGGCCTCAGAGCAAGTGGTATGTGGTTCTGCTTTACTGGACCGTTTACAGAAATATCAAGCTCTTATTTAATTACTGCAACTGAAGCATGTTAGTTCTCTATATGAGAATGGTTTCTGCCTTCTTACTTTGTGTCTGAAACTTAATAGATATAGTAAGACCTTTTCTGGTCAAAAATCAAGGCCAGTGTCTCTGCTGCCCCCTGATGGTGGGAAATGGGAAAGCCACGGAAAAACCACCTTAGTCTCTAAACTTTGGATTGAACAAACACAATGTTAAAATGAAATAGGGTTGATATCGTTCCCCTGACCTGCTTACCAGCGTTAGACACTCAGCTATATGAGCCGATTGCCAATGGCACCTTGAATCTAGGTTATGGTTGCCACAATGGTATGTCTAGGCACACCCCTCCAATTGAGTTTGTTGTTATTATTTCATTTCATTTCTATACCACTTTATAATCTAAAGAAAAAATAGCAAAGCAGTTTACAACACATTAAAATCAAATAGAACAATCCAGAAAAAACATACGTATTCAAGCTTCAAGAAAAATATTTCAGATCCTTTTCTAAATGACATTTTGCTTGCCCTATATTTATTTATATAGCTGTCCCATAACATGAGGACTGTAGGAAGCCAGTGTGGTATAGGACCTGGGAGATCAGGGTTCAAATCCCCACTGGGTGACCTATGGGCAGCCACAGCCTCCACCTACTTCACCATGTCCTCTTTGGAGAAAGAGGTGGGATATAAATGCAGCAAATAAGCTCTGCTCCTGACCTGCTTAAGAAAGGTGGAGGGGCCAGCCAGACGGAGCTGTCAGTCGCCCACCTGGCAGCCAGAGATCTCCACGTGGTCACAGTTGGACCCGTGCTTGTCGCAAAAAGCGCCTGGATAATTTCTAGCACTGCTGCTTACCTAGGAGACTGCTGAAACCCAGGGTTGTACTCAACTTTACTCATGCTCAGAGTAGGCCCACTGAAACCAGCAAACTAACAAGTTTTTTAATTTTAATGAGTCTACTTCAAGGGAACACAGTTGGACCCAACATCAGCCATAACGATAATGGGTGTAACTTGGGTTCATTAATTTGGAAGGATTTATTGTTGAGTAGAACTTAGCTGCAACTATGGAAGCCTTCTACAACATCAGCTAAAATCTGTGCCGGCTGCAGGTCCACAGCAAAGGCCTGAGATTTCACACACTGGAGCAGAAGAAGGTGTTGGAAAGAACACCAAACTGTAATTACCCAGTGAATGATTTCTGTGAAAGCAAAACTGGGGAGGAGCTGGGGTGCTGTAACTATGAATTCAGAAAAGCCAGGATGTTTCCTGGAGTGAGGAACTCCACAACAACAAAAAACTCTTGGCCAATGACATTTTAAGGAAATCTAACCAGCCACGGGGAACTCTAGTCAGCAGGTGGAACGCGAGTCCCTGCCCACTAGAGTATAAATGCACTTTCTGCAGCAGGCAAAACGCCATTCTCTGGCATTATTATACAAAACCTTAATGAATCTTCTGAGCATCTCCCTTCCACCAAGTGAAACCAGTGGTCTCTCTCTCTCTCTGTATTGCCCACACTGACTAGCAACAGCTCTCTGGGGTTTCAGACCGGGGCTGCTCCCAGCCCTGCTTGGAGATGCAGTTGGGGATTGAAACAATGTGGTGTAGTGGTTAAGAGCGGTAGTCACGTAATCTGGAGAACCGGGTTCGCGTCTCCGCTCCTCCACCTGCAGCTGCTGGGTGACCTTGGGCCAGTCACACTTCTCTGAAGTCTCTCAGCCCCACTCACCTCACAGAGTGTTTGTTGTGGGGGAGGAAGGGAAAGGAGAATGTTAGCTGCTTTGAGACTCCTGAAGGGGAGTGAAAGGCGGGATATCAAATCCAAACTCTTCTTCTTCTTCCTTCACCCAAAGTATGAACTCGGAATGCCGGGGAAATGCTATGAAGGAGCTCACTAAGAAATCTGGAATAAGGCAAACACTTGGAGCTTAGTTCTCCCAAAACGAAATGGGACCTGTCATCGGTGCGACAACGCACACGCCTTGGGGTGGGAGTCGGCCCTATGGGATTTGGCAGGAGTGGAACCTACCCCTAAGTACACACTCATAATCTAGGGCATGACTCTTAACCTCAACCCTGCAGGAGTGGGAGTTCCTTTACTGGTTTAGCAGCATACACTGCAGGGTGAAGACACCGGAAACTCTTGTGGAGGATTTCCTAACGCCAGTTCCTTAAAGCTAGAGATAACTGTATTTTCAAAGGAGAGCAAGACAAACTACGTCTTTAATTCAGGCAGGCAGCTAACTTGGACCTCTCTGAAAAACCCACCCTCCAGCTAGGGAGTGGGGAGAGATGAGACTTAAACATTTTGGAATTATTTCAATGACCTCAACCTGCCCAAAAGCACGGCTTTCAGCCCAATATCATTTCTGCACCTTTCAAAACAAGAGCCTGCAGCAGAACCAGGTGCTATGGACTGATGAGCCAAACGAAGCGCAAGGGCATATCCCAGAGGAGAGTGGAACCCGCAGAGCTGGCTATTAAAAGATCCCTTCGTCAAGAGAGGCCGCCATGGAGGAAGGTAGGACACCTTCTTCCGAAGGAATTGGCCACCTTTTGCTCCTACTACCAAAACCGCTTTCAAGGTTCCCTGGGCAAAAACATCTCAGAAGACAGTAAAAAGCCGCCACCACTAACTACTCTGCGAGTCACTCTTGGTTGCCTGAAGCGCTATATCCACCTGCCAAATATTTAATTCAAAAGGTCATTTCACAAAGAAGTTAATATACAATCTAGCTCTGTAATGGAAATTAGCGACGTTTCCTCCCCCATCTTCCTTGCTGGTCACTGTTGACTCACGGCATTCTAAGCTGACGTCATTCACCCAAGAATGCCCATGAGTTTCAACAGGGGGCAGCCTCCTACGTTGCCAACAATGGGAGAGAAGCAGAAATTCAGCAGGTGTCCTCAGTGGCAGGAGAAGAAACTCTTATCCGCAAAAGTTCCCCCTTTCCATCCAACTACTAACGGCACAAGAACACTTCCCTTAAAAATGTGTTGACTGTAACCAGCATAAAATGCTGATACGGAGCTTGTATTTTAATCCCTTCCCACTTAACATCAAGCAAAACGGCAAGAGGATCAGCGCCCAGGACTTCGTACTTTCCAAGTGTGCACATCCTTATTCCGTCTTTCTCCCTCCGACTCCCAGCCTAATTTTGTCAATAGGAAGAATGTAAAAATCCAGCAGATCTTACAAAGCACTGCCAGACCTGCCTCAACAATGGCTTATTTTGGCAGTGCTGAAATAATGCACTTAACTCAGAAGTGCCACGTAAATTCTTACGAATTGAGGAATATAAAGTCACAGCAGGGAGATAATAATCCATGTTCAAAGTTGAAGCAGGTCTGTTGACCTGGTAGCACAACTCTTGGTAACACATCAGGCCAAGCCTTGGCTGCCTCATTCAGCCACCGCAAACTCCCTGAACATGGATTCAGGCTGCCCAGGACACGGTCAGCAGGCCTAAGCTCAGCCCACCTCAGAGCTTGCAAGCTTGATCAGTCACAAGTAGAAATAAAATGGCTCAAGCTTTTAATTGGCGGAAAGGTGGGCTTTTGTAACAGTTACTGTCCGAATTCGTGCTTTAAGGTCCCTGCCAGAGCTACCAACATGCGGATAAACCACCTAACGTATTTTGACCACCAGAGGTGGACCAGTGATGGAGAAAGGAACCCTTTTCTCCTGTTAGTTTGACTAGGAAATTTCAACCAGACCAACAGCAGTGGTATCTCTGCCACCAATGTCGCTGAGTGAATACTGTCAAACCACGCAGCAAGAGCCGGGGCACGAAGAGAAAAGGGGTGAGTGACTGCAGCACTAGCAGCAGATGAATCCGACCAGAGAGGGGTGGGTCTAGGGACATATCCCAGGCCCTGCCTGCTTGAGGTGGTCAGGGCAGAAAGGGGTGGGAGAGACCATTTTGCAGTGCCAGGTACAGGTAGTTGAGGCCTAATGGTTCAGGGTCCTCAGTGCTTTGCATCCAAAGCTGCCAACACCCCTTTCCCCAAACACCCTCCTTTTCAGGCCTTTGCTGGCAGTAGCTTTCTGCCCAATAATAACTACTACTATTTATTATTATTATTATTACTACTATTATTCCGCCCATCTGACTGGGTTGCCCCAGCCACTCTGGGCAGCTCCCAACAAAATATTAAAAACACAATAAAAGATGAACCATTAAAAACTTTCCTGAACAGGGCTGCCTTCAGAAAGTCCTATAATTGTTTATCTGTTTGACGTGATGGGAGGGCATTCCACAGAGAGGGCGCCACTACCAACAAGACCCTCTGCCTGGCTCACTGTAGCTTCACACCTTGAAGGGAACTTGGAGCTGGACCCCAGTGTCCGGGCTGGAGGATGGAGATGGAGACGCTCCTTCAGGTAGATCTTCTACCTCCTCTCCTCCAATGAAGGTTGGGGAAGAGGCAGCCTATCTACCAGCCTACCCGCCAATCAGAATCAGGGAGCTTAGCATTGCAAGCTAAGGTGATTTTTTTAAAAATCTCTAAACTTAACACTTCACTATGAAATTTGCTTTTAAACTATCATTTGCTGCCCAGTGTCTGGGGCGACTCAGATGGTCAGGGTACAAGTAATAAATTGCTACTATTATAATTATTGTCACCCCAAGCAGAAATTTCATACTGTTCTTTAGTGGACAACTTAGTAGTTTCCTTGTTTTGTAGATGTTTTCTAGCACATGCGTACAAAAGTATTTTTTGGTAGTGCAGGAAAGCACAAGCCAACGCTATTTTGCATAAGCGAGTGTGTGGCCCTCGTAGACCGTTTCCCGTTTCATCAGAATAAACAGGACAAAACACTGCACTCGCTATGGGACCAAGTGTATGGCCTTGTTTTACATGAAGAACAGGAGCGGCGGGATTTGGAAAGCGCTGGGTTATGGGATAAGGAGTCTAATGTACACAACACAGAGTTACTGTCATTTGGATTCACTTGTCTTGTGTGAGGGACAAACATGAACTTTGCACAGAACATGTAGTTAACAAAAGGACGATGGAAACAGGAAGGGTTGCTAATAAGGTGCTTACACTGTACATGGTTATTGCTTACCAAATGAGGGAGAGGGTGGAAGTGTTTGATGACTTTGGGGACACTGTGATTTGTTACACTTTGGAACTGCTTATCCTTTTTGGAAACAACTTTGCAAACCTGCACTAAGCGCAGTGTGTGTCCACTTTCCAGATAGCCGGATGAAGAGGGAGTCTGCAGACACAGTGCCTGGGTGGCATCCCAGCTGGAGCTCCATAGCCCTTGGCTGGGGGGGAGGCGGGCGAGGGGCAGCCACTCACCCTGCAAAGCTTACAGCAGGGCTTGAGCTATTTTTTAAAAAATACAGTAATCCGAAACATCTCCTTTTTCTTTCCAGGATGGTGTGTGCTTTTGTGAGTACTTTCCTAAGTTAACGTCACATACGGAAGGGGCACCAACCAGCCCAACAGAAAGGGACACCGTTCTGCCCGTTTCCTTAAACGAAATGCTTACTGACTTCTGGCCTTTTGTTTGTGGCGGGGAAAGAAAGGAACAAGGTACAAATTGAATTATTCAATAAAAGAGATTACTTACCAACCCAACCCCTGCATCACATGAAAGAGAGAACTCCACAGGGAGGGAGGAAGAGGAGGAGGGGGGGGAAGGAGGCACGCGCCCCGTGTGCGAGCATACACACGTGCGCGCGCGCCAAGGTAGACCCACGGCGACCCTGCGCTGCCCACCTGCCCTCGAGGGAGTGGGGGAGGGAAGGGTGGAGGAGGATCCCCCTCTGCCTGTCACACTGTCACCCCCCCCCCGTCCCTCGTGGCCCGGCTTGGCCCGGGAGGGGGCGCACACCAAGGCCGGGCCCGCTCCCCCTCTGGGGCCTGCTGCTCCTCTCCCCGCCATGTCGGGAGGGGGCCACCTGCGCTGCCCTCCCCCGCCTGGCTGCCCACTCCCCTCCCCCGCTCGTGCCCCCCCGCCCCCTCCCCCGCTAGAAGAGAGAGAGAGAGAGAGAGAGAGAGAGGCGGGTACTGGACCTTTCGTCCGGGCCGGGCCCGTGGTGGTGTTGTTGGAGCGGCCGGGCGCTGGCGCCGCCGAGGCCCAGGCTGCTGCCGTGGTGGTGGCTGTGGAGGAGGGAGGCGGCGGCGGCGGCGGCGGCCGGCGAGGGGGACGGGGGCCTGGCGTGCGGGCTGCTGGGCGGGGGCACCCGGGGCTCTCCACGGCCATGGGGGCGGCCGGGGCTCGGGCGGGCGGGCGGGAGGCCGGGGCGGGCGGGCGGGGCGGCGCCGGCGGGCGAGGGAGCCAGCCGGGCGGCCGCCGAGGAGCGGGAGGAGCGGGACGAGGAGGAGCGGGACGAGGAGGAGGAGGCGCACCGGGACGGGGCACAGTCACTGTACTCGGCGGGCCTGAGGCGCCGCGCTCCGCTGGCGGGCTTGGCTGGCGGGCGCCGGCCGCACGGAGGGCTGCTGCCGGGCTGGCGAGCTGCTGCCGAGGCTGCACCACACAAAATGGCGCCCGGCGCCTCGCCCGCCCGCCCGCCCGACACTCGCCCGGCGCCGCCCAACCAGGAGGCGGCGGCCCAGCCCGACCACTGGCGGAAACGCCCGAGCGCGGCCGGAAGGCGGGGGGCGGGGCGAGGGGCGGGGCCGGCGGCGGCGGCGGCGAGGCTCAGCCATGGTGGAGAAGGAGCAGAAGAAGGACGAGGCCGGCCGAGCCAGCGCCGCCGCCGCCATCAGCGAGGAGGAGGCGGCCCAGTACGACCGCCAGATCCGCCTCTGGGGCCTCGAGGCGCAGAAACGGTAAGGCCGCCCGCCCGCCTCTCTGGGCTGCGCCGCTCTGCCCGGGAGCCCCGAGGATGCTGGGGGCCCGGGGAGCCCGAGACCCTCTCGGAGAAGGCCCGTCCCAGCGCCCGATTGACTTAGAAGCCCAGCAAGCTGCAGCTGAGGGCCCCACTCTCTTGGGGCCCCCAAAAAATTAAAGGGGGAAAAACTGGATGCACATTTCCAAAATATAAGATGATGATGAGAATAATTTGTTATTTGTTCCCCAGCCACTCTAGCCGAACATGAAAAACACAATACAGCATTAACATAACATAAAATAAAACCAATATACAGCAACAGTGTTTTGTGTTGTTTAGGCACCTATGATGTAAGTCATGGACCCTCAAACATTTTAAATTAGAGCGTAATAATTATTTCACTATTACTATACTTCTTCTTAATTGTATTTCACCATTAATATACTACTTCTTAATTGCATTTCACCATTAATGTACTTCTTAATTGTATTTCACCATTAATATACTTCTTCTTAATTGTATTTCAGTTCAACAATTACTTTGATAAAATACCCCTTTTGTGATGTGCAAATGACTTGAGATACCTATGAGGTCCATCAATGACCATCTAGCATATATTCAACAGAAAAACCAGTGACCGTTTGTTGTTGGCAAAGGACAGCTGGACATCTCAAGGGCCCCATTACCTTCAGGAGGTGAGGGCCACATCAAACCTCAATCCGGCCCTGCCCAGTCCCATGGCGAAATCCCCCCCTTGGGAGCATTTTTTCCTTCTCCTCAATGGCGGCTTAAAACAAAGCTGCAGGCGCATCCCTAGGATTCAGGGCAGAGAAGCCAGTGCAGCTGCGCCATCGGGGCAAAGCGGGTGGAAGCCACTGATTTATGCAAAAGGTCAGGGAAACACAGAGGAGCTGCTGCCACCTGTCATATCATCATCATCATCATCATTTTGTTTGTATGCCGCCTTTCCATAGTTGAAACTATGCTCAAGGCAGCTTACAACATGACAAGATTTACATCATTACAAACATATCAGAAGTCATAAACAATAAATAAAACACATCAAAAAGTACACAACCAAATGCAACAATTTCCACGTAATTTATAAGATCCAAAGCTAAAGATACAACAATAATATCAATAACAGCAACAGCTCTCCAGCCAGCCCATTTATTAGTATTATTATTTAGTGAATCCGTATGCTGCCCTTCCTCCACAGAAGCCAGGGCAGTTCACAGCTGAAAAGAGATACACACAAAACACGGGAAAAAGGCACAACAAAAGCACCTCCCATTCCAAATGCATAATAATAAATAATAATAATAAATTTTATTTATACCCTAGCCAAAACCGGGCTCAGAGTGGCTGCATAAGCGCTACATCGGGTGGCTCCTCCGAAAACACGGTCTCAAAGCGATTCAAAATCTAAGGCAGACAGGGACTGTGGAACTCCCTGCCACCAGGCTCAGTGGCGGCCTCCCTGGCAGAGAGTGAGGGCCAGTGCTGCCTGTGGTCTTCCTCCGGCGCTTGCCGGGGGGCTCCTGCTTGGGGGCGTTTGGCCGGCCGCTGTGAGGCCACAGGGCTGGAGGGGCTGGATTCAACCCTGGGGCCCCTCCTGCGCCCTTAAAAGAGAGCGGGGCAGCCCTCTTTGGAAGGGGCATCTTGCCAGGCAAGGCCAAGGCCCTCTGCTGGCTGGGAGGGGCCCCTGCCTGAGCCTCCTGGGGCTTCCTCAACATGGGGGCCACCGCAGAGAAGGCCCCGTCTCTCGCTGACAAGGGGGCGTCTCATGGGGCTGCATGCTATGAAAAACGGGGAGCGTAAATACCCCACAAAGAACCCCCAGGTCCCAGCCGATCGGGGGGGGGCTTACCTGTTGGGGGGCTCCCAGCACGCCACTGCAGCCTGCCCCACACCGGCCTTGGCTCCTGCCAGCAGAGGCTGCCTCCTGGGGGTTTGGGGTGCTGCCCCACCTCAAGATGGCGGGGCCCTTGCTGCCGGGCCCCCTGGATCCCGCCAGCCCCCTTGCTGCCGCTGCCGGCCTGTTGGGGGGGCAGGTGCTTGGCAGGCCCCTTTTTTCTGGCCCCCATTTGGAGCTCCCCTTTCCTGGGAGGGAGGGAGGGAGGGGGTCACGGCCGCCCTCCCGGCTCCCCCCAGGAGCGCTGGACTGGCCATGGGGGGGTCTTCCCACACCAGCTGCCCCCCTGGGCTTCTCCTGCCCCTTCTGGGGCGGCGGCTGCCTGGTTTTGGGGGTCCCTCTCCTCCCCTACCCAATGGCCACGGAAGCTTCCGGGCCCCAGCCTTCCGCCTCCTCAGCGAGGGCCACAGAAAATGGCCGCCGGGGGGGGGGCTGGTTGGGCCTGTGAGGGGCCCCAGGCGAGCGGCTGGCATTGAAACCAGGGGGGATAAAAATGAATGGTTTTTATATATAAAAATCAAAATAATCAGTTTTTTTAAAAAATTAAATTGGATTTTTAAAAATGAAATGCTTTTGGAGGGAAAACCTTTCTAAAGATCGTTTTCTATTTAAGTTACATTATAGTCCAAAGGCTATTTGTCAGGAAACAAGGATTTAAGTTTTTCATGTGTGCTAAAAACTCACCCTAAGGTGTGTTTTTTTTAAAAAAAAAGTCGTTTAACCACATCGGTTAACAAACATGGATACATATGCTACAGTGTTATTGTTTTAGTTAAATAAATGGTTTACATTTTTATTAGAGAAATTGTTCTTTCTCTTTCCAATCAAGTAAGCAGAAAGGTTGTCCAAATATTAACAGTTAACTTATGAAACCCCACTATAATTTCATAATTATCTGTCAAGGTATTTCTAATAGTATCACCAAATCAGGAATTTTTGATGTAACTGTAAAAAACTCCTCTGGAAATTTATGAGTCCAAAAAGGAACCCTTCCTCTGGTTGTAAATATTAAGATGATACCAGCAAGAACGAGTCTTTCTGCAAAAAAATATGATTTCAATCAAGTCTTACTGACTAGTAATTTAAATTGTGATTTAAGTCAAATGGCACCCTGCAAGAGGGGCAGCTCTGAGGCCCCGCTGGGCCCCCAAGCCGGCGTCTGAGGGGCCACAGGAAGAAGGCCCCGCAAAATGGCCAGGGCACCTTCTGAGGGAATTTCAGATCAAAAACCAGTAATTGTTGATAAAACTGTAAAAAACTACTCTGGAAATTTATGAGTCCAAAAAGGAACCCTTCCTCTGGTTGTAAATATTAAGATGATGCCAGCAAGAACGAGTCTTTCTGTAAAAAAAGATGATTGAAATCCAGCCCCGCTCCCTTCCGGCCAGGGCACCTTCTGAGGGAATTTCAGATCAAAAACCAGCAATTGTTGATAAAACTGTAAAAAACTACTCTGGAAACGAGTCTTTCTGTATAAAAAGATGATTGAAATCCAGCCCCGCTCCCTTCCGGCCCCACACCATGGCCAGGCCAGCTTCGGAGGCCTTTGGGGCGGGCGGACGCTCCCCTCCGAGAGGCCTTGGGGCCCTTCCTTATGAGGGGCTGCTGAGCCCCCTTCCAGCCCCCCAGCTGCAGTTCAGCATTTTCCGTGAGGGGGTCTTGGGTGCTTTCAAGCAGGGTGGATTTGATTTAAATCACTAGGCAGTCAGACCCGATTTCAATCATCTTTTTTTACAGAATGACTCGTTCTCGCTGGCATCATCTTAATATTTACAACCAGAGGAAGGTTCCCTTTTTGGACTCATAAATTTCCAGAGTAGTTTTTTACAGTTTTATCAACAATTACTGGTTTTTGATATGAAATTCCCTCAGAAGGTGCCGTGGCCGTTTTGCAGGGCCTCCTTCCTGTGGCCCCTCAGACGCCGGCTTGGGGGCCCAGCGGGGCCTCAGAGCGGCCCCCTCATGCAGGCTGCCATTTGTCTTAAATCAAAGTGATTGAAATCACAATTTAAATCACTAGTCAGTCAGACTTGATTGAAATCATTTTTTTTAACAGAAAGACTCGTTCTTGCTGGTATCACCTTAATATTTACAACCAGAGGAAGGTTCCCTTTTTGGAATCATAAATTTCCAGAGTAGTTTTTACATTTATATCAACAATTCCTGATTTGGTGATACTATTAGAAATATGTAGACAGATAATTATGAAATTATGGTGAGGTGTCATAAGTTAACTGTTGATATTTGGACAACTTTTCTGCTGTACTTGATTGGAAAGAGAAAAACAATCATTTCCTTAATAGCAATGTAAACTATTTAACTGAAACAACAACATTATAACATATGTATCCATGTTTGTTAACTAATGTGGTTAAACGATTTAAAAAAACAAACAAAATAACTCTTAGACTGAGTTTTAGCACACATGAAAAACTTGAATCCTTATTTCCTGACAAACAGCCTTTGGACTATAACGTAACCTAAATAGAAAACTATCTTTAGAAATATTTTTCCTCCAGAAGCATTTTATTTTAAAAATCCAGTTTTAATTTTTTAAAAATCCAATTTAAATTTTAAAAAAATTGAATTCAATTTTTAAAATCTGAAATTTTTATTTATTTTTTTAAATCCTTGATTTTTCTCCACCCTGCCCTGCCCCCTTTCCTCGCTCTGCCCCACAAGTGCATCCCTTGCCCCTCTTTCCTTCCCCTCAGACGCTCCCTCTCTCCACCCTCCTCAGAGCTGCCCCTTCAAAATGTCCGCCTGCCTTCGCATCGGGGGTGGGATTCTTATCTGAATTTTTTATGGAAAGTTTTCAACATAGAATACAATAGAAATAAAACTTAGAAAATAGAAAAGGAAAGAAAGGGGGGGGACAAAGACAGGAGCCTTCGCTGCCTCTTGGTCTCTCCTCCATCCCATTCCTGTCAACCCAAACTAGAAGGCAACAAAAAAACCAAATGCAAAAATAAAATGAGTCCCCCATAAAGGACAAAAGCTACATAGCATTCAAAGGGGCATTTAAAAAATCAAAAAGAGAGATAAAGGAAAGAAGTAGCAGGGACCTTAGATTCTCCATCTGCCCACGATATACCGTATTTTTCCGTCTATAAGACGTCCCATGTATAAGATGCCCCCTATTTTGGGGGACTCTGGTTTAAGAAAATGAGGGAGGAGATGTATCCGTGTCTAGGATGCCTCCCCAATTTTTGACATTATTTTTAGGGGGGGAAACCTAGTCTTATATACAGAATAATATGGTATAGCCAGGTTATTCAAAGTATTCCACCCATTCATTGCAGGCCTCAATCTGTTAGATGACATTTTCTCCGTCTTCAGTTGCCTCACGTTCCTTCAGTTTCCTTTGCGTGCAAAAAGGCCCAAAGAGGATCTTCCATTGCTATTATCCCTAGATATCCAGAAAAGTCTTCCTCCAGTACAGTGGTACCTCGTGTTACGGATGGGATCCGTTCCGGAGGCCCGTCCGTAGTGTGAAATGCCTGCAACTCGTAGTGCTGTGTCTGCGCAAGCGCACGGCGCGATTTAGCACCTGCGCAGGCGCAAGTGGCAAAACCCGGAAGTAACCCTTCCTGGTACTTCCGGGTTGCGGCAGGACATAACGCAAGGTATGAATGTATAATAGTTTTATCTCCAAGAGGTTCCCTTATTAGGATAATGATCCGTAACTCTTTACTTACTGTATGTCCATTAGTTCATACCCAATTCCGTATCTTCCGGTCCCATGTCCTGTTGGCTAGGAGTTTCTGTCTTGATTTAGGAAGAAGCGCCTTCCATGCCCCCTTCTTTTTCCAGAGTCTGGGTGGCCTATCCCTCTGAGTCTTCCTCCACTTGCACACAAGATCCTTGCTCTCCCAGCGCTCTCTTGGCCATCTCAGAAGGTTCCTTCATGTTTTTTTCTGTCCTCGGTTCCATTTCTCTCCTCCTTGATCTGTTCCAGTCCTCCATGCCTTGGAGGATTTTAGGCATAGATTTGAATGACCATCTGTCAGGGATTCTTCAGCTGAGATTCCTGCATTGCAGGGGGTTGGACTAGATGACCCCCGGGACCCCTTCCATTCTATGATTCTAATTATAAATATCACCCTCAGCAACAGGTAATGCCATTTTCTCGTTGCAACCTCTTTGGATTAGAACAGCAAAGACAGGAGAGAAAAGCTGCAATAAAAACAAGGAATAGCAGGGATAAAATTTGCCATTAGAACCCCCGGGGTAATATAGCTCTTTTCAGAGCTTTGAAGATCAAAACCCGTCAGGTTAATTTGATCATTTGGCAAAAGGATCCCGTCCGCTGGCCTTGGATTAACCCTTTCATCTCCATCCTGAGCCACTTCCTTTTGACCAGCATCTTGTGCCGGGGGGGGGGCCTGAACTGCATCCTTTCTGCCTCCTGGAGGCCCTGCTATGGGCATCGGGACACTGATGGCTTCCTCTTGTATTCTGCAGCCTGCGGGCGTCTCGGGTGCTGCTGGTGGGCATGAAAGGCTTGGGGGCAGAAGTGGCCAAGAACCTAATCCTGGCAGGAGTCAAAGCCCTGACGATGCTTGACCATCAGCAGGTGAGTCTTGCCCAAGGGGCCGGGAGCGGGTCCTGGGGGGGCCTCCTCCCTTGGGCTTCCTCTTGCCGCCCTGTGTGTCCCCTGATCCTGGAATGGGAAATAGGATATACGTGATCTTGCCCCTTTGTACTCAAAAGCGCGTGTCCATAAAATTATTTATTTCATGAAATTTAAACACTGCTTGATTACCGGGGGCGAGGGGGAGCCTGAAAGCGGTTTACAGAAAATATGATAAAATTTACCCTACAAAAAATTACAGCGATCATTTAAAACACACAAAAAGTTTAAAACAACGATAGATTGAAACAAATTAAAACTCACTTCAACTTTCCAAAGATCTGGGTAGGTTTGTCTAAACAATTATGTTTTTGGCAGATGCCGAAAAGAATACAGCGAGGGTTTGATGTCAATAGGCAGGGAGTTCCAAAGTGTAGGGGCCGCCTCACTAAATGACTGAGTTCTTACAAACGCAGAACAAGTATTATGTGGCACCTGTAGGAGTGCCAGTTCTTTCAATCGAAGCAGTTGAGTGGGCCCACGGGGGCAAGTTGATCTCACAAATAAGTGGTCCCAAGTCCTTAAGGGCTTCATATACTGGTCGTAACACCTTTAACTCAGTCTGGTAGCAAATGGGCAGCCAGTGCAGATCTCTGAGCCCTGGGGTGTTTTTTCCCTCAAGGCCTCACTCTTGTCAGCAATCGTGCTGCAGCATTCTGCGCCAACTGCGGCCTCCAGATCAAGCGCAAGGGAAGCCCCACAGAGAGCGCATATGTGGCGAGGAGAGGGTTGTATGTCGCAAGCCGGGAGATGGAGACTTTCTCAAGAAAGGAATGTCCTTGCTTGGGACCCCTGAGGCCACTGTCCCTCAGACCCTGTGGGGGCCAGACTATATTTGGAAAAAGGAAAAAAGAACCAATTCCTATGCCCCACAAATAACCCAGAGATGCATTTTAAATAAAAGGACAGATTCTGTTCATGTAAAAACTGCAATTAGTCCTACAGCAAAAAGCAAGGGATAGTATGCAGATGACCAAAAATAGCTTTAGCATGTGTAATGAGACAAGAATCCAGGGCTCTCCATAGCTTTCAGTTTAGTAATAAGTTGTAATTCAGCGACTTCTCTTTCAAGTCTGTTTCTGAAATTCTTTTGTAATAAGACAGCTGCTTTGAGATCTTGTATTGAATGTGCTGGGAGATTGAAGTGTTCTCCTACTGGTTTCTCTGCCTGTGAGGTGGGTTAGGCCTTGTGAGTGAGTGGCCCAAGGTTACCCAGCAAGCTTCATGACCAGATGAGGGTTTGAACCCTGCTCTCCCAGGTCCTAGTCTGACACTAACCACTCTGCCACCCTGGCTCTCAGTCTGCAGGGCTCCTGTGGCGTTTCTCCTGTGGCATTTCCCGCCCAGTCTCTTCCTGGTGGCACCAGCCACAACCTTTCCTTGTGCGTATTTTCTGCCAATGAAGGGCTGCAGCCGACATTAGTTCCACTGAGGGTGTTAGTCCTTCTTGGAGTAGAGCCACTGAAATCATTGGCTGTAGCTTGAGAACTTTAATTTAAGTGGGTCTTCTCTTGAGGACGACTAACACAGAATACAACACAAATCAGTCTAGAAATACACTTTCCCCAGATGAGAGATGCTTGTAATCAGGTGTAAATCAAGTATTGAAAAAATCTGGAGGTTCAAAGACTTTAGAAATCAGTAACAACAACAAAATAGGCATGAGGGAGAAAGCATTTGGTGGGGGAGATATTTTGATTAGATAAGTACAGTAGACCCCCAATTTAACTTGTGATTTACTTATGTGATTGCACCTTGCATGGGTGGCAGGAAAACAAATAAGAAATCGAGAGTGAAGGTGGGTGGGTGTGAAACAGTTAGAAGGGGCTCTCAACCTCTCAACCAAGATCTCTCAACCTTCCTGGAGCCCTATAATTAACGCCAGAGGGTTTTAGAAGCTCTTTCTGTTCTGGGTTCTCCTGCTGCACAAAGAGTTTCTTAGACCTCTGCCTTGTTTGTCAGGCTCTGGGAAGGTTGCATGAGGCCTCTGGAAGGCTGTGAGGGGCTGCTGCAATATCTTGAGGTGCTTTTGCAAGATGTCGGGGGGCTCTGTGAGATCTTGCAGGAGCCTCCCACAGTTTCCAGAGACCAGTAAGGTAAGGATGGACCTGTGGCAGGGCCGTTCTGGGGGTCTTCCTGACTTTGCATGATTTTGCCTTTGCACACAAACCGCTGGCATGTAACCCCTTTGTAGTGCTTTTTCTGGGGGTACGCATACCCCTAAACATTTTGTGAATCTTTGTACTTTTGTCCATTTACCGTATTTATTTTTTGTGATTTGAACTATAAAATGGTGATTTTCTTGAGTCAAAATGAGAGTACCCCTAAACATTTGGGGGGGGGGAGCACTGCCCCTGTGTAAGTTTCGGGTGTGGAAAGCAGGCTTAACTTTCCCACTACACGGCAGCGCTTGCGACTTTGGGCCACAAGGTGGAGCTCCTTCACGCTGAAATGAGGATGCAAACCGGCCTCTTAGCCAGAAGATGAGCAAGAATTTGTAGAGAAGGAAGTGTGCAAGGATCAGGGTGGGGAGAGCCAAAGTACATAGCCAGCACATATAGTCCCCTCAGAGAAAACAGCAAAGAGAGAGCCTGCTTTTCCCTTTCTTGAGCAGTCCTCAAGCTGTTCTAACTCCTCAGTCGCTCCTGTGGTTCTGATGGCTGCATGAGTTTTCAGCAGCTGGAAGTTTCCCCATTCTGTGTTTGCACAAAAAAAACTGAGCCTGTTGACTTCCTGCGCAGCATTGAACTGTGAGAGAGAAGCCCTGCCAGAGAACAATGTGCCAGCCCTCCATTTGCCATGGCTTCAACTGATTCCCCCCACCCCATGCTCTTAAATCAGTCGCTAAGGACAGATTGAGTGGCAGCAGCTGGGAGACCAGGCACGTGCCTTGCCAGAGTGTGCAGCTGGATTGGACGGGGCTTTATCTGGGTCTCAGCTCCACCTGGATGGGGCGGAACTGAATTCAACTCCCTCCCCCATTCCTCTTTTGTGCTACATAAGCTCTTGATATAAAAGGTACCTACCAGGAGCTCTTTGGTATGGAGGCAATAAGTATTCATGGAGGAGAAGGCAGTTGATTGCTGCTAGCCAGGATGTGTGCGCTCTGCCTCCACGGTCAGGGGCAGAAATTCTTTGGGATACCTTAGTAACTACTGACCAGTGGTGACTCATTTTTCCTTCCTGGGTAAAGTCCTTGAGCAGGTGGTCCCAGTAGGGTCACCCCAGGCAGTCACTTTACTGTGGCTTGGGAAACACAGACCACTTGTAAATGCCATCTCCAACTCCTTGAAAGATTCCATTAACAGTGTCTCAGAAAATTTTTACATATCATTTGCGAAGGCAGGCAAATTAATGCCAGTGTACTGGAAGAAGCAAAGATCACCAGTGTCAAAGCAATCATTCTTCAACATCAACTTCGTTGGACTGGTCATGTTGTTCGGATGCCTGATGATCGTCTTCCAAAGCAACTCCTCTATTCCGAACTTAAAAATGGAAAGCGTAATGCTGGTGGTCAACAAAAGAGGTTTAAAGACTGTCAAGGCAAATCTTTAAAAAATGTAGCATAAACACTGACAACTGGGAAACACTGGCCTGCGAGTGCTCCTGTTGGAGAACAGCCTTTACCAAAGGTGTCCTGGGCTTTGAAGACACTTGAACTCAGGACGCAAGGGAGAAACGTGCGAAGAGGAAGCCACGCTTGGCAAATCCACACTGGGACCAACTCCCACCTGGAAACCAATGTCCCCACTGTGGAAGGACATGTGGATCCAGAACTGGCTCCACAGTCACTTACGGACTCACTGTTAAGGCCTTGTTCATGGAAGACAATCTTGCTCAGCTATGAAGGATCACCAAAGAAGAAAGAATCCTTCTGGAGCGGCTGTCCAAGTTCAGGGTGGCTGGCACCTATTTGCGGTGGTTCCAGTCCTGCTTCGATGGTTGTTCCCAGAGGGTGCTGCTGGGGGAGTGTTCTTTGGTCCAATGGAGCCTTCAATGTGGGATTCCTCGGGGTTTGATTTTATCCCCTGTGCTGTTTAACATGAAACCTCTTGAGCGGGATTATCCAGAGCAGGCTTCCTCAGCCTTGGCCCGCCAGGTCTTTTTTGGCCTACAACTCCCATGATCCTTAGCTAGCAGGACCAATGGTCAGGGATGATGGGAACTGTAGTCTCAAAACAACTGGAGGGCCGAGGTTGAGGAAGCCTGATCCAGAGGTTTGGCGTTGTCAGCAATATGCTGATGACACGTACCTCTACTTCTCTCTACATCAGTGGAAGTGCTGGACTGGTGTCTTCCCTCGGTAATGGACTGGCTCGCTTGGCACCTTCATAATACACCTTTTGGTGCCAGGTAAAAACCTTCTTCCACCAGGCCTTGGGCTGATTAACATCTGATACCCTTTTACATGTGTTGGGGGAGGGGGTTGTTAGCTTGTTTTGGTTCTTGTTTTTGTTACAGTGGTGCCCCGCAAGACGAATGCCTCGCAAGACGGAAAAACCGCTAGACGAAAGGGTTTTCCGTTTTGAAGTTGCTTCGCAGGACGAATTCCCCTATGGGCTTGCTTCGCAAGACGAAAATACCTTACGTAGTCTAGAGATTTTTTTCGCTTTCCCCCTTTATCTAATCTGCTAAGCCTTTAATAGCCTTTAATAGCCTTTTAGCAGCTAATCCCTAAGCCTTTAAGCCTTTAATAGCCGCTAAACCGCTAATAGCGCTAATAGCGCTAATCCGTCAATGGGCTTGCTTCGCAAGACAAAAAAACCGCTAGACGAAGACTCTCGCGGAACGGATTAATTTCGTCTTGCGAGGCACCACTGTACGTATTTTGCGTTTTTTAGCTTGCATTTTCATGTAAACGAACCACCCTGAGATCTACAGAAGAGGAGCAATAGACGAATTTGATAATAAATGGCAGAACCCAGGACTGCAGCAAGGGCGCCCCACTTTTAAACCCTCACTCAGCCACGAAGCTCACAGGGCCGCCTGGGCTCAATCACTGTGCTTTAGCTTTGTCTGCTTTACTGTGTTGTTGCTGTTAGGATACAATGGGGACGGGAACCTTTTAGGCATCCTTGAACCTAAAGAAGTGAATGAAATGAGCTTGGAACAGGAGGCCCTGTGGTTACTACGACTACTATTAATATTTATTAACTTTATAGACCACCCTTCATCAAGAGACCACAGAGCAGTTTAAACCATAAAACTCCAGTTACTTAATATAATAATAGTAAAGGGCAGCAATACCCCCTCGTCTTCTTCCCCTTCTTCCCTCCCGTGGTTTTTTAGCTTGCATTTGCATGCAAATGAACCACGCTTAGATCTTTCTTCCCTCCTGTGGTTCTGCTTTCCAGAGATAAATTGCTAGAAGTCCCTGGTAGAAGTTCCTACCTCACAGGGTTGTTGCAGGAGGGGAAGAACCATGTATGCCACTTTGAGCTCCTTAGAGGAAGAGGTGAGATGTAGATGCAATAAATAAACAAAACCTTTTGCTGTGTGGCTTCAGGTGAGGTCCAGTTGTCCTGGTGCTGCTGTTTATCCCAGGAGGCCTGGGATTTTGCCCTGCTCTGATTACTTCCTTCTCCCCTCCCAGGTGTCGCCGGAAGATACGCAAGCTCAGTTTCTGATCCCTGGGGGGTCCCTGGGCAAGAACAGGGCGGAAGCCTCGCTGGAACGGGCTCAGGACCTCAACCCCATGGTGGACGTGAAAGCGGACCCTGGGAACGTCGAGCAGAAGCCCGAGGAGTTCTTCACCCGCTTTGACGTGGTGAGTTCTGGCGGGAGAAGCCAGCGAGGGGAGGCAGTCCGAGTGAGTGGCCTCGGTGGGCCACCATTTTCACAATGCCTCTGCTCCCAGATTGCCCTCTCTGGTGCTGTCAGAGGGGGTCTTGAAGCAGAGGCCAGCCGGCATGCAGGAGAGAGGAGATGACAATGAAGGCCTTTTTTTTTTTAATCTTAATAATAATAATAATTTATTTCATTGTACTTCATTTTTTTAAAAAAAAATAATATTTATTAAAATTTCAAAAGAAAAAGATCACATTAATAAGAAAATTAACAATAAAAAGGAAAAATACTAAATACAAAAAAGAAAAAACAGTTAAAAACAATTCCATCTTTTCATCACTTCTTTTACATTTACTTGTTTCCCGGACCTCCTCATACCTCCCTCTTTTGTATTCCAATTCAATATGTTAGTCCAGCAATTCCTTTCCCTCCTTTTTAATCCTGATCTTTAATCTTGATATATTATAACATTAAATTTTTACATATTAAAAACCAAATTTTCCATGTTTTTTTATACCATTACCGCTAGAAACCGGTTAACTTCAATCCGTCATCATTCTAACATTCATTAATTTTACAATATTTCTGTAAGTAGTCTTTAAATTTCTTCCAATCTTCTTCCACTGACTCTTCTCCCTGGTCACGGATTCTGCCAGTCATTTCCGCCAATTCCATGTAGTCCATCATTTTCATCTGCCATTCCTCCAGTGTGGGTAGCTCTTGTGTCTTCCAATACTTTGCGATAAGTATTCTTGCTGCTGTTGTAGCGTACATAAAGAAAGTTCTGTCCTTCTTTAACACTGATTGGCCGACTATGCCCAGGAGAAAGGCCTCTGGTTTCTTCAAGAAGGTATATTTAAATACCTTTTTTAATTCATTATAAATCATCTCCCAGAAAACCTTAATCCTTGGGCACGTCCACCAAAGGTGAGAGAATGTACCTTCAGTTTCTTTACATTTCCAACATTTGTTATCGGGCAAATGGTAGATTTTTGCAAGCTTGACTGGGGTTATGTACCACCTGTATATCATTTTCATAATATTCTCTCTTAGGGCATTACATGCCGTAAACTTCATACCTGTGGTCCACAACTGTTCCCAGTCAGCCATCATTATATTATGTCCAACGTCTTGTGCCCATTTAATCATAACAGATTTCACCATTTCATCCTGAGTATTCCATTTCAACAGCAAGTTATACCGTATTTTTCGCACTATAGGACGCACTTTTTCCCCTCCAAAAATGAAGGGGAAATGTGTGTGCGTCCTATGGTGCGAATGCAGGCTTTCACTGAAGCCTGGAGAGCGAGAGGGCCGGTGCGCACCGACCCCTCTCGCTCTCCAGGCTTCAGGAGAGCCCCAGCGCCAGCCCCACAAGGTCGGGGGACAGAGGGAGGCGGAACGCCGCCATCCCGCTGTCTCCCGGAGTGGTTTGGAGGCTGACGGCGGGGAGACCCCGCTGCCGGCCCCGCAAGCTCCGGGGACAGCTGGGAGACGCAGCGCGTCTCCCCGCTGTCCCCGGACCTGATCGCAAGGCGGGCGGCAGGGAGAAGAGCGCTCTCCCGCTGCCTGCCCCCAAGCTCCGGGGACAGCTGGGAGACGCAGCGCGTGTTCCCGCTGTCCCCGGACTTGATGTCACGGTGGGCGGCAGGGAGAAGAGCGATTCTCCCCGCTGCCTGCCCCCACGCTCCGGGGACAGCTGGGAGACGCAGCCCGTCTCCCCGCTGTCCCCGGACCTGATCGCAAGGCGGGCGGCAGGGAGAAGAGCGCTCTCCCCGCTGCCTGCCCCCACTCTCCGGGGACTGCTGGGATACGCAGCGCGTCTTCCCGCTGTCCCCGGACCTGATCTGAAGGCGGACTGCGGGGAGAAGAACGCTTCTCCCCGCTGCCGGCCCCACAAGCGCCTGGGGGGGAAATAATTTTTTTTCCTTTATTTCCCCCCCAAAAAACTTGATGCGTCCTATGGGCCGGTGCGTCCTATGGTGCAAAAAATACGGTACATCTTTGACAAAATCTTAGTTTTGGGTTCTAACAATTCTGTTTCTAATTTTGATTTTTCCACCTGGAAGCCAATTTTCTTGTCCAAATTGTATGCCACCATTATCAGATAATAATGAAGCCAGTCTCGCACTTTGTTTTTTAATTTTTCAAAACTCTGCAGTTTCAATCTATCTCCATCTTGTTCCAAAATTTCCCAATATTTCGGCCATTTGACCTCCATATTGAGCTTTTTCAGAGCTTTCACTTCCATCGGTGACAGCCACCTTGGTGTTTTATTTTCCAATAAATCCTTATATCTTATCCAAACATTAAACAATGCTTTCCTGACAATATGGTTTTTAAATGCTTTATGTGCTTTGACCTTATCATACCACAATTATGCATGCCATCCAAATACATTGTTAAAACCTTCTAAATCCAAAATGTCAGTGTTTTCAAGAAGCAGCCATTCTTTCAACCAGCAAAAGCTGCTGATTCATAATAAAGTTTGAGGTCTGGCAGGGCAAATCCACCTCTTTCCTTTGCATCTGTTAATATTTTGAATTTTATTCTGGGCTTCTTGCCCTGCCAGACAAATCTAGAAATATCTCTCTGCCACCTCTTGAAACAGTCCATTTTGTCCACAATTTGCAATGTTTGAAACAAAAACAATATTCTAGGCAATACATTCATTTTAACCGCAGCAATACGGCCCAGCAGTGAAAGCTTCAAATTTGACCAAAATTCTAAATCTTTTTCACTTCAGCCCAACATTTTTCATAGTTATCTTTAAATAAATTCCCATTTTTTGCTGTCATGTTAATCCCCAGGTATTTAACTTTCTTAACCACTGTTAAGACAATGAAGGCCTTTTCTGGCCTTTCTTAGAAAGTCTCTGTCGCACAGGCCACTTGGCAGCCTGAGCTAGATGAGAGGTCTGGAGGGTGGCGACATGAGGATGAGGCCTTTTCTGCCGTGGCTCCCTGTTTGTGGAATACCGTCCCCAGGAAGGTTCGCCTGACACCTCCAGGCGCCGGGTGAAAAGGTTCCTCTTTTGGGCTGATGAAATCTGTGGCCTTTTAAACTGTGTCTGTACAGAGCGGCTATTGGTTTTTTTTATATTATGTTCTGCATTTTGTGTTTTTATGTCGTAAGCTGCCCTGTAATCATTGAACGAAGAGCAGCATACAAATTAAATAAACAATTCGAATAATATGCTCAGGCAGCTGACCTCTGGCCCCGGGGCTTTCGCCTTCCAGGTCTGCGTGACGTGCTGCTCCCAGGACGTCCTGGTGAAGATCGACCAAATATGCCACAAGAACGGTGTCAAGTTCTTTGCGGGAGACGTCTTTGGCTACCACGGCTACATGTTTGCCAACTTGGGCGAGCACGAATTTGTGGAGTGAGTCTGCCTGGGAGCTGGTAATGGGGCTGGGAAGTGCCCTTCGTGGGGGGGGGGGGGACTGTAGGCCTGTCAGGTGCTGCTGGGGGAAACCTCTCTGGAGTTTGGCCACTGGAGGGAGCCCGAGAGCCATCCTGTGCCCACTGTCCAGGTTCCTCTCTAGCGCTGCACCGACGCTTAACCAGTTGAAACTCAGGCCGCTGGGGAGCAGGGGTCCTCCACTGGCCGGAGGGGAGGGGGCCGCAGTGTGAATTTGCTTCCGTGCCTTGCAGAGAGAAGACAAAAGTTGCCAAAGCCAGCCAGGGAGTGGAGGATGGACCGGACGCAAAGAAAGCCAAGCTGGACTTCACAGAGACCACGCTGGTGAAGAAGGTGCGTGCTGGGAGAGCTCTCTGGCCATTTGGAACAGAGGCAGGAGCGGGTCTGTGCCTTGCTTCCTCCCCCCCCCCCAACGCCACATAATGCAGTGGCCACATAGCTGCATTCCTGGTCTTCATCCCCAAAACTCCTCTGAGCTGAGTCTGCCTTTTCTCCTCCTCTTCCCTCTCCCTCAGGCAGGTCTGCCGTTGCCCCAGTGCAGTTCTCTCAGTCTGTCAGGTGCTTCTCATTCTTTGCTTGGGCTCCAGACAAGCTCACCATCCCGGCCTTCCCCTTCCCCTAAGAGCCGGGTGGGGACCATGTGGCCTTTCAGGTGTTGTTGGACTAGAATTCCCCTTGTTCCTGACCATCGGAGTCTCAGCGTCACAGCTGTCCTATCCCTGAATTAAAAGATGCCGAGATGAGAAGGAATAGTTCAGGGGGGTAAATGAGCCTCATGTGGAAACCCCATCTAGCCCTGCCATTGGGCAGATCCTGGCCTCTGCATCAGATTAATGCTCTGTGCAAAACGATAAAGGAAAGGATGTTGTGTCCTGTTGCTCAGGCCCTTCTGGGTCCCAAGTGCATTGAAAGGACTGATCCTTCTGGGAAGCTCTGCGCTTCAGCTGGGCTGGGCAGACTCTGACTGGAGCAGAGAAGGCCTATTGAGTCAACTTGCCTCTGCCCTATATAGCTAGGTTTCTAGGGTTGATATCTTGGAAGCATTTTGGGATTCTTCCTTAGGGAGGGGCAGGGAGGCCCTCGGAAGTGGTGGGCTGTGTGAGAGGGGTGGGGCTGTGGTGGTGATGGTGGGTGCACGTGGTTGTCTGGGGTCCTCCAAGAGAAAGGATGGGTTATTAATTGTAACAAATAAAGAACTGGTGGTTCATTGATAGTTGTCTGTTAGCAAACACCGCGGTCAGTGCCCGGGCCATTCATAATCTAAGCCATCTCCAGTCCGGGCCCATGGATTTCTGAAGCCTCTTTCTACAACTGAAGAGGCAGAAACCAGGTTTCTGGCCAGTTCTATGTCTTTTAGATACATAAACCTGCCAGGTCTGAGCTGGCATGGCAAGCTGCTAGCTATGGGCTACTAGTTTAAGCTACACCATGGCTTAGTGAGGCTCCCAACAGAGGAGATCACAGCTGCTTTGCTTTTCCCCATGGGCTGTGACCCAGGTTTGTAAAGGACAGCCAAGCCCCGAGCCTGGGTTCTGATAGCATAGATAAGCCAAACCCCGGCTGGAGAGGGGCAAAGCAGCTGCCATCTCCTCTCCTCAAACCAAGCCTCCGTGTGGGCTGCCAGATGTTCTCACCTGGTTATACCACCGCAGGTATTGGAGGATGGAGGCCAGAGTGTCAGGCACGGCTCAGAGCTCCAACGGCTGCTTCTTGCCTCTGTCATCCACTTCACAGGTCATGGCCTCCAGAGATCAGATTGGGATGCTCTCTTGCAGAGCTCTGCTCCCCATTCCTGGTGCCTTTGTGCAACTGAGCTGCCCCTGGCGGTTTCTGTGTGCATCCTAGCAGTCCCACAGCCCCTTCCTGAATAGGCAGGAAGCACTTTGTAAGTCATGAGTTGGCCCAGCGTGGCGTCAGGAGGCGGCTCTCCTTGCTGCTTGTCAGATCAGGCCCCATCTTTCCTCAGCCCCCTGCCCGGGGGGGGGGTCAGGATCAAGCCAGCGATAACTCACACAGTGCCAGTGAAGTTCACTCTCTTTATTCAAAGAGACAAAACAGCTCCAGAGGCCAGGCCTCCTGGTAGATCTCCTCCCAGTAGATCTTGCCCCAGTGAGGCAATTTCAAGGACTGGAGACCCCTGCCTTCCCACAGGGGGGTCCCTTCTTCCTGCCTGCCTTTGCTCTGCCTTCTTCATGCCTCTTTGGCTTCCAGGAGACTAGTGGGGAGGGGAGCTGGTCACAGCAGGAGGGAGAGACCCCCTGGCTTCTCCAGCAACCTGCCTCATCTCTGTCTCCTGCCTCTGATCCTGGTCTGCTCTCTGCCACAGCCTCTTCCTGCTCACTAAACCCTGTTGCCTCTTCAGCTTGCGGCCCTCCTCCTCCCCGTCTGCCCCCTCTTCTCCCTCTGACCAGGCATCATTGCCCCGCCACCACGCCCCAGGCTCTGAGCCTTCTTCCCAGCCGGTGCCTCCCACTACTACTCAGCATCCATGGCAGGGACCTTCCTGGGGTTGCAAGGGGTCCAGCCTGCTTTTCCTGCCCAAATGCCATTCCTCAACCTCCCACCCTTTGCTGTGGGGGTCTCTGGGTGGGGGAGCCGGGCCGTTCAGAAGGAGCAACTGTGAAAAAGGAGAACAGAAAGGTAGCACCTGCTCTCTTAACGCTGAAAACAAGGCTGTGCCACCGAAAGCAGCCATAATGGGAGGAAGAGGGAATGTGGCCGCCATGAGCTGCTGGAAGGGGCATCCCTTGGTGGCTAAGCCAGGCAGCTGCACACGTGACCCTGGTGGGGCTCTCTGTCCTCTCCCCCCAGTGTGTGAATTTCTGCCTCCTGAAAGAGGCCTTGACTGTCGACTGGAGCGGCGAGAAGGCCAAGGCTGCCCTGAAGCGCACGGCCCCCGATTACTTCCTTCTTCAAGGTGAGATGCTCCCTTTGGAGGCCAGCGGGAGCGTTTATGTGGGGGGGGGAGTGTGTGTGAGCAGGAGGGCAGTTGGTGTTGCAGCTGGTCACCTGACTGCTCTTAGGCCCACATGACTCCTGGTCGCCAGCAGACAATGAAGCTGTGTCCCGCTTGCCGGCACGTGAGCCCCTTGCGCTCCCAAGGAGAGTCCTACCCGTGTGCAGCTGAGTGGGGGGCAGAGGGGCTTGGGGGGCTGTCTCTGGAACAGGCCCGGCATTCATCCCTGGGACAAATCTGCTTGGTGGCACAAGGACCCAGCTCTCTTCAGCGGGGCCTGCGGGGGGTGGGCAGCCGTGGGCTCCACCTGGTTCCCTGCCAGGGCAAGGCTGCCGGGCTCCAAGCAGCAGGCGCTCTGCCCCTTGCCACCGTCCAAGGAGGAGGAAGTGGGAGCCCTCTTGCCAGCCAGTGGGGCTTCATGTGTGTCCTTCTTGATCAGCCTTGCTCTGGGTAAGAGGCCTCGTTCTTGGGGCAGCACAAATCAAAGAGCTGCTTTGTGTCTTGGTCTCGCTCCAGTCCGTGTCGCTTCTGAAGCTCCTTTTTCTCCTTTGCCCTCACGGTTCCCCCTCCCCATCCCCAATGGGGGGAGCTTTAAGGCCTTTGTGTGGGCCTGGTGTGCGCAGGCAGCCCCTGTTGGGCCTTCGCAAAGGGGAGAGTGCTGAGACAGTCCCAGGGCAGCGGGAGGGAGGGGTTGTCAGGAACCCCACCAGGAGAGGAAGGTCCTCAGGGGAGATTTCCCCCTAGCTTCTCCTCTGCTTCCTTGGCTTTTCTAAAACACAGTGCCTTCCCTTCCCTCCTATCAGCTTGGATTCCTGCATGGCAGGGGGTTAGACTAGATGACCCTTAGGGTCCCTTTCAATTCCCCTATTCTGCGATTCCTGCTGCTGCTATTCTACTAATGCTTGGCATCAGTGCAATGAGATTCTTGCATCTTGGGGTTTAGCTACACAAAGTGGAGGAATTCTGAATCAATCGGTGTTTGAGGGGGGTGGGGGGAGGCGGCAGCAATGGCATGTTTGGACAGGGAACTACGTGGGCTGCTGCTGCTGCCAGTTTCATTGGGCTGGCCAGGGCTCAGAGTATGAGGGAGGGGGCATCAGGAGGTGGGCCATTTCCTCGGAGGGCCAGCTGGTGCTGATGCCAGCTTCTTGCCTGTGTGTATATATATAGTAATTGAGGATTGTGAGAACTTAGGATAACAGCAGCGGGGTTAGCCAGTCCCCTCTTCCTGCCACCCTGGAGTTCTGTTTCTGGGGTGCCAGTGAGGCTTTGCTATCACAGAATTATAGGATTTTACAGCTGGCAGGGGACCTTGAGGGTCATCTAGTCCAACCCCCTGCAATGAAGTAATCTCATCTCGAGCATGCATGACAGGTGGTCATCCAAACTCTGCTTTAAAACCTCCAAGGAAGGAGAGTCCACCACCTCCCAAGGGAGTTCATTCCACTGACAAACAGCTCTTACTGTCAGAGAGTTCTTCCTGATGTTCAGTTGGACTCTCCTTTCTTGTCATTTGACTCCATCGGTTCAGGTCCTCCCCTCCAGAGCAGCAGCAGAAAACAAGCTTGCTCCCTCTTCCATGGGACAGCCCTCGAGATATTTGAAGATGGCTCTCATTTCTCCATCTCAGTCTCTACCAGGCTAAACATACCCAACACCCTCAACCGTTCCTCATCAGGCTTGGTTTCCTGACCCTTGATCATCTTGGTCACCCTCCTCTGCACATGTTCCAGCTTGTCAGTATCCTTAAATTGTGGTGCCCAGAACTGGACACAGTGTTCCAGGTGAGGTCTGACCAAGGCAGAATAGAGTGGGACTATGACTTCCCTTGATCTGGACACTAGACTTCTAGCATTAGGGTTTTTTTAGCTGCTGCCTCACCCTGTGGACTCAGCTTCAGCTTGTGGTCCACCAAGACCCCAGATCCTTTCCACATGTCCTGCTAGTAAGCCAGGTGCCCCCCATCCTATACTGGTGCAGCTGGTTCTTCCTGCCTAAGTGCAGAACCTGACATTTGTCCTCTTTGAGATTCCTTCTGCTGCTTTGGGCCCAGCTCTCCAATCTGTGACGGTCGTATTTAATCCCGATTCATTCTTCTGCAACATCAGCTGCCCCTAGGCCCCTGTGGCTCTGGCTTGGCTGACCTATCCTTGCTGGGTGATCTCACTTCTCTTCCAGCAGGGCAAGGAAGGAATTGGGCAGGCCCAGTAGGCTGTGTTTGCTGTTGGGTGGGGCTTTGCCTGAGGCCAGGTCTGACCTTGGTGCATCCGCCAGCCAAATTTGGCAGGTGGGTGGGGCTGTGACTTTGCAAAGTGCCCTTTGAAACAGCTTCCCCTCCCTTGGAAGGAGGAGAGAGCCCTGCTCTGTGTCTCCTTTAAGAGGGAGGCCGGCAGCACTGCAGCAGGAACGCTTCCCTCCCCCAACACACACTCACATCAGCTGATACAGCCGAGATCCTGTGCACCAGAGAGATCCCTAAAGGAACGGAACAGGATTGCTGTCCCTTCCCATCATCGGGTGGGAGAAGCGGACCTGCCTAGCTGTGGGCTCTGGCGCACGTGCAACCGAGCGCTAAGCAGATTGCTCTTGCTTTGCCTTGGCTGAACCCGTGCGCAGCCTCTGCAGACTGGAGGCGGTCTGTGCAAAGGCCTTTCCTTCCGGGGGTGTAAAGGGGGCCTCCAGAGAGCAGCCCTGCGGAGGAGGAGGAAGAGGAGCTGCCTTGGCCTTCGGGAGCAAGTAGGCTGGGCACCGTCTGCATGTTCCTTGCCCCCCACATACCCATCTGGGTGGCGGGGGCTCTGGAGGTGGCCGCCCCTGGGATTCATGAGAAGGGGTCTCATTGCCCACCCAAGCCAAGGGAGACTTTGGTCGTTTGGAGGTGAACCTGCCCCCCAACAGGGCCCAGCAGACATGGGGTGGGGTCTGGGTTGGGGGTGTTTGGGAAGCCGGCTGCGACGGGTTGTGATGCTGTTTCTGCCGCTGCCGCCTCTTGCAGTGCTCCTGAGATTCCGGACCCTCAAGGGCCGGGACCCTTCCCGGCAGAGCTGCTCAGAGGACGCCGAGGTGCTCCTGCAGATGCGCGCAGATGTGCTGGCCTCTCTCGGGGTCGCGGCTGACCTGCTCCCGGATGACTTTGCCAGGTGGGTGGCGGCCCCTTGAGCCTGCTCCACGAGGAACCCCTGAGGACGGACCCCCACCACTAGGCTTTGCTGCTGCCTTGTCGTCAGCGCTCCCCTGAGTTGGCCCTATGTCCCCCATGTCCAGTGTTTTGGGAAGGGCCGTGGCTCAAGCCTGGCAGGACCACACTGGTCTCCTCCTTCTCTGGGAGGGCTGACCCGACCCTCTGAAGGCTCCTGTGGGTCTGCAGGGCCAGAGCCGGGACTGGCAGGTCCTGCCTTCAGCTGCCGGGCTCTTCCCCTCCACGTGGCTGAGGGAGCGGCTGCCGGGCCTTTCTCTTGGGCGAGTTCAGGCCGTTAATCCTGAAAGGGCCTCCGTTGCTGGGCAGTCCCCGGTGCCGCAGTGCTGCTTGTGGGAATGGAGGGGGCAGCAGCTCTGTGACCTTGGGGGGGGGGAGCGACGGCTTCTTTCCTCCTGGAGGGAGGGGGCAGCGGAAGGCCCTCTTGTGCCCCTCAGGCGAGGCGAGGCTTCTGAGCCCCCCACCACATTGGCATGTCTCTGCCTGCGACCCACCAGGGGTAACGGAGAATGTTTGGAGAGGAAGAATGTGGGGGGCGGCGGCTGGGGACTATGTTTAGCAAGGCTGTCTGGAGCAGGGGGGGGGCAGCCTGCCCAGCCCCCTCAGGACTGTGTGGAATGCCCACGGACAACACCAGGCCGGGATTGGGTTGCCCCGACTACACTGGGCTGTGGCTGCCCTCTGCCAAAAACGCTCTGCTTGGCATGTTGCTTCTGTGGGGGCTCCACAAAGAGATGTTTCCACAGGGCCCCCCCTCCGACACACCCCTTTCTCTCTCTCAGCTCCTGCTGCTCCGAAGTGGCTCCCGTCTGCGCTGTGGTCGGAGGAGTGCTGGGCCAGGAGGTGGTCAAGGTGAGGCCCGTGGCCCTGGATTCCCCACAGGGCGGGGGGAGCGGCTCTTGCTTGCGGCCCCACCCACAAGCAGCACAGCTGCAGGCCATATCTGGTGTCTCTTCCCCTGCCCCACAACTGTGAACATTCCTGGAGAGAAGAGTGGGGAGGATCCTGGCTGCCCCCTTGGCCCTGGCAGCATGGGTCTTCCGGGCCCCCTCTTATCCCCCCCAGCTCTGCCTCTCTGCTCACGCTGCCTTTCCCCCCATCTCCAGGCCCTCTCTCAGCGGGATGCTCCCCTCAACAACTTCTTCTTCTTTGACGGCATGAGGGGCAACGGGATGGTGGAATGCCTGACCCCCAACTGAGCCTGGGCCACAACCCCAGAGCCCTTGGTAGTCCTGGACCAGCTGCCCACAGCCCCATGAGCCTCTTCCCTCTGTGGCACCTCTGCCCTTGGGGGGGGGGCTGTTGCTGATGCCCCCCTTCCTGCATTGCCACGGATGGGGTGGGTGTGTTACTTTAGCACTCAATAAACTTTTTTTAGTACCATTTCTCTCCTGCAGCGCGTTTGACTGGAGCCTATTTGTCCTTAAATGGAGAGGAGTGGGGGGGCCCTCTGTTCCTGTTTCCCCTCCGGGGGCCCTGGACTATTCTTGCCTGGCTGGGCACGGGAGGCGCTTTGGGGGCCAGGCGATGGCCTGCGCCCAGCAGCTGTTGGGGCTGAAGGTGGCCCCCCTGCTAACCTGGCCAGGTGCTCTTCTGTGGCTTGGCAGAGCCGGGCATGGGGGGGGGGTCCTGGCCAGGGGCTCCCGGCACGGGCCTCTGTTCCTGGCGCGGCATCATGGGAGGGTGGGGCTGCTTTGTGGTCAAGCAGCCAGAGGGTCAGCAGAATGCCCGCCCTGCTGTTTAAGGAAGCGAAGGTGAGGCTGGCCAAGGCAGGCCGCAGGTCCCGCTGGGCGGGGCTGCCTTTGGGGTCAGCTCTGCATTCCTCCTTCCCCACAGCTGCGCTTCTGGGGAGAAAGGTCACCTTGGCGCTTGCCAGGGGGAGGGGGGCTGGGGCTTCAAAAGACCTGGGCTGACCTCCCTCTGGGCCCTCTCCGGCTCCGTGGGGCAGCCCTCAGGATCGCAACAGCTCAGTCAGCCCCACTGACCAATATCCCACACGGCCTGCTCCAGTGGGGGGCCTTCCCCTCTCCAGTTGTACGTACCAAGTTGTGGCTCAGAGCCCCCCAGCTCCACCGAGAAGGCCTCCCCCCTGCTGGAGAGTCGCTGCTGCCAGGCCTGACCTTGGGGGCAAAGCCACTTCCTATGTCCTCTGTTTACAAGCAAAAATCACATGTAGGCCTTGACAATACAACTTCTTAGTCCAGTTTTTATTGAAAAGGAAACATACAAAATTCTGCCTCCCCCCCAAAGTACAGACCCCCCCTCCTCCCCCCCTCAAGTATCTACAGGCAGCACCAAGTTCTCCTGTACAAGTTGTAGATTGTCCACAGGATGTATATACAGTACACACAGCAGCTTCCGCTGTACAGCCCCCCCCCCGCCGCCCCCTATGTACAAGATGGCCACGCCCCCTATTTACAGCTTGGCCCGCCCCCCAGAAGGAAACCGGGCCCTGTGCAATTGTCTCCCCCCCCCGCCCCTCCCCCTGTACAGGCTCCATTGAACAGTATTGACATAGTGCTAACTTGCTTGGCGTCCCAGCTGAGCAGCTCTGCTTAAGGCACTGCTGGGCTGGGGGCAGAAGGAAGCAGCCCTGCGCGCCCCCCCTGGCTCACGGCCCCCGGCGGGGCGGGCGACGGCGCGGGGGGGCGGCTCCAGGCCCGGCTGGGTTCCCCCCTGGCCAGCAGGAGGACCACGAGGAGGCGGAGGAGGCGGCTAGTTGGGGCGCAGGGCGGCCAGGCCCTCCGCCGGCAGGTTGTACAAGATGCCCAGCAGCTGGAAGACGAAGTGGGAGACGTGGCCCCAGAGGGCGCCCTGCGGCCGGCGCTGCTCCTGCGGGGAGAGGAGGAGAGGGCGCAGGTGAGCGGGGCAGCGGCGGGGCGGGCACTGCCCTGCCCAGGCTCCCGTGCCCGGCCGCCTGCCATCCCGCGCTATTTATAGGAGATGAGTCAGCGGCGGCGGCGGCGGCGCCTGCCCGGCTCCCTGGGCAAAGCAGCGGCGGAGGACGGGGCTGGGCGGTGGGGCCACCGGCATCCCGGCCCCCCCCCCCGTGCCACCAGCATCCCGGGCACACGCCCCCCCCCGGTCCTCTCCCCTGGCACCGACTTACCCTGTGCGCGTACTCGCGCTGGAACTGGTCTCCCAGGACTCGCAGGCGCGCCCCGATGGCTCTCTCCAGGCCGGGCGCGGGGGTCCTGAGCTGGACGGGGGGCTCCTCCGGGCGGGGGGCGGCGGCGGGCGGGTCGCCTGCGGGAGGAAGGCAGCGGCGATGAGGGCGGCGAGGCGGGGAGGGCAGCAGCAAGCCGAGGAGGGGCGGGAGGGGGCCGTTTCCTGTCTCCTTGGCAACTGCGGAGGGAAAAGGGATCATTCCAGGACACGGGCCCCCCCGGCTGGCGGGCGGGCTGGCTGGGGCGAGCAGCGCCGCGGGGAGCGCGCCTGCAGCTGCCTCTTGCCCTGCAGGCCCCCACCCCGGGAGACTGGGGGGGGGCGATGGTTACAAGGGGGCTGCCACTCGCTGCTCTCCGCCAGGGATGCTCCTCCTCGCCGCGCTTAGCTGGGGGCGGCCCCTCCCATAGTCTGCTCCCCCCTCAATACACGCAATTTTTTCATGAGTCAGCGTTTCCGCGCCAGGCTCAAGGAGGGCAGGGCGCTTGGGGGGCACCCCCTGCGCGCAGTGCGGCCGAGTGGGGCGGGACCAAAGCAGACTGAGGGGCAAACGGGATAGCCCCGAGACCCCCGCCCAATGCCGGCCACCTGCGCGCACGCTTCCCGGGGTTTTGGGGGTGCGGAAAGTGGTCTGGTCTCGGTGGGGGAGCAATAAAAGGAGCCCATTGGAGAACAGGCTGGCGCCCGATCTGGGTGCCTCGCCTGAGCCCCTTCCCACGTGCTCGCAGCCACCGCGTGTTGCCCGCAAGGAGACGCAGCGCTCCGGAAGGAGGAGCGCCCGTCGCGGAAAAACAAAGGTCTGTCCTTGACGGGCGGGGGCGCAGAAAGGGGCTGGGCTGTGCCGGACCCCCAGGACTCCTCAGGTGGGGAGAGGAGCGGAGGGTCCGCCCCCTCTTCCGCGGGCACCTGCGGCTGGGAGACACAGGGGCTGAGCCGCGCCCCTCTTGCCCCGCGCCCCGGGGGCGCGCCAGCCCTTTGCTTGCGGGACAGCTCCTGCGGAACAACCACCGCCCTGGCTGGGACCCCGGGGCCGGGGGAGGCGCTCTGCCCATGCTCAGAGGCGCTTTGTGGGTCCCGCCGCCCTCCCCTCGCCCAGCAGCAGGCGCCCCGCCCCCTCGAGCCCCCTCCCCAGGCACTCACCTCGCGTGGCCCCGGAGCGCATCCGCAAGGTCTCGTGTCCGATCCCGCAGCGGCAGAGGCCGTTCAGCCGGGGGGGCGAGGCGAGGGGCGTGCGGCAGAGGGGGGGCGGCAGGGCCAGCGCCCCCCCCACAGGGCAGGCTGGGCTCCCGGGCACAGCTGCTGTCGGCTCGGCGCGGCTCCCGTCCTGCAGTGGTCTGGCCATGGCGCTCGGCGGGGTCTGCGGGGCGAGCGGAGACGGGGCGGTCGGTGGGGGCGGGCGGGCTGGTGTTTGTAAACAAACCGCGCCGTGCCAGCTTCGCGGAGGGGGGGTCCGTCTCCCTTCCTCCCGCCCCGCCCCGATCCGGGCTGCCGCCCCCTGCAGCCACGTGCGCCCTCCCGCCTCCCCCGACGGGACGGTCCCTCCCCGGGCATCCGCCCGCCCCACTTACTGCAGCTGCATGAACCCTCCGGGGGCGGGGCGGGGGTCTCTGGGCAGCGCAGGGGCTCCGTCGGCGGCGGTGGCGGCGGCGGCGGGCGAGGCAGGAGAGCGACCCCGGCGAGCTGGAGCGGCGGCGGCGGCGGCGGCCAGAGTCTCTCTGCCAGGCGAGCGGGCAGCGGCAGCGCAGCCCGGAGCCGGGCCCCGCCCCCGCCCTGACGTCACCGCGCCCCGCCCCCTCCGCCGCCTCCCGGAGGCAAGTTCGGGCTTGTGCGGGAGCCGGGGATCCCCCGAGGGGCGCGGCCGGACGGCGGGACCCGCGCGCAGCAGGCGCCCCCTCCGTCGCGCTCCCCGCTCGACCCATTCCCCGCGCGGGCAACTGAGGCTGGCCCGGGTCCGGCTTGGCGGGCAAACGTCCGCCCCGCCTCCCTCGGAGTAAACAAGCAGACGGAACCCGCCTCCCCGCGGACTAGCGCCATGCGGAGGGGCTCCAGCCAGAAAAGGACGCGGAACACTGACATGCTTAAGTGTTTTGCGCGCGGAGAGAAAAGAGCTTTCCTCCGCTTCAGGGGCCACAACTGAAAACAGGCCTCCATATGTTGTGCAACCAGGAAGTTCCAGGGTCAACAATGAGGGGGGGCACCTCTCTCCGGGCACCCTGGCAAGCAGCTCCCCCAGCCAGATCAGAGCACCCGGCCCCTCCAGAAACCTTCCTGGCTGCAGCAGTGCAGTAATCTAACCTGCAAGGGACTTCAGGCACTGAGGGCCAGACAGAGGCAAAGCTCCCCAGGAAAGGGCGCAACTGGCAAAGCAACTGGGGTGGGGGGGGAAAAGGGGCTCCAGGTCTGGACCCAGGTGCTGCCCACCCATTGCTTGAAGCGAGGGGCAACCTTATCCAAAAGAGGCTGGATGCTTCTCCCAAGACTTGCTCAGGGTCGCCTCCTCCACCAGGCACCAGAGCATAAGCAAAAGGCCTGCGGGATCAGGCCTGTGGCCCATCTGGTCCAGCAGCCTGTCAAAGGGAAGCCCACACGCAGGATCCAAGCACAAGAGCCCTTTCCCCTTGGGGTTTGGTCAGTCAGCCAGTTACAAGTCCTCTGACCTGTTCCCTGGCCCGGACCACATCTCACCAGCTCCTCCACCAGAAGGGGTCCCCTACTGAGTCATAGAATCATAGATCTTGGGAGCTTCGTCAAAAGCCCTCCTGAAATCAAGATACACTATGTCCACAGCATTCCCCTGATCCACCAAGCTTGTAACGCTATCCAAAAATGAAATGAGATTCATTTGTCTGGCGTGACTTGTTTTTGGGAAACCCATGCAGGGTTTTAGAAGCGATTGCCACTGGCCCATCTAGTCCAGCCTCCTGCTCTCCCAGTGAATGGCCAGATATCCCCAAGGGAAACCTGCAATCAGGATCCGAGCACTAGGGCCCTCTCCCCTCCCGCGGATTCCAGCCACTGGGATTCGGAAGCACAGCTGCCTCTGGCTGTGGAAGAAGAGCAGAGGGCCTTCTCGGTGGTGGCACCCGCCCTGTGGAACGCCTTCCCATCAGATGTCAAGGAAATAAACAACCACCTGACTTTTAGGAGACGTCTGAAGGCAGCCCTGTTTAGGGAAGCTTTTAATGTTTGATTCTATTTTTAATATTCTGTTGGGAGCCGCCCAGAGCGCTCTCCTCCATGAATTTCTTTAATCCTCTTTTAAAGCCACAGGTCAGTGGCCATCACTATCAGGGCTCCTCTTCCATGGTGAGCAATCCAGGACAAGGCCTGCGACTCTTGGGAAAGGGGAAGGCAAACTCCCAAGGCTTGGAAGGGCGCGGGGGGGGGGTAGGAGGAGAGGAGGCCTCCTTGGGAAGCCAAGCCAGGCAGCCTTTGTTGAAGCAGGCTGGCCGGGGGATTTCCAGCAGCTGACCCTTTGTGGAGCTGTGCTGTGGGCCTCTTCCCCATCAGAGGGCCCCGTGCTGGGCTCTGGGTCAGGGGGTCATCCCCACAGCTGAGCGGGAGGGAGAGGGGAGGAGGGGAGGCTTTTTCTAGCTGAATCTTTTGGCCTGGCCTGTGGCGGGGAGTGTCATCCATGGCCCACCAATGCGCACATTGGCAGAGGTGCCTGGCCTTGGTGTACAAAGCTGTGTGCGTGTGTGTCTGCTTGCGCATTGGAGCAGAGTGTCATGTATGAAGATGTTGGTGGGACTCACTCACAGGTCCTTGCTGTGATTCTGACTCACAGTGAAATAGGGGCCTGAATGGAGGTCCCGTGGCAGAACAGTCTGACAAGAGTAACATCATCATTATTATTACAGTATTAGTATTATTATTATTATTATTATTACCAGTCCTTCCTGACTCCAAGATATGGTGGGGGGCATTATGAGGCCCCTGGGATGCGGGTGGCGCTGTGGTCTAAACCACTGAGACTCTTGGGCTTGCCAATCAGAAGGTTGCCAGTTTGAACCACTGCAACGGGGTGAGCTCCTGTTGCTCTGTCCCAGCCTCTGCCAACCCAGCAGTTCGAAAGCATAGCAGTGCAAGTAGATAAATAGGTACCGCTGTGGTAGGAAGGTAAACAGCGCTCTGGTTTCCATCACAGTGTTCCATCATACCAGAAGCGGCTTAGTCCTGCTGGCCACATGACCCGGAAAGCTGTCTGTGGACAAACACCTGCTCCCTCGGCCTGAAAGCGAGATGAGCACCGCACCCCATCCAGGGGTCATTTACCTTCACCTTCTGAGGCCCCATCCTGTACACCCAGCACCTATATATGCTCAGGACCCAGGTTCAAAGGGATGCATGTTTCTGTAAGGGACCAAAGCAGGGAAGAATATTCCAGGAGGCAGAAGGAGCCTTCAAGTCACTCTTTGCCGATCAGAGCTGTTTATCTGCCCGTTGTCAGCTCAGGACCTAAGTGCAGCCTAGTCCAGTGTCCTGTTCTCCCAGTGACCAGCCAAGTGCCCCAAATGGACCAAGAGCTCCTCTCCCTTCTGACAGTTTCCAGCCACTGGGATTCAGAAGCACGGCTGCCTCCAGCTATGAAGACAAGAGCACAGCTGTCTGGAGCCACTGAGAGCCTTTTCCTCCTGGATGGTTTGCCCAGTCCTCTTGGAAAGCCACGCACTGGTGGCCGTCCTGTGGGAGTGAGTTCCACAGGCTGAAATCCCACCGGCTGTGCAAACTCCCACCAAACTGAGGGAGCCCCAGCCTCAAACTAGAGGATTTGGGGTGGGGGACACAAGCCCGACTCAAGCAGCCAAAGGGACCAGTTGGGAAAGGCAGGGGGGTCCCCAGCAGAGGAAGGGGCCCAGTGGAGAGGTCAGTGGGGCAGGGAGACTGACACGTCAGAGAAGGGGCTGGGCGGCCTTCTGGGCTAAGGAAGGACAGGTCGTGTTTGGGGTCTTTCAGATGGAATCCGATGACCAAATGGGCACAATGGAAGTTCCTAAAATGATGAATGTCTTCGAGACAGTCCGTGGAAATAAAGGGATCCTTTTCCCTCATCATCCTAGAACTCAGGACCAGCCGTGAAGCTGCTTCCCCTTCACCTGGGAAGGTCACTGCCGCCACCAAGAAGAGGACCTCGCCCGGAGACACCTGTTTACATGAGGATGAACATGCCTTTGAGCATGCGAAGAGTGCCACACGCTCCCCCCTCCATGCTTAGTAGCTTGGGTGAGCTGGATCTCCGCGGGTGGGCAGCGTGGGCATGGATGGGCAAGGCGGCCCGACTGCCAGGCGGGCGGGGGGGGGGCTGGAGTGCCGCCGCCCCCTCCCGCTTCCCTGCTGCTGCTCCTCCCCTGCCCCCCCCCCGCCCTCCGGTGGAGGGATCCCGCCGCGTGGCTGGCTGAGCCGAAGCGCCGCGGAGCCAACGAGCGCCCCGTCGCCGGGACGAGCAGGCGGGCCGCGGCCAATGGCAGCGCGAGGCGTCGGGCCGTCGGAGCGCCTTCGCCGCTGTCTCTATTGCCCCCCCCTCCCTCCCGCGCTGACATCACTGGCTGTTTATTCCTCCTTCGCCGAGAGCGGGGGGGGGGCGCTGGGCTGGCACATGCGCTCGGCCGGGCATGAGTAACGCTTCGCTGTGGCGGCTGCGGCGCAGGGCGAATTTGCCCAGTGACAGCCACTCAGCAGATGCCCGCCTCGCGATGATGTCACCCCTGGGGGCGGCAGGAGGGAGGCGGGGGGGGCAGCAGGCAGCGCTCCTTCGACGGGGCGGACGCGCCAGCGCCAAAAGCGCACGGCTGGCTCCGCGCGCGGCGCAGGACGCTCCTGTTGCAGAGGCCCGCGCGCGATGGCGGGGAGGGGAGGGACCCACCTGCTGCCAGGATCCGGCCCCGCGCCCCCCCTTTGTCCTCCTCCTCCTCCTCCTCCCCACCCGCGGTGGCCCACGCGGCTGGTCGCCTCCTCGGCAAAGTTCCCTTCGCTCTGGTGGAACCTCCAGGCCCAGAGACAGCCTATCTCGCTCCCGAGGCAGGGAGGGGCCTTGGGCCACTGCGAGCAGAGGGGGCTGGACGGGGTGGGCCACGGGCCTGATCCAGCGCCACGCAGGGGGGTCTCGCAAGAGCAGGGCAGGGCTGCGCGCATCCCGCTTCCCTGCTCGGAGCGAGTCAAGCCCCCGGGTCTCCTTCTTTTTCCTTATCCCCGAATGAAATAAGGACATCCTGGGATTCTGGGCCTCCAGAGGCGTCCCGGGCGCCCGAGGGTGAGGGGCGGGCGGGCGGGGCGTGTTTCTCGGCCCCGGAACATCGACGGGGAGTTCTTTGCTTAGCAACGCGCTTCCCGCCTTTGGCTTCTCTCCCTCTCTGCCTGTCTCCCGCCAGGCAACAGCCCCCTGCGAAGTGGGCCGCCCTGCTTCTTCTCCTGGAGCCTGGATGAGGCCCGGGCGGCGGGGCAGGCCTGGCAGGGGGCTCTCCTCCCAGCGGGGCCCCGTCTCCCTGCCTCAGTTCTCCCTCGGGAGAAGGGGCGCAAGAGGGGCAGCAAGGCCAGAGGCGGGCGCGCCCCTTGGCGCCACAGCCTGCACCCTGGGCACTGCAGGGGGCTGGGCTGGATGACCCTGGGGACCCTTCCAGCTCTCCAGACCCAGGTGTCCAGCCCAGCTGCCTTTGGGTTCCCCTGCGCGGGGGTCCCTCGCGCCCCCCAGGCAAGGCTGGCGACGTCCTTGCCCGGCTCTCGGGCTCCTCACCCGGGGAGGGTCGGGACGCCCCCACCTGCCCACCCCAAATGCTCCCGGAACGCGCGCAATGCACGGGGCTCCCCGTCTACTCGCGAGGAAGGAGCCCCCCCGCGCGGGTTTGTTTTGCAGCAGGGGCAGCGGAGCGTGTCTAACCCCCCGCCGGTTCCGCTCGGCTGCCTGGACACCCCCGCCCCCCCTGCCTTCCCATTGGCTGGCGGCGGCGGCGGCGCGCAGCCACTCAGCGCCGAGTAGGCGCCTGTTTCCAAAGGAAGAGCGCCACGCGCGCCGCGCGGAGCCACGGCAACACGGCCCGGCCGGGCAGGCGGGCGGGCGGGCGGGCGAACGGGCAGGCGCGGCAGAGACGGGGGAGGCGCGGCAGAGACGGGGGAGGCCCGGCCTGGCTTGCGCGCCCCCGATGGGTGGGGTTGCCCGGCACACCTGCTGCGCCCCGGCCGGCCTCCGTTGCCCTGCGTGGGGCTGCTGCGTGGGGAGCTCCTTCTCCCCCTCTGTCCCCCCAACAGGCCCCGACGGTGTAGCCCCCCCCGTCGCCCCATTTCACAAGCGGTGAAGCGAAGCAGCCAGGCTAGCGCTCGGCCAAGGGGAGCGTGGCACAGGGGGGCTGGACTAGATGACTCTGGGGGTCCCGTCCGGCTTCTAAGAGCCTATGATCCATGGGCGCCAAGGCAGAGCTGTCAACTTTCAGATTTGAAAATAAGGGATCAGCAGCCTCCCCTGTCCCGGGGACAGTCTACGGGATATCTAACAATCCGGGATAGCAGCGGGAGACGGCGTGAGAATAAGGGAATTTCCCGCAAAAAGGGGGAAGGTTGACAGCTCTGCGCCAAGGCAGCACCCCAGGTCTGTCCGACGGTGGCAGCTTTCTGCGGAGGGTGGGGGGGGGGGGAGAGCAGGCTGGTGGCGCAGCCGAGGCCCAGATGTTCAGGGCGCGGAGGCTCCGTGGGCCACGTGCGGACGCAGCTGCGCGCCTGAGCTGCCTCCTAATCCTGGGCTGCGCCGGGGTTGGGCGAGGTGACCTCCAAGCTGCCCTCTAAGGGCGCGTCAGGCGCTGAGCCACAGGCCCCACGTCGAGGCAGGGGAGGCGGGCTGGATTCGGCCTTCCCCGGAGACCGGCCTGCCTGGCGAGGCTTCGGGGAAGGAGGGAAGAACTTTCTGGCGGCAAGATCCTTTCCCCGGGAGGTCCTTCAACCATCGGCCAGGGATTCTGGAGCTGTGATTCCCGCATTGCAGTGGGTTCGACTAGATGGCCGCAGGGGTCCCTCCCAACCCTCCAGCTCTGCCATTCTTCCCCAGCGCAGCGGCCACACTGGGCCCAGGAGGGCCCGAGGGCCGCCCCTTCGCCTGCCCCAAAGGCGTCGGTTGCTTTTCGGGGGTCGGGGTGCCCTACTTGGCAGTGCTGGCCGTGGGCCCCGGAGCCTCTTTCGCTCCCCCGAGGGCGGCTGCCTCGGCTCCGCGGTTGCTGGTGCAAGGCCGGCCCTGGGGAGATTAGGATCCCCGCGAGGGGCTGGAGGGAAATCCCCTGACCTCATCCTGGGGATTCCCCCTCCTCCCTGCCCTCCCCGCCCCCCTGGCCGGCTTCACCTCTCCTCCCCACCCAGATGGAGGGATGGCAGCTGGCAGGACTCAAAAGTTAAGTTTCGCGCCCCCCCCCCCAAATAAATAAATAAAAGCGCCAGGAAAACACATCGCACGAGAGCGAGGGAAGGCGTTTTCCCCTCCCTCCTCCTCCTCCTCCTCCGCCCTCTCGCCTCGGCCCCGTCGCAACAACAGCCGATGCCGCCGCCGCCGCCGCCGCCGCGTTTGGGTCCGTCCCTTCCAACCATCTCCTGCACTCGGGCCGGCGCAGCCAATCAGCGCCCGCCATCCCAGCAGGAAAAGCAACTGCCATGGAAACAGCATCCGCGGCTGGCGGAGGCAGCAGAGCATCCCAGCATCCGCGGCGGAGGAGGAGGCGGCGCCCTCGCGCCCAGCCCCGTGCCCAGGAGGCTGGCGGGGGCACGTCTGGGGCACTGGGGCACTGGGGCCCGGGCAGCCCAGCCAGGCGCCGGGGGGAGGAGGAGGAGGAGGAGGAGGGCCAGGGCCGGAGCACGAGCGCGAGCGCGCGCCGCCGGAGCCTGGGAAATACATCACGGGGCTCAGCAACAGCCACGGGGGCAGCGAGCCCAGCGCGCGCGCCAATGAGCGGAAGGCGCTGCTGCTGCTGCTGGGCCGGAGCCTGCCCGGCTTGGCCTCGGTAGCTGCGGCTGGGGGGAGTCTGCACATGCTCAGAGGTGCCTATAAGAGAGCAAGGAGAGCATGCTGGATCAGGGCCCAGCACAAGGGCAACCGGACCATGGAGGCCTAGCGTGGCTCCTCTGGCCAGCAGCCACCAGAAGCCTCCACTGGGATGGTTGAGCCCTACCCTCCTTGGTTGCAAGTCTCAGGGGCCTGATTCAGACGGGGAGGGCCGGTTAAGGGAGCAAGCGCCCCTCCGACTCAGCCTCAGGCTCTTCCTGGGGCCTGGGACCCAGCAGGTGGGACAGCTCCTTTTCCTGGACCCCCAAAGGCAGGGCCGGCCCATGACAGTTTGGCACCTGAAGCACCAATATAGGATGGGGGACACCTGGCTTACTAGCAGGACATGTGGAAAGGATCTGGGGTCTTGGTGGACCACAAGCTGAAGATGAGTCCACAGGGTGAGGCAGCAGCCAAAAAAGCTAATGCTATTCTCGGTTGCATCCACAGAAGTCTAGTGTCCAGATCAAGGGAAGTCATAGTCCCACTCTATTCTGCCTTGGTCAGACCACACCTGGAATACTGTGCCCGGTTTTGGGCACCACAATTTAAGGATATTGACAAGCTGGAACATGTGCAGAGGAGGGCGACCAAGATGATCAAGGGTCAGGAAACCAAGCCTGATGAGGAACGGTTGAAGCAGGTGGGTATGTTTGGCCTTGTAAAGAGGAGACTGAGGAGGAGATATGAGAGCCATCTTCATATATCTCAAGGGCCGTCACATAGAAGAGGGAACAAGCTTGTTTTCTCTTGCTCTGGAGGGTAGGACTCGAACCCATGGCTTCAAGTTACAAGGACGGAGATTCCGACTCAACATCAGGAAGAACCTTCTGAAAGCAAGACCTGTTTGACGGCAGAATGGACTCCCTTAAGAGGCTGTGGCCTCTCCTTCCTTGGAGGTTTTTAAGCAGAGCTTGGACGGCCACGTTGCAGGGGGGGTTGGACTAGATGACCCTTGGGGACCCCTTCCAACTCTACAAAACGATGATTCTGTGAAGCAAACACAGAATCACGCCTCCCCTCCTCACCAGGGGAGAGTGTAGACCTAAACCAGGAACAAGGGAGCAATAAAGGTCTACACGGGATCTGCTGTCTCTGTGGATTCCGCCGCCCGAGGCGCTTGCCTCCCCTTGCCCCGTGGGTGGGCCAGCCCCCTCGTGGTCCCCCAGGGTGTCAAAGGGGCTGCCGGACTTCTCCTCCTAAATGGCCTCGTCTGTGTACAGTGGGCCCTCGGTTTCCGAATGTCTCGGAAATCAAACATTTCGGCTTTCAAATGCCGAAAACCCAGAAGTAACTGCTTCGGTTTTTGAATGCTTTTCGGAAGCCGCATGTGCCACGCAGCTTCCGCATGGAGTTTTCCGGACGCAAATGCTTCCGGAATTGTACGCTTTGTTTTTGGAACATTTCGGAAGTCAAACAGTATTCCGGAACAGATGATGTTCGAAAACCGAGGTACCCCTGTATCCCTCAAGGGATACCGTCTGAAGGCAGCCCCGGATAGGGAAGTTTCTAATGTTCAATGTTTCATTGTCTTTTTCTATTTTGCTGCTGGGGCGACCAGTCAGATGGGCGGCATATTGGCAACAAGAACAGTTCTGGCAACAGTTTCACAGCACCGTGGAAGTGGAGGGGCTGTGAAGGTCTTCCCGTCCAACTCCTGCAATGCAGGAATCTCAGCTCCAGCCTCCGAGGCCAGCCAAGCTCGGCTGAAAACCCTCCAAGGAAGGGGGGGCGCCACCTGCCGACCCACTGCGGAACAGCTCTTACTGTCAGAAAGTTTTTACACATTTATGTACTTCCTTGGGCTGAGTTGGAATTTCCTTCTTTGTAAGCAGGCAGTGGAACGCCCTCCCAGCAGATGCCAAGGAAAGAAATCTGACCTTTAGAAGACATCTGAAGGCAGCCCTCTTTAGGGAAGTTTTTAAGGTTTGATGTTTTTACCGTGCTTTTAATTTTGTTGGGAGCCACCCGGAGTGGCTGGGGAAACTCAGTCAGATGGGCGGGGTATAAGAATTAAAATTATTAACTTGAAGCCACGGGTTCAAGTCCTACTCTCCACAGCAGGACAAAACAAACTTGCTCCCCTTCCATGTGGTAACCCTTGAGATATTTGAAGATAGCTATTATGTTTCCTCTCTGTCTTCTCTTTTCCAGGATAAACATACCCATGTCCGTCAACCGTTCCTCATAAGTTTGATTTACTGAGTTTAATAAATACTTAATAAATATTATTAATACTCAGATGTTGCTTTCCCACCCCAAGCTGCACACAAAACTGCTTACAGCAAACATTGGAAACAACTAAATACAGAGCATTGGAAATACAAATATATAAGACACAGAGCATGTCAATAAATTCAAAAATGACAATTTGGCAAAAACAGACTGAATTCTACATGACAAAACAAAGCCCCCCCATCCCCAATCTTAGGCCCAAGTACATAAATATGAAGCAAAAGAAGACCCCCTGGACCAGAGCACGCCAGGCCCTCCTGTCTTCCGCTGCCTCCCGCAGTTTGGTCAAACTCATGTTCGTACCTTCGAGAACACTGTCCCACCATCTTGTCCTCTGTCATCCCCTTCTCCTTGTGCCCTCCATCTTTCCCAACATCAGGGTCTTTTCCAGGGAGTCTTCTCTTCTCATGAGGTGGCCAAAGTCTTGGAGCCTCAGCTTCAGAATCTGTCCTTCCAGTGAGCACTCAGGGCTGATTTCCTTCAGAATGGAGAGGTTTGATCTTCTTGCAGTCCATGGGACTCTCAAGAGTCTCCTCCAGCACCAGAATTCAAAATCATCAATTCATCAGCCTTCTTGATGGTCCGGCTCTCACTTCCATACATCACTACGGGGAAAACCATAGCTTTAACTATACGGACCTTTGTTGGGAAGGTGATGTCTCTGTTTTTTAAGATGCTGTCTAGGTTTGTCATTGCTTTTCTCCCAAGAAGCAGGCGTCTTTTAATTTCGTGACTGCTGTTACCATCTGCAGTGATCATGGAGCCCAAGAAAGTAAAATCTCTCACTGCCTCCATTTCTTCCCCTTCTGTTTGCCAGGAGGTGATGGGACCAGTGGCCATGATCTTCTTTTTTTGATGTTGAGCTTCAGACCATATTTTGCGCTCTCTTCTTTCACCCTCATTGAAAGGTTCTTTAATTCCTCCTCACTTTCTGCCATCAAGGTTGGAACAATAGTCCACCAAAAATCAAATCCTGCCTGTACATTTATCTACTCAATCCATACCCCACTTTTTCCTCCAAGGAACAAGCAACCCTGTGAGGCAGGTCAGGCTGAGAGGCCCAAATTCTGGCCCAAATTCTTGAAGCCAGTGAGCGCCAAGCGGGGATTCGAACCCAGGTCTCCCTGGCCCTCATCCAACACTCTAACCCATTGATGGCCAACCTTGGCCCTCCACTTGTTTTGGGACTACAACTCCCATCATCCCTAGCTAACAGAACCAGCGGTCAGGGAGGATGGGAATTGTAGTCCCAAAACAGCTGGCGGGCCGAGTTTGGCCATCACTGCTCTAACCACTGCGTCACATTGCCTCTCGTATAATGATGTTGCTTCCTGATGTGCCACAGGCACCACCTCCTGCTTCCCAGAACACCATGGAATATGATGGGGGGCAGATCTCAGGCGCACTTTCTTGGTGGGGGAGCAGATCAGTGGGCAGCCAAGGAAGGCGGCCTGCACCAGCCTCTCTGCCAGCCGCCTTGCCCTGGCGCAGAGGGAATCTTTGCCAGCGGATGCTGCCATCTCGTGGTCTGGAAAGGCAGCGCCAGGCAAGACTCAACAGGAAGTGCTGTCAATATTATTTGATAATAATAATAATAATAATAATAATAATAATATATTTACCCCAGCCACTCTGGGTGGCTCCCAACAGAATATTAAAAGCATGATAAAACATCAAACATTAAAAACTTCCCTAATGCCAGATCTCGGGGCGATTGACAGGGTAAAATACAAGGTACAAACCCAAATAAACAGTTAAAATGAAAAAACAAAACAACAACACCCCCCCTTCCCACAAACACATTTAAAAGGCTGGGGAATATTAATTAGCCCAAGGCCTGGTTGAAGAGGAATTTTTAAAATATTTTTTGGGGGGTTTAGGACATTGTGGTTCTAATATATATATAATATATATATAATTTGGGGTTTAGGACCTTATGGTTCTTCTCTGGGCCACGCTATCATAATAAAAAAAGACATCTGGCCATATTTTGCAAATAAAGGAGAATATTTTGATGCTGGACTCTACAGCACTGAAATCTTTCAATGTTTCTTTGTCCTGGGATTCTCCTCTGAGAGCCACTGGCTCCTTTATTTGTCCCCATGTTCCCTCCCCAAACTTCGGATGAATTAAGTTATTCTCATGCTTATTATTGAGAGCATTTGTCCCCTGCTCCTTTTCAGCCGAAAAAAGCTTCCAGGGCAGTTAAAAATGCAGCCAAAACAAGAAGGTCCCTGCATTGTGGGCTTACAATCTAAAGCGCAACCACACAAAGAAACAACAGCATACAAGGAAAAAGGGACTGGGAGGGAAGAGGAAAACCAGTGGTGGCCAAACTCGGCCCTCCAGCTGTTTGGGGACTACAGTTCCCATCATCCCTGACCACTGGTTCTGTTAGCTGGGGATGATGGGAGTTGTAGTCCCAAAGCAGCTGGAGGGCCGAGTTTGGCCACCACTGGATTAAACCATCTAGGGCCTCTTAAATGTGACTGGGGAGGGGGCGGTTCATTGTTTCTTGTTACAGTATTATGTTATTATGTTGACAGCCACCCTGTGACCTTCGGATGACGGGCGGTATGTAAATGTAATAAATACACGAACAATTACAATGAATCAAAGCAAAAACTCTGGCAGAAATTGCGAAAGGGATGTCCCCACAATGGCCAGTTTGCCCAGTTCTGGTGTGAAACTGGTGCAGTGGAGGAGCCCTGACTCCCCGCTGACTCCCTCGGACTCTCCATCCGCGGAGGTTTCGGATGCGCTCCATCTGAGGTTCCTGCCTTGCAGGGGGTTGGGATGGATGACCCTCGGGCTCCCACTCCGACTCTCCAAATCTAAGGTTGCGAGGCCACCGAGGCTGCCCCGGGCCATTGCTCTGCGCCCGATCCGCCCCGGTCCCCGGATCGCGGCTCCGAGGGAGAAGCTCCTCGCCAGGCGCCTGCCGCCCCCCAAGCTCGCCGCGGGGCTCCCCTCTCCGCCCCCCACCAGCCGCTCCGAGCCTGGGCGCAAGGGACGCGGAGGATCGCGCGCAGGAAGATGCGCAGCGCAGCCTCCGCGCCCTTCTGCGCAGCCGCCTGTCCCGGGCATGGGGGTGGGGCGGGAGCCACGTGACCAGCCCCTCCCCCCCCCGCCCGTGGGAAGGAAGCGGAAGAGGGACCCACGTGGGGGCGGGGAGGGCGGAGCGGCCGAGTTTCCGCGTCGCCGGTGGGGGAGGGCGGCGAGGGAGGCAGCTCCCGGACGCCTGGGTTCCCCGGACGCCTGGGTCCCTTCTCCGGACGCGGCGTCTCCGGACGCCCCTTCGGGCGCGATGGTAAGGGGAGGAAGGGCGGCGGAGGGGGGGGGAGAGGCGCCTTCGCCGCCGAGGCTCCTGCGGGCCGGACCGGCGCCTGTCCCGGGCCGGGGGCGCCTCCGCGTCGCCTGGTCCTGCCCGACGGGGCGCCCGCTCCGGGTCTGGGGGCGCAGCAGCAGCAGGAGGCGCCCCCTGATCTCTCTTTCTCCCCCCCCCCCAGTCCGCTTCCTTGGACCTGAAGTCGAAGGAGGAGAAAGACGCCGAGCTGGACAAGCGGATCGAGGCCCTGCGGCGCAAGAACCAGGCGCTCATCAAGCGCTACCAGGTGAGACGCGGCCGCGGGATCCGGATTAAGGGGCCGCGCGGGGCGGACGGGGGAGTCCCTCGGGCGGCTAATCCGGGGGAGGAAGAGGCGTCGTCCGGCTAAGCGGCTTAGCGAGGCCCGGCGCCTTTGCTTCGCGTGACCTTGCCGGGGCAGCCAGGCAAGGCAGAGCTGGAAGGGGCACCCAGGGGTCCTCTAGCCGAACCCCCTGCCATGGCACAGCTGCTGCTGTTGTTTAGCCGTGTCCGCCTCTTCGTGACCCCTGGACCAGAGCAGGCCAGGCCCTCCCGTCTTCCACTGCCTCCCTCATGCTGGTCGCTTTGAGAACACTGTCCCACCATCTCGTCCTCTGTCGTCCCCTTCTCCTTGTGCCCTCCATCTTTCCCAGCATCAGGGTCTTTTCATAGAATCATAGAATCCTAGAATCCTAGAGTTGGAAGAGACCACAAGGGCCATCGAGTCCAACCCCCTGCCAAGCAGGAAACACCATCAGAGCACTCCTGACATATGGTTGTCAAGCCTCTGCTTAAAGACCTCCAAAGAAGGAGACTCCACCACACTCCGTGGCAGCAAATTCCACTGTCGAACAGCTCTTACTGTCAGGAAGTTCTTCCTAATGTTTAGGTGGAATCTTCTTTCTTGCAGTTTGGATCCATTGCTCCGTGTCCGCTTCTCTGGAGCAGCAGAAAACAACCTTTCTCCCTCCTCTATGTGACATCCTTTTATATATTTGAACATGGCTATCATATCACCCCTTAACCTCCTCTTCTCCAGGCTAAACATGCCCAGCTCCCTTAGCCGTTCCTCATAAGGCATCGTTTCCAGGCCTTTGACCATTTTGGTTGCCCTCCTCTGGACCCGTTCCAGTTTGTCAGTGTCCTTCTTGAACTGTGGTGCCCAGAACTGGACACAGTACTCCAGGTGAGGTCTGACCAGAGCAGAATACAGTGGCACTATTACTTCCCTTGATCTAGATGCTATGCTCCTATTGATGCAGCCCAGAATTGCATTGGCTCTTTTAGCTGCCGCGTCACACTGTTGGCTCATGTCAAGTTTGTGGTCAACCAAGACTCCTAGATCCTTTTCACATGTACTGCTCTCAAGCCAGGTGTCCCCTATCTTGTATTTGTGCCTCTCATTTTTTTGCCCAAGTGCAATACTTTACATTTCTCCCTGTTCAAATTCATCTTGTTTGTTTTGGCCCAGTTCTCTAATCTGTCAAGGTCGTTTTGAAGTGTGATCCTGTCCTCTGGGGTGTTAGCCACCCCTCCCAATTTGGTGTCATCTGCAAATTTGATCAGGATGCCCTTGAGTCCATCATCCAAGTCGTTGATAAAGATGTTGAATAAGACCGGGCCCAAGACAGAAGCCTGTGGCACCCCACTAGTCACTCTTCTCCAGGATGAAGAGGAACCATTGATGAGCACCCTTTGGGTTCGGTCAGTCAGCCAGTTACAAATCCACTGAGTGGTAGCATAGTCAAGACCGCATTTTACCAGCTTCTTTACAAGAATATCATGAGGCACCTTGTCAAATGCCTTGCTGAAATCAAGGTAGGCTACATCCACTGCGTTCCCTTCATCTACCAGGCTTGTAATTCTGTCAAAAACGAGATCAGGTTAGTCTGACATGACTTATTTTTCAGAAATCCATGCTGACTATTGGTGATCACAGCATTCCTTTCTAGGTGCTCACAGACTGTTTGCTTAATGATCTGCTCCAGAATCTTCCCTGGTATTGATGTCAGACTGACTGGGCGGTAATTATTTGGGTCCTCTCTTTTCCCCTTTTTGAAAATAGGGACAACATTTGCTCTCCTCCAGTCTGCTGGGACCTCGCCTGTTCTCCAGGAATTCTCAAAGATGACTGCCAGTGGTTCTGAGATCACATCTGCCAGTTCTTTTAATACTCTTGGATGCAGTTCATCTGGCCCTGGAGACTTGAATACATCTAAACTAGCCAAGTATTCTTGTACTATCTCCTTAGTTATTCTGGGCTGTGTTTCCTTTGCTGAATCATTTGCTCCAAATTCTTCAGGTCGGGCATTGTTTTCTTTATCGGAGAAGACTGAGGCAAAGAAGGCATTGAGGAGTTCAGCTCTTTCTGTGTCCCCTGTTTGCATTTCACCATCTTCTCCTCTGAGTGACCCCACTGTTTCTTTGTTCTTCCTTTTGCTACGGACATACCCATAAAAGCCTTTTTTGTTGCTTTTAACCTCTCTAGCAAGCCTGAGTTCATTCTGTGCTTTAGCTTTTCTGACTTTGTGTCTACACGTGCTGGCTATTTGTTTGAATTCCTCTTTGGTGGTTTCCCCCCTTTTCCATTTTTTGTACACATCCTTTTTAAATCTTAACTCAGTTAAAAGTTCTTTAGATAGCCACCCTGGCTTCTTTAGGCACCTTCCATGTTTCTGTCTCATTGGTATTGCCTGACGTTGTGCTTTTAGTATCTCTCTCTTAACAAACTCCCAGCCATCATGAACTCCCTTTCCTTTTAGTATTACTGTCCATGGGATCTCACCCAGCACTTCCTAAGTTTTATGAAGTCGGCTTTCTTAAAGTCAAGAAATTGAGTCCTAGTATGCTTGGCTGCTCCTTTCCGCTGTATAGTAAACTTCAGAAGAGCATGATCACTCGCGCCTAATGATCCTTCCACTTCTACCCCACTAACCAGGTCATCAACATTGGTTAGGACCAGATCTAAAATGGCTGTTCCTCTTGTTGCTTCTCCCACTTTCTGGACAATGAAGTTGTCTGCAAGGCCAGTGAGGAATCTGTTTGACCTTATGCTCTTGGCTGAGTTTGACATCCAACAAATATCCGGGTAATTGAAGTCCCCCATTACTACTATCTCCCTTCCTTTTGCATGCTTGGCCATCTGTTCCAGGAAGGCATCATCTATGTCCTCCGTTTGGCTTGGGGATCTATAGTAAACTCCCACAATGAGGTCACTGTTATTCTTCTCTCCCTTAATTTTGACCCAAATGCTCTCACTTTGGCTTTGAGGTTCTAAATCTTGGATCTCTTCACAGGTATACACATCCCTGACATATAACGCCACTCCTCCTCCTTTCTTGTCTGGTCTGTTTCTCTGAAATAGATTGTATCCCCCCCCATTATTACATTCCAATCGTGGGACTTATCCCACCAGGTTTCAGTGATGCCTATTATGTCATATTTAGTTTGCTGTACCAAGAGCTCAAGCTCATCTTGTTTATTTCCCATGCTTTGCGCATTAGTGTACAGACATTGAAGTCCATTAATCATTCCCACGTGTCTCTTATTTAAGGATTTTTTCCTCCCACCACTAGGTCTGCGTGCTGTTTACTCCATTTGGTCTATGACATTTGGATGATCATCTTCATCAATTGATAGACTCCTACCTTCAGGAGCACTGTCTCCCTCCCCCACATTAGTCAGTTTAAAGCCCTCCTGATGAGGTTTCTGAGATTTTTGGCAAAAACATTCCTCCCAACCGTTGTGAGGTGCAGCCCATCGCTTGCCAGAAGTCCATCTTCAAGAAACTGCAGTCCGTGATCTAAGAATCCAAACCGTTCCTGTTTACACCATTTGCGAAGCCAGCTGTTCACTTCCACTATTTTCCCCTCTCTCCCTGGGCCACGTCGTTCAACTGGGAGGACAGATGAGATCACAATTTGTGCATTTAATTGCTTCAATTTCCTGCCCAGAGCCTCGTAGTCTCTTTTGATCTTCTGGAGGCTATTGCTTGCAGTGTCATTGGTTCCCACATGAACCAAGAGGAAGGGGTATTTGTCAGTGGGTTTTATGATTCCTTGCAGTCGTTCAGTTACATCTTGGATCTTAGCCCGGGGAGACAGCACACTTCCCGAGACATCTTGTCAGGCCCACAGATCACTGCTTCTGTTCCCCTCACTAGGGAATCCCCTATCACCACTACACGCCTCCTCTTAGGTTTGGTCGGGGTTCTTCCGTGAGCTGTCCGCTCCAAGGTCGCCTGCACATTTCACATTTTCCAGGGAGTCTTCTCTTCTCCTGAGGTGGCCAAAGTCTTGGAGCCTCAGCTTCAGGATCTGTCCTTCCAGTGAGCGCTCAGGGCTGATTTCCTTCAGAATGGAGAGGTTTGATCTTCTTGCAGTCCATGGGACTCTCAAGAGTCTCCTCCAGCACCAGAATTCAAAAGCATCCATTCTTCGGCGATCAGCCTTCTTGATGGTCCAGCTCTCACTTCCATACATCACTACAGTGGTACCTCGGGTTACAGACGCTTCAGGTTACAGACTCCACTAACCCAGAAATATTACCTTGGGTTAAGAACTTTGCTTCAGGATGAGAACAGAAAACGCGCGGTGGCAGCAGGAGGCCCCATTAGCTAAAGTGGTGCTTCAGATTAAGAACAATTTCGGGTTAAGAATGGACCTCCGGAACGAATTATAACCCGAGGTACCACTGTACTCGGAAAAGCATAGTTTTAACTATATGGGCCTTTGTTGGCAAGGTGATGTCTCTGTTTTTTAAGATGCTGTCTAGGTTTGTCATTGCTTTTCTCCCAAGAAGCAGACGTCTTTTAATTTTGTGGCTGCTGTCCCCATCTGCAGTGATCATGGAGCCCAAGAAAATAATATCTCTCACATTGCACAGCAGTCGCGCCTCAAGAATCCCTGGGGACGGGGGCCAGGGCCCCTCTGCTCCAAGGCTTCCGGAGAAGGGGGTCCACCACCTTCCAAGATCATGGAGGGATCCAGGGGTCATCTAGCCCAACCCCCAGCAGTGCAGGGAACACAGTTCAAGACCCCCTGGCAGGAAGGAGAGGCGACTGCCTTCCAAGGCAGCCCCTTCCCCATAGACTCTCCTTCTCTGCCGTTGGAATTAATTGCTCCGAAGGTGCATCTGGGGGGGGGGTCCCTGAGAGGCCTGTGATTTCTTGGGGGTGGGCTGCCTGCCTCCCCACCTGACGCACTTTTCTCTCCTCCCCCCCCAGGAGATAGAAGAAGATCGCAAGAAGGCTGAACAGGAGGGCATTGCCGTGACGGGGGTCCATCATCGCCACCCCCGCTCTGCGGAGGGGGAGGGCCCGGAGCGCCGGCGGGGGGAGCTGGACGCCCCCACCCTGACGGTGCAGGTCTTGCTGTCCCCAGAGGTGGGTGCTGTGCGGGGGAGAGGCAGAAGGGTGGGGGCGTGGCGGGGGAAGGGGGCAACTGGGGCTCCTCCCTCACCCTTTTCCCACTTCCGTCTCCCCGCAGGAGAAGCGCCTGGTCAGCAGCGACAGGAAGCCCTTCCGCCCGGGCCCAGCCGCCCCCCGGGGCTCCGTCCGAGGCGCCCCCTACCCAGGCCCCCGCTCCCCCCGAGCTGAGGGACCCCCGGAGCAGCCTCGATGGGAAGGGGCCGGCCCGGAGGGCCCAGGGGCCAGCAGGCGGGGAGGCGGGCGAGGGGCCCGCGGACAGAGGGCGAGGGGCCGGGGGGCCCCCGCTGGCGACGCCGGGCCTGACCGGAGGTCCAAGGTGAGGGGTCTCGGGCCTAGGGAGGGGGTGGGATGTGGGGAGACCGGACCCCCTCTCTGAGCCCCTCTTTCTGGGCAGGAGTGGGAAGAGCGTCGCCGGCAAAACATTGAGAAGATGAACGAGGAGATGGAGAAGATTGCGGAGTACGAGCGCAGCCAGCGGGTGAGTCGGGGTGGGGTGGGGAGGGGGCTTGTGCTGCCGAGAGGGGGTGTCCGTATAGGGCAAGAGTCTCTGGCCTGGCCTGGACCGGGGGTCTCCCCCCTCTCTCCTCCCAGCAGGACGGGGCCCAGGAGAAGAATCCCATCCGGAACTTCCTGGACGACCCACGGCGTAGCGGCGCCTTTGCTGAGACCGACCGGCGGGAGGGCAGCCGGCGCCACGTCCGCAACTGGGGGGGCGCCGACTTCGAGAAGGTCAAGACGGGCATGGAGCAGGGCAAGCAGTGGTCGCCTCCGGTACGTGGCCGAATTCTGCCCTTGATCCAGGCTAGATTCCGGTGGAGTTGGCAGAGTAACAACTTAAGCACGTTGCAGGATTCCCCCAAAATATACCAGAGGCCATTGCGTTTCATCCAGCAGAGCTTTGCAGAATGGGCTCAAATCCTGTACATTCAGGATTGGCCCTGTTCAATTGCAGCAGACTTACCGTATTTTTTGCTCTATAACACGTACCTGAGCATAACACGCACGTAGTTTTTAGAGGAGGAAAATCCGTAGGCATGCCACCCGTAGGCATTCCCTCCATAACACGCACAGACATTTCCCCATACTTTCTAGGAGGAAAAAAATTAGTGTTATGGTGCAAAAAATACGGTAACTTAAACTTACCATAACTTATACGTAGTAAGTCTTAACGCTAAGCATACTATGTACAGTTGTAACTTGGTTCTCAAATGCTTTGGTACTTGTATGCTTTGGCTCCTGAATGCAGAACACCTGGACGTACCATACTTTTCTGTGTATAAGACTTAGGTTATTTTTATTGTAAAAATAAATTCAAAATTGTGGGTCATCTTATACACAGATACAATCTCCCACCATTTTCTTAATTTGGAGTCCCCCAAAATAGGGGGCGTCTTATACATGGAGGCGTGTTATACACGGAAAAATACGGTAAGTGTTCCGGTTTTTGAACGTTTTTCGGAGGTTGAATGTCCGGCGCGGCTTCTGCATGAGTGCAGGAAGCTCCTGCAGCCAATCAGAAGCTGTGCCTTGGTTTTCAAATGGTTTTGGGAGTTGAACGGACTCCTGGAACGGATTAATTTTGAGAACCAAGGTTCCACTATACGGAACATCATCCCAGAAGGGAAGGAGCTGCCGGCAGGTGGAGAGGAAGTGTTTCAGCCCCAGGGATGTGGGTGTGTCGTGTGGCCCCCTGGCCCTCTGTGGGGCCCCTCCCTTCATTGGCCTCGGTACCCCAGACCCCCCCTTTGCAGCTCTCCTGGTTTTGGGGGCTGCATCCTTGCAGCAAGGGGTTCCCTCCACCTGTCTGCTCCTCTTTGCCCTTGGCACCTGACCTCCCTCCCTCCGTCTAGAATCATAGATCTTTAGAGTGGGGCCCCCAGGGGTCATCCAGCCCACCCCCGGGCAGCGCAGGGGTCCGACCTCTGCTTGAGAACTGGCTCTCCCTGGCAGGGTCGTGGTGGCGCCCGGCGCCGGGGGGTTCCGGTTGCGTCCCCCTTGGACATGACGCTCTCCATGACGGGCCGGGAGCGCGCAGAGTACGTCCGGTGGAAGCAGGAGCGGGAGCAGATTGACCAGGAGCGCCTAGCCAGGCACCGCCAGCCCACGGGGGAGTGGCGCCGCGAGTGGGACGCGCAGAAGATGGAGGCCGCGTAAGTCGGGGGCGCGGGAGCCTTGGGGCTTTCCGGGGGGGGGGAATCCTGGTCTGGCGGGGGGGGCAGATCGGACTCATGCTTTCAGTGGGGGGACGGGACTGGGGGACCCTGGGCCCCACTCACTTGCAGAATAGGGAATGCAGGGGGAGGGGGGCTTTATTTACCTGTTTCATAAAATTGTATTTCAGAAACAAAACTTCAAAGCAGTTTACAAAGCAATAAAATCATGAAATTGCAGAAGGCAAAGGGGATTCCTGGCCAGCTCCACTTGGAAGTGGGGGGCCGGGCTGGGCAGAAGCCCCTTTTTGGAGGGGTTTTGTTCCTTCCAAGGGCCCTGAGCAGCCTCCTAGAATCACAAAATTGTAGAATTGGGACCCCAAGGGTCATCCATTCCAACCCCTGGCTGATTTTCCTCACTGTCCTCCTTTCCCTTTCCCAGGTTTAAAGAGGGTGCCAAGCCCAGCGGTCCAAGCGGCGGCAGGCATGGTAAGGAGGAATTTTGAAGGGGCTTTGGGGAGACCCTCTGCGTAGGCTCCTGGGCGCAGACCCCTGCGACGAGCTCAGGCGCCTCAGTCACCGCTCACGCCGACCTGCCCACGCTCACTTCAATATCTAATAATACGCTAGTTCACTTCAAGTCGTTTTCAGAGGTTTTGGCTTTCTAGTTCGGTTCCTTTCTCAGGCGGCACGTTCCTTCAGTATGTTTAGTCGTTTAGTCGTGTCCGCCTCTTCGTGACCCCCTGGACTAGAGCACGCCAGGCACTCCTGTCTTCCACTGCCTCCCGCAGTTTGGTCAAACTCATGCTGGTAGCTTCGAGAACACTGTCCAACCATCTCGTCCTCTGTCGTCCCCTTCTCCTTGTGCCCTCCATCTTTCCCAACATCAGGGTCTTCTCCAGGGAGTCTTCTCTTCTCATGACGTGGCCAAAGTCTTGGAGCCTCAGCTTCAGGATCTGTCCTTCCAGTGAGCACTCAGGGCTGATTTCCTTCAGAATGGAGAGGTTTGATCTTCTTGCAGTCCATGGGACTCTCCAGAGTCTCCTCCTGCACCATAATTCAAAAGCATCAATTCTTCGGCGATCAGCCTTCTTGATGGTCCAGCTCTCACTTCCATACATCACTACGGGGAAAACATTCCTTTAGTTACCCCCCCACCCCTTTAACAAATCCCACTCCTGAGGTGCTTTCAGTAATAGTCTATGGCAGTGGTGGTGAACCCACGGCACGTTCGCCAGAGTGGGCACCCAGAGCCCTCTCGCTTGGCATGGTGCTCGCCCTCCCCCCAGCAGTTCCATTCTTGGGGGTTGCGCTCCGGGGCCACGCGAGGTGAGTGCCTGGGGAGGGGGCTCGAGGGGGCGGGGCGCCTGCTGCTGGGCGAGGGGAGGGCGGTGGGACCCACAAAGCGCCTCTGAGCCAGGGCGGTGGTTGTTCCGCAGGAGCTGTCCCGCAAACAAAGGGCTGGCGCCCCCCCGGGGCGTGGGGCAAGAGGGGCGCGGCTCAGCCCCTGTGTCTCCCAGCCGCAGGTGCCCGCGGAAGAGGGGGCGGACCCTCCGCTCCTCTCCCCACCTGAGCCGCTCCCCCCACGCCACTGCAGGTGGGAGCATGCGACGGATGCAACAGTGTTGGGGGAGTTGCGCACCCGCCAAGCAGCTCATTTCCTGTGGCGCCGCTCCCCCCCCCACGTGATTAGTTGTGCCTCAAGCAGGAAACACCGTATGTTTTGCTCCATAAGACACACTTTTTTCTTCCTAAAAAGTAAGGGGAAATGTCTGTGTGTCTTATGGAGCGAATGTGTGGTCCCTGGAGCCAAATTGCCCAGGGACGAAAAACAGATCATGTTCTTTTTTTTGAAAGAGGGAAGGGGGTGTTGAAAGAAAGCTGCTGTTCGGCAAGTGATCAGGAGGAGAGGAGGAGAGGAGACAGGAAGACTAAAGCAATGAGGAGAGAAATTTGAAGAAAAGGAGGAGCAAAAAGCTGCTCCAACTGAGGAAAAGACTCTAAGGCAAACAAGAGGGAAAGGAAGCAGCTGATCGGTGGGATCGGGAGAGAGATAAGGGACGCTAGCTAGACAGGAGGCTGCCTGGAGGGGGGAGGTAAAAGCCCATGGATCCTCAGGATTTTTGCATTGGGTCACCCCAAATTCACCATCAGATCACACAGCATGTCCACAGCTACAGCCTGCACCAAAAACCCCCACGCACTCACTGTTTTGGGGGCTGCAATGGTGCAAAAATGTGGTTACAAAGCACAGATCCATAGGGATCCTCAGGATTTTTGCATTGGGCTACCCCAAACTCACATGTCTGTGGCCACAGCATGAACCACAAAAATCATACATCCACTGTTTCGTTCGGAATATTTTTTTTCTTGTTTTCCTCCTCTAAAAACTAGGTGCGTCTTATGTAGCGAAAAATACATTATACAGTGGCAATAGGAACCCAGTAGGAAAAATGTACCTAAATTAAGCCTGATTTATAGTGGCTGGCCCCTTCTCAGAGCTCCTCCCTGGGCCCCCTTTTCCCCTCTGCCTCCTCAAGGACCCGCTGGACAGTCTGCGCTGCTTCAGGACAGGTGTCTCCTTCCCCTTCCTTTTCTTGCCTTCCTTTTAGCTCATGGGAGGTCTGGCTGGTCTTTCTTCACCCAGTCATGTCAAGGAGCAGCATGGGGGCTAAAAGGAGGAATAAATGGAGGACAATATCCCACTCCCCCCAGAAAAGCTCTTCTTTCTCTTTCTGTGGAGGCTCTAGGCCCCTCTTGAAGGACCTTTACCTTGCTCCAATCAGGATAAATATTTCCACCCCTTGGGACGGGACCGAAATAGTTTACTTGCCTCATAGCAAACTGGCATTTTGAAGCTTGGACCGTTAGGCTGTCTCTTTTTGTACCACCTTGGAGTGTATGAGGGAAACTTCCTCTCCCGTGTCCCTTAATCCTTTTAAGACCTCTTTATTTGTGGCAGAGGTCAGCAACCTTAGGCCCATGAGGGTCGCTTAGCTGGCCCATGAACTGTCCCCAAACCAAGCTGCCTGCTTGGCAAGTCCCTGCGCCCTGCGCTAAACTGGTGCACCACGGCATGGGGACTCCCTTCCGCGGCTCCGGAAATCACTTCTGCACAAGCCCAGATGCCGGAAATCGCGTCTGCTCATGTTTGCTGTGCCGGAAACCGCTTCTGTGCGCAATTTACAGCGTCTGGGCATGCGCAGAAGTGATTTCTGGTGCTGCCCTGGTCTGGCCCATGGAGAATCTCCGCAGGAGTGATCCGGCCCGTGCTCAGTAAGCCTTGCCGACCCCTGATTTATGGTAAATCACACTTTATATATATCCTGCCAACCTAGCAGTTCAAAAGCATGTCAAAAGTGCAAGTAGATAAATAGGTACCGCTCTGGCGGGAAGGTAAACAGTGTTTCCGTGCGCTGCTCTGGTTCGCCAGAAGCGGCTTAGTCCTGCTGGCCACATGAGCCGGAAGCTGTACGCCGGCTCCCTCGGCCAATAAAGCGAGATGAGTGCCGCAACCCCAGAGTCGGCCACGACTGGACCTAGTGGTCAGGGGTCCCTTTACCTTTACACTTTATATTTCAGCCTGACTCCTCACCCACCTCCACTCAACTGACTCTCTCCCTCCAAAGCCTCTCCTTTTAAGCCCACCCTCCTGGAACCACGGCCAATCAGAGGCTGCCGTTCTTTAACCATTTGCTGGCAGGAGAAAAAAGTAACCAGCTTTTCAGAGGCAGCCCTCCTTGGCTGCTCTCTGCCCTCCTGCCCGCCTGATTCCTTCCTTCCTTCCTCTTCCCCACAGATGAGCCCAGGCGGCCCCCCAAGCCCCCCACTTTTGGGCAGTTCCTGGCCGAGCCGCAGCCGGAGCGACGCAGGAAGGGCCGCGGCCGCGGAGGAGGAGGCAGGCGAGGAGGAGGGGGAGCGGGACCCCCCAAGCCCTACAGGTGAGCCTGGCCTCTGTGGAGATCAGTGGGGCAGACCCCCAACCCCCTGATTCTCCCCCTGGGGGTGGGGGGTGGCACCTCCCTCCTGGTTCAGCTATCGGGGTCTTAATTCCGGGTCTCTCTCCTGCCAGCATGCATGATGATCGCTGGGAGGAGCAGGAGGAGCAGCCAGCGGCACCGGCGGCGGATCGAGCCCCAGAGGAGGAGGAGGCAGGCAGGGCTGCCGCCCAGCAGGTCAGACGGGAGGGGAGGGATTTTTTTGGGGTGGGGTCTTGGTCTTCCGCCGGCTTCCCCTAAAGAGTGGGTCTCAAACTCTTTTCTCTGGGCCCCCCTTTCAGAATAAGAATCCGAAGGAATCTTAAGAGTTTGGAGGGGCACCCAGGGTGTCATCTAGTCCAGCCCCCACCCCCCCACCAGGCAAGAATCACAGCTGAAGAACCATAGAATTCTAGATTTGGGGTTCCAAGTGCCATCTAGTCTGTGTCAGGAGTCAGCCTACACTCGAGTAGGACCCTGGCAGAGACACATCCCCGACTGGCATTTTCTCTCCCTCCTGGTTGATCGTTCAGGAGCTTCACAAGCTTTCTTCATCACAGCGACCGATGCCAACCGACACCGGCACACTTAGGGATCTGCAGAGTTTGCGCAGCATGCATGACAGACTCTCAGCAACTCAGCATTTTGGCTAATCGACTTAATTTACATATAAACACCCACGGAGCACTGCAACATGGCTCCCTCTCTCTCTAGCATCAGACAGCAAAGAGAAAAAGAACAAAGGACAATAGTCCCACTTCGTGGAACACAGTCACACAAACATCCTGTCTCCGTCACTTCCTGCTCTGTGGAGTCAAAACATACACCGTCATGTGATAGACAACAATCCCATGACTGCAATCATGGAGCGGGAATTCTAACAGTCTGACCCCCCGCAATACACGTGCAGTGCTCATATCCACAAGGTTGGCGCTGAATGTTCCACGATTGTGCCACACCAGCCTTTTAATCAGAAATACATCAGGAAAGACAACTAGAATTGTCCTCAGATTAATAATAATAATAATAATAATAATAATAATAATAATATCACATGATGCATTTTGAAAAAATGGCTATCCATGTCTTGCAAATACAAAAAATTGTTTTTATAGTATATAGTCATACCTTGGTTTCCGAACAGCTTAGTTCCCGAACGTTTTGGCTCCTGAGCGCCGCAAAAACCCAGAAGTGACTCTTCCGGTTTGCAAACTCTTTTTGGAAGCCGAACGTGTGACTGGCCTTCTGATTGGCTGCAGGAGCTTCATGCAGTCAATCAGAAGCCGTGCTTTGGTTTTTGAACGTTTTGGAAGTCAAATGGACTTCCGGAACGGATTCTGTTTGACTTCCGAGGTAGGTCTGTAGACTACACTGCACTGAAATGCCTAAATGTTTCTTTGCTTGCCCTCGACTCTTCCTACTGTTCTAAAGCGAGAACAACATCTCTCGGTCGTAGTCACAGCCACTAAGCAGCACAGGACCAGGGAATGACAGGGCTGTAGGGTCTGGGAGGGACCCCAAGGTGCCATCTAGTCCATCCCCTGCAAGGCAGGAATCTCAGCTGAAGCATCCGTGGCTGATGGCCATCCAACCTCCACTTAAAAGCCTCCAAGGAAGGAAAGAGTCTAATAATAATAATAATAATAATAATAATAATAATAATAATAATAAACTATTTGTACCTGCCCATCTGGCTGGGTTTCCCCTCCACCGCCATCAGCTGTTATCCTCAGAAAGTTCTTTCTAACGTTGAGTCAGAATCTGCCATGAATGCTTTAGTGAAGCTTCCTGCATTGTAGGGGGTTGGAATAGATGACCTCTGGGGGTCCCGTTCCAGCTCTACAAATCCGTGCTTTACAAATTTGAAGCCATGGGTTTGGGTCCTGCCTTCTGTGCCCTTTTTCACCTCTCGTGTGGTTCTTTGAAGCGTCCGGCCTTCACCCGCTGACCCCCGGCTTTGTCCTTCTTCTTCCGCAGGCGGGGGCCCCTTCCTCCCCCAGCCCCGGGGAGAAGGAGGAAGAGGAGGAGGAGGAAGACCAGTGGGAGGACGTCAGCGAGGGAGAGGAGGAGGAGGCCGAAGGCAGCGGCAGCCAGCCGGAGGAGGAGGAAGGGCCTGGCTTGGCCCCCCGGCCCCCGGGGCGAAACGGGCAGCTCTCTCTGACCATGCCTGCCCCCCAGGCAGAGACCCCCAGCGCAGAGGGGAAGCCGCTCACCCCCTTCTCGCCGGCCGAGGGCTACTGCCCCGTCTCCGACTGGGGAGAGGAGATGGAGCTCAGCTCGCCCCGGGCAAACCCCCCCCAGAACCCCCTGGCCGCCCCTGGGGAGGGGCCGCCCCCCACGGCAGGTGAGGAGCCAAGCGGGGTGGCGTGGGGGTCCGGCTCAGGGGTCCTGGGTCCCGCGGGTTGCTGTTACCGTGGGTCAGAACCAGGGTGGATTTGATTTCAACCATTTAAATCACAATTTGAATCACTAGTCAGTAAGACTCAATTGAAATCATTTTTTTTATAGAAAGACTCATTCTTGCTGGTATAATTTTAACATTTACAACCAGAGGAAGGTTTCATTTTTGGAATAATAAATTCTCAGAGTCGTTTTTACAGTTATATCAAAAATGACTGATTTGGTTCTACTATTAGAAATACCTTGATAGATAATTATGAAATTGTTGTGAGGTTTCATAAGTTAACTGTTTATATCTGGACAACTTTTCTGCTGTACTTGATTGGAAGGAGAAAGATAATCATTTCCTTAATGACAATTTAAACAATTTATTTAACTAAAGTAAGACCATTATAGCATATGTATCCATGTTTGTTAACTGATGTGGTTTAACAAAACAAACAAAAAACCTTTGGCCGAGTTTTAGCACACATGAAAAACTTAAAACAAATCCTTATATCCTATTGAATAGCCTTTGGACTTAAATGGAACTTAAATAGAAAACTATCTTTAGAAAGATTTTTTTCCTCCAGAAGCATTTTATTTTAAAAATCCAATTTAAATTTTAAAAAATTTAAAAATTAAATTTAAAAAATCAGATTTTTTTGTTTTTGTTTTTAAATCATTGATTTTTATCCACCCTGGTCAGAACTCAGTTTGGGTCCTCCCAGCGCATAAAGTAACTGAGGGGGGTGGGAAATCCACTCTCCCCCCCCTCCACCTTGTGCAGCTATATCATCTTCCTTCTCTTTCTGCAGGGACGAAGCCCCCAGACCCTCCAGCTGAGCAGGGCTCCCCTCAAGCGGAAGGGGCGGCCCCTCCTGGCCCCATAGTGGCCCCCCCAGCTGTGGCAAAAGAGGAAAAAGAAGAGGAGGACCCGGAAGTTGTGGCCCCCGGAGGAGGGGAGGCTGCCCAGGAGCCTGGAGAGCCAGGTGCTGCGAGGGGCAAGGGAGGACCCCCCCAGGCCCCCCCTCTGCCAGACCCGGCTCTCCCTCGGGGACTGAAGCCCTCTTTCTTCTCCCCCCCAGGCGCTGCCACGGAGCAGGACCCGGCGGCTGCGTCCGGCGCGGTGGAGATCACCGGTTTCCAGCGGGTGCGTTTCTGTAAGCTGCCCCCCAGCGGGCTCTAGCGGGCGCCCTCCCTGTGGGGCGGCCCTGGCATGGGGTGCAAGGACCTCTCTGTCTCCCTGCACTGGCTCTGCGGCGCCACCTCCTGGCTGCTCCTTCTTCTCGCCCCTTGCATGCGCCTGTCCTCCTCTCTGCATGGCCGGCCTGACCCCTCTGCCCCACTTCCTGGCAGCAGTGGCTCTCTGGGGTTTCAGGGTCTTGCAGCCCCCCCACCCAGAGGGGTCAAACTATAGACTATCTGCCTGCGGGGAAGCAGCTCTGCCCTGAATGGTGGGGTAATAATAATTTATACCCTGCACTTCCCGGTTCAGGAAACCGGGCTCAGGGCAGCTAACAACAAATTTAAAACACTTAATTTATGCTACAAAAAACCCAGCATAAAATATGGTAAAGGTAAAGGGACCCCTGACCATTAGGTTCAGTTGCGGCCGACTCTGGGGTTGCGGCGCTCATCTCGCTTTACTGGCCGAGGGAGCCGGCGTACAGCTTCCGGGTCATGTGGCCAGCAGGACTATGCCGCTTCTGATGAACCAGAGCAGCGCATGGAAAAGCCGTTTACCTTCCCGCCAGAGCGGTACCTATTCATCTACTTGCACTTTGACGTGCTTTCGAACTGCTAGGTGGGCAGGAGCAGGGACAGAGCTATGACAGCTCACCCCGTCGCGGGGATTCGAACCGCCGACCTTCTGATCGGCAAGTCCTAGGCTCTGTGGTTTAGATGACAGCGCCACCCACGTCCCCATAAAATATGGATAAAGCGTAAATAACAATAAAATCAAAAATCAGTTTCGGGGGGAAATCCATCCAATGAACACTAGATGATCCCCAGGGCTGGCTGGCTAAATTAGTCCCACTTGGGCCAGCGAGGAGACCAGGGGAGAACCAGCTGTGGGACCCCAGAGCGGGGGATCTTCACCAAAAGGGGAGGGGGAGGGAAAGAAGGGGCAGCCCCAGGGGGGGTTGTTTCAGTGGTCTGCATCACCCTCCTCTTTGGGCCACCCTGGGCCATACCCCCCATGGGCAAAATTGAGCAGCTCGGGGAGGGGGGGCATTCCTGAATGGGCTTTTGTTGTGCATTATTTATTTTTTTCATTTCTATACTGCTTCATGTTTTTAAGAAAAATCTCAAAGCGGTTTGCAGCATATTGAAACGTCAATAAGAACAATCCAGAATCAAACATTTCCAAAGAAAGTCAAATATAGGGTATACAGTCAAAGCAACGTAACTAACAGAAAACTAAAATATTATCTTTAAAGATTTCAAAATAAAACATTGCAAAGGAGGTCAGTGACAGAATACATATTTGACGCAAACAAAGTTAACAAAAAAACCCCTTAAACTTTTTTTTTTAAAAAAAAACATTGCTAAGTGAAGTCAAATATAAAATGCACATTTGAAACGGCATAATAAACAAGAGAATAAAATATTATAAGCATTTCCCCTTCAAACGAGGAGGATTTTTCTCCTGCTCCTTCCCCTCTGTGGCAACATTCAGCTGGCCTGGGAAATGGGCGCAGCTGCCTTTCTGCTGGGCCAGGAATACAGGGATTGGGGCAAGACCCCCCCCCCCCAATGTCCCAAGAGGAGAATTTTCCCCTTCCCTCTAGAAGGCAGCCCTATTTAGGGAAGTTTTTAATGTTTGATGAATTCTTGTATTTTAATATTTTGTTGGAAGCAGCCCAGAGTGGCTGGGGAAACCAGATGGGCAGGGTATAAATATTATTATATTTATTATTCTCCCCCCCCCCCAGCCCACAGGTGCAAAGAGGGTGGCCAGAGCTGGTGGGAGTGAGTTGGGGTCCAAAGCGAGGGGGGGCTGGAGTTCTGGGAAAGAAGGGCGGAACGGAACGGAAGGAGGCTGGAGAGTCTCTGTAGGAATTCCCCCAGCCCTTCCCTGGTGGAATCCTGGCCACTTCCCTCCATGGAAATATTGTGCAATTATTCAAAGCAGGGGGGGGGGCGGAGAGTAGATTCTTCAGACACACAAATAGGGAACCACATTCAGGAATCACATTTATTTCTATTAACTTATTCCTTGCCTTTTTCTCTAAGGAGCTGGAGGTGGGTTCTCCCCCCCATTTAATCCCCCCCCCCCGACGACCCTGCGAAGTGGGTTGGGCCAGAGGCAGCGACTGGCCCAAAGTCACACCCCATGAGCTTCCTGGCTGGGGGGGGGCACGGAATTTGAATTTTGGTTTTCCAGATCCTACCCTGACACTTGGAAAAGGGGGGGGGCTGGCCAGAAGCCTGTTTTTTTGGGGGGGGGCTTGGTGTGTCCCAAGGGCTCTGAGCAGCTTCATAGAATCAGAGAATTGTAGAGTTGGCAGGGATACCCAGGGGTCATCTAGCCCAACCCGCTGCCAAATCCAGGTCTCCGCCAACCTTTTAGTGTTGGCATGGAAGCATGGCGGCCTTGGCATCGTGGGAAGTGGGGGGAGGCGGCTACTGCGGCCCCCGTGGCTCTTACGCTCTGCTCCCCACAGTCAGAAGGAGCAATGCCAGGGTGGATAAAAATCAATGATTTCTTTTAAAAATAAATAAATAAATAAATAGGATTTTTAAAAATTTAAATCGGATTTTTAAAATAAAATGCTTTGGGAGGGAGAATCTTTCTAAAGGTAGTTTTCTATTTAAGTTACATTATAGTCTAAAGATTCATCAGGAAATAAGGATTTGTTTTAAGTTTTTCATGGGTGCTAAAACTCAGTCTAAGTTGGTTGTTGTTTTTTTAAAAAAAAAAGTTTAACCACATCAGTTAACAAACATGGATACACATGCTATAATGTTATTGTTTCAGTTAAATAAATTGTTTAAATTTAAATTGTTATTAAGGCAATGATTATTTTTTCTCCTTCCAATCAAGTACAGCAGAAAAGTTGTCCAAATATCAACCGTTAACTTATGAAACCTCACCAGAATTTCATAATTATCTGTCAAGGTATTTCTAATAGTAGAACCAAATCAGTCATTTTTGATATAACTGTTAAAACCACTCTGAAAATTTATTATTCCAAAAGTGAAACCTGGTTGTAAATATTAAGATTATACCAGCAAGAATGAGTCTTTCTGTAGAAAAAATGATTTAAATTGGGTCTTACTGACTAGAGATTTAAATCAATTTGATTTAAATCAAATCCACCCTGAGCACTGCTTCCGAAGACCCGTTGCTGGAAGCGGACGGAAGGGCGAGTGTTGCTCTCGTGGTCGGATCCTGGCTGCAAGTTTCCCATTGGGGCATCTGATTGGCCACTAGGAGAACAGGAGGCTGGCCCAGATCCGGCAGCCGGGCTCTTCTGATGTGCTAATGGAGCCTCCAGCTCCAGAGGCAGTCTCTCTCGATTTCTGGCTCTATGGGGAATTAGGCACTGCGAGGGCTGCCTGCTGGGCCAAGAGCCTGATCCTGCAGGCTGTTCTTCGGGGGGCAGGGGCAGGGGCTACGTACAGCTGCCGGTTGGGGAAAGTCCTTGTCTGTTTCTGTGCTTCCGTTTGCCGCATTAAACCTTTTCTCTTTCTCTCTGACGCTTCTCTTTGGGCTTCTCTTCTGTGCATGCAGCCCCCACTGCCTTGGGGTGCCCCCCCTGCCCAGGTTCTCTGTCTCAGGAATTGCCAGCTGGCTTGATTCATGGGCTGTGGCAGAGGGGAGACCCCCTCCAGTAGGAGTTTCTTTTGGGGGGGGGGAAGAGAGCAAAGGGATGCTGCTGCATGTTTGGGAAGGGGCAGGCAGTTGCCTTGGGCCTGACGGGACGTCCCTCTCCTCGGTTGCAGTTCCTGCATTGGGGGGGTTGGGCTGGATGACCCCCCGGTGTCCCACCCAGCCCTGCAATTCCGTGTTTCTTCAGCTGTGCCGTTGAAAGGGGGATGCTGCCCTCTGCTGGGAAAGCAGGGCACTGCAAGACAAGCCCGTTCATATCATCTTTATTAGCCTGCAGGAGGATAGTGCTAATGATAATTTATTATATATTATTTATACCCCACCCACCTGACTGGGTTTCCCCAGCCGCTCTGGGTGGCTCCCAACAGAATTAATGATAGTACTTTTTTACCTGGGAAGAGGAAGTGGCCATTGTCTCTCCCTCCCACACCTTCCTTGTGCCTGATTTTCAAGAGTATTTGGCCGTGGCAAGAGCAGAGGGCAGGGCTTGCTCTTCAGAAAATTCCCCGCAAAGACCTTCCCCTCCCACAGGGGATGGAGAGCCTTCAATGGCTCTGGATCATTCTTCTGGAGTTTTTGCCCCCGGTTCGTAGAATTGCGGCCTTGGCAGGCACCCAAAGTCCATCTTGCCCAACCCCAGTCGCAGGGAAATAATCCCTGGCAGGTGGTTGTCCGAGCCCTGCTTAAAAACCTCCAAGGAAGGAGGGCCCACCACCTTCCCAGGGAGCCCCTTCTCCTCTCGGATGCCCCTGACTTTCGGAATTTTCCCTTCCTGATATTTAGTCGGAATCTCCCTCCTTGCCCTTGGAAGCCACGGGTTCGAGTTCTCCCTTCTGGAGCAGCTCGCTCCATTTTCAATCTTTCAGATATTTGAAGAAGAGTCTTGTACCACGATTATTTCATTATTCACTTTTGGCGGGGGCTTGCTTGTTTTGGGCCCGCCCCAGATCAAAACAAAGCCCAAACTCCCAGTGAGACTGAAATGCGTGTTGAATTTCAAGGCAAGAGTTAAGAAACACCAAATGGGGGGCTGGTTTCTTTTTTTGAAAATGGGTCACTTCCTCTCCACTGGCTCGTCCCTTCGCTGCCTGGCTCACCTGCGCCCAGGTGTGTGTGTCTGCATGTTGGGGAGTGTCTTGGGTGGGACCTGTCCTCCCCCCCACACTTGTGACTGACTCTCTTTCCCTCCCGCCCCCCCAGGAGCAGACGGAGGAGGCCTGAGGTCCAGGAGGACATTCCCTGTCGCTCTGTTCACCCCGGGTTGTGGGGCAAGTCCTGAGAGTTCGGAGCCAGAGCAGCTTCCTCCATGGAGGGGGTGGGATCTGCAGCCCCCCCCCCCCGTAATCTGCCTGCTTGGACCACTCCTTTGCACAGCCTCCAATACGAGTGGGGGGACGCCAGCCCCCGCCCCGTCCTGCCCCAATGCCTTTTGCTGCTGTTCACGCAAGTCACCTGGCAGGTGGGGAAAGTGCCCCCCCAGCTGCATGTGAGGCTGTTGCTGACCCCTGCCAGATGAGGCACATTTTTCAAGGGGGGGGACTTTGCTTTGCGCCCCTTGCAGTCCCTGTCGTCATCGTCCCCCTTCTGTGCATCGCTCTTTTATGCCGTTTCCAGGATTGGGGGGCTCTGAGGGTGGGGAGAGTAAGGCCCCCAGTCTGGTAGGGGGGAGCGGCAGCAGCAGCAGCAGTTCCTTTAGTTGGGAGGGGCTGCCCCCTCTGCTAGGATGAGGGCTGTCTGTGGGGCTGCCCCATACCATGTGCAAATGAAAGGGTTTCCTGTCAATAAAGCCTTTCCCGTGACTTTCTGCCTTGTCCTCCCTTGCTAGAGTGAATCTGGGGGGGGGGGGTTTCCCTCAGGAGGAGGGATCTTCCTCTCCAGGGGGTGGGGTGGGGGTGTCATGGGATGCCTTGGGCTGGATTCAGCGTGCCCTCTTTGTAAATAGCTGGGACTGGATCTCTTGGGCAGGAAAATTTAGGGTGAGAATCTCCCCAAGTATGGCTATGGGCTCGCTGGCCACTCTGCAAGGTCCAGCCCCCTATTTTCCCCTTGAGAGGGGCTGGGAGGTGCCTGGAGGAAGCCCACCCAGCTGTGGGTCTGGAGGCAACTTGTCCTTGCCCCCCCCCCTTTAACTGCTTTGCAGTGGTAGAGTGGATCTTGCTGCAGGGGGGCGACCCCTCCAAGCCCCCCCTCTCCTGACCCACCAAGGGAGATAATAGCACAGTAGAAGGCTAATCAGCAGCAATTAATTCATAGAACCGTAGAGTCGGAAGGGACCCCAAGGGCCATCTAGTCCAACCCTCTCTTGCAGGAATCTCTGCTAAAGCATCCCAGACAGATTGGCCACCCAACCTCTGCTTAAAAACCTCCAAGGAAGGAGAGGCCACTGCTGTCCCATCAGCGATGTTGAGTCGGAATCTCCTTTCTTGTAACTTGAAGCCATGGGTTCGAGTCCTACCCTCTGGAGCAGGAGAAAACGAGCTTGCTCCCTCTTCCAGCCCTTGGGATATTTGAAGATGGCTCTCATTGCTCCTCTTTGCCACGCTAAACATCCCCAACTGCCTCAGCCTTTCCTCATAAGGCTTGGCTTGCAGACCCTTCGCCATCAACTGAAACTGATGGAAATCGCGTAACGGAAGAGATAAGCTTGTGAGAACAGCTTTTCGAAGACACTCTTTTCGGAGAATCGCTGACACTTCCTGCGCCCCGCGGCGCCCGCGCTCCTCTTAGCGCCCCCCTGGTAATTCAACCCCCCCTCGGAACCGCTATCTGCCCCCCCCGCCGCCGCCCTGGAAGTCCCTATAAAGACCCGGAGCGAGGACTGGCGCCGGGACAGCAGATGGAGGCGCAGCGCCCGGGCGTCGTCTGAAGGCTCGTCGGGGAGAGAAACGGAGGCAGCGAGCGAAATTTAGCAAATTTCCTAAACCAGACCCCGACTTCCTCTTTCGGGCGGTATAAACGGGGAGGGAGCCGGTCAGCAGCCGCCCCAGAAGCAGGAGAGAGGGAGCGGCTGCCTGGTTCTTGCTCCGCAGGGTGAGTGTGTGGGAGATCCCCCCCCCCAAACCCGGCCACCCCAAAGGGAAGCGGGCAGAGCTGCCTCGGATCTGAGCGGTGCTGGCGAAGGGCTCCTGCGCGCAAGCAGAGGGCAGAGGTGGCAGTCTGCCGTGGGGGGGGGGGAGCTGGGAGAGGCGAGTTTAGCGGAGGGGCTCCCGCTGCTGCACCCCGCTCTATGTTTGCACCTGGTGCTATCCCCCCCCCCCCAAAAGGGACCTATTGGGAGTGATTTGGCTCCGGATAGTTCGCGACGCGCTCCCTTGTCAGGCCAGGAGCTGCTGCCCCCCTACCCTAGTGAACCCCCCAAAACAGGCTGTATCGCAATGCGGGGGGGGGGAGCGAGCCGCTGCCCCTCCTTCCCTCCGCAGCTGGCTTTGGGTGCGTCTCACCCCCCTTATGTCTGATGCCTTCGGGCGTTTCTTGGGAGGAATGGGGGCCTGCAGGGGGTGATGATGATGATGAAGATGAAAGGAGCTGCCGGCGTGCCACAATTGCAGGGTCCCGGGTTGCCGCCCCCCCAAAAATCTAGTAGGCTGCCAAAGCCCCCGAGAAGACCCTGCTCTCTCCTCCTCTGCCCGCCTGCCTCCGGGTCACACGATTCTGCTTCTGCTGCAAGAACAGACTGGGCAATGCACCCCGGCAAAGACGACTTCTCCCCAGCCCCGCGCCCCCATTCTCTGCCCCCTCCCCATCTGCTCTTCGGTAAAGGGAGCGTCTCGCAGGATCTAGGGCGCATGGGAACAGGGGGAGCCCAGGAGGGCCCGGCTGGGTTGGGGGCTGGCAGAGGAGGGAGGGAGGGAGGGGGCAAAAGGGGAAGAAGCCGTGAAGAGAGAGAAAGGGCGGGGGAAGAAGCTCGGAGGAAGAGTGGAAGTTGTGACACTGAGGCTCAATTCCTCGCAGCGCAGCTTATTTGCACCTGCCAAAGGTTCCCATCTGGCTTCTGTGGAAGGAGTCATAAAATGCCGCCACGCAAAATCAAGCCTCATACCTTCCAAAAAATCTACACCCTGGGTCTCTAATTCTCAGCCTGGCCGGCCTCGCGGGGTTGTCGTGGGGATTAACGCGCCTGCCGCCGGGAGCTCCTTGAGGAGAGAATGCGAGAGGGATTCGAGGGCAGACTTGCACCTCCGCAGCCTGCGCTTGGCATCCTTGGCCGCCCCTAGACGCCCTCGGGACCCCCGCCCTCTCCGCGCCCCCTTCTGGGCGACCTCTCCTGGTCTCCAGCAGCTCCGCTCACAGCTTTCCAAACAAGCCGCGCCTCGCTCCAGGAACTTGGGCTGCCCATTTTTCTGTGCAGCCGCGAGGATTTTCTCAAGTGCCTTTGCTTCTCCAGCCGGGGACAATGTCTGTGAAATCCCAGGAGCCCTTAATGGCAGCCCCCCTCCCTCCTTCCCGCTGCACTTGACGTTTCTGAGGAGGCGCCTCCAGACGGGAGCAAAATCGCTCTTCCTTCTTTCCTGCGCGCGAGGATTTTCCTGCGCCGCCTCCGGCCAGCTGGTGGCTCTGGGACTTTCGGGGCGAAGCGGGGCTGGAGGGCGAGGATGGGGGGCTTGGACTGGGAGGAAGGCGGAGCACCGGGCGTTGCCTTGGCGGGGATGAAAACACGGTTTAATTTGCGGGCGACATGTCTGGTTTGCGGGCAAAAAGGCCACGCGGGTGGGGTCTCTCTTGCTGTTCATACCTGGACAGAACTGGAAGCAATTCTTGAGTTATAGGAGCCCAGCGGTCCCGGAAGAAACCAGCCTTAGATGCGGTGCCCCCTGAAGCAGCTTCAATCAACTTCATATCAGAATTTGCCAGAGAATAAGACCGCCGAGTCCAAACGGGTTCGGGCTCCTCCAGGGTGTCGTTTTTGTCCATCCGTTCCCCGCTCCCAAATCCGACCCTTTGCCCAGAGCTTGACTGGCAGAACCCCCAAAAGATGGTCATCCGACCTCTGCTGCCTTCTAGTCTCTTCAGTTTATGTTGTATTTTATCATTCGTCCCGAAGCTTCACGAGTAAAATTTGTAAGATTTCCTACCCCCTGTTTGGGGGTAGAACGGTTCTCTTTGCTTTTATTGCAAAAAATAAATAAATGTAAGTTTCTTACCCAGCACCTAAAATAGCCCAACGCTGTACAGAACAGGACCTTAACAATGACGCCAGGATCTTCATCATAAAGAACAACTGTGTTGTGTAATTAACTCTGCAATGACAACTAATACAAACTGATTGTTTAAAAACTCCTTGGCGGCTGCAGCGGGAGCTGTTCCCAAACGTTGGAACTCCCTTCCTAGGAAAGCGACGCTGGTCTATTAATCTGTGGCTGATTTTACTTGTGTGACCCGCCTTGAGTTCCGGCCTGGGGAAAACAAACAAACAAACAAATTTTAGGGCCACTTGCATAATCAGAGCTTTGGGCAAATGTTCTCTCGCTCTGTAGATGTTCGTGTGCGCAAAGGTAACCTTTTGGGGCGGGGACCAGGCTGGAGGGGGGACGGACACACTGAGTTCAGTGTCAAACTTGTGGATATGAGCACCGCACGTGCATTGCGGGGGGGACGGACTAGATGACACTGGGATCCCCCAATCTAGGATTCTGTGATTCTTCAGCTGCGATTCCTGCATTGTAGGGGGTTGGACTGGATGGCCGCTGGGGGTCCCTTTCAGTTCTACAGTTCCATGATTTCCAAGAGGCCGGGCCTTGCCTAGGCTAGAGACACTCCCGCCTCTGGCCCTGACTCCTCTCTCCCGCCTGTCTGCCCCTCGCAGGACTCCATGGACTCAGTGATGGACGACCTCAGCGGCTTCTACTCGGAGTACAATGATTCCGACCCGGACCCCTCCGACGCGGGCCCCCTGGTGTTGGAGGAGCCCGGCCTGAGTCCCCTCCTGTGGGTGGCGCTGACCATCTACGTGCTGGTGTTCGTGGTGGGCGTGCTGGGCAACGGCGCGGTGGTCTGGGTGGTGGGCTTCCAGATGCGGCGCACCGTCAACACCACCTGGTTCCTCAACCTGTCCGTGGCCGACCTGCTCTGCTGCCTGGCGCTGCCCTTCCTGGCCGCGCCGCTCGTCTCCGACCACCACTGGGCGCTGGGCGACTTCGCCTGCAAGCTCTTCCCGTCGCTCATCATCCTCAACATGTTCGCCAGCGTCAACCTGCTGGTCCTCATCAGCATGGACCGCTGCTGCCTGGTGCTGAGGCCCGTCTGGTGCCAGAACCACCGCTCGGTGCGCCTGGCCTGGGGCTCTTGCGCCCTGGCCTGGCTGCTGGCGCTGGCGCTCACGGCGCCCACCTTCTTCTCCCGCAGCATCGTCTCGCAATTCAAGAAGAGCCTGTGCATCACCAACTACGCCGCTTTCCCCGGAGGTCCCCGCGTGGCCGAGGTCTCCGTGGCTTCCACGCGCTTCGCGCTGGCCTTCGCGCTCCCGCTGGTGGTCATCTGCGTGTGCTACGGGCTGCTCCTGCGCCGGGTGCGCAGCTCCCGTTTCGGGCAGCGCTCGCAGAAGACTCTCAAGGTGGTCCTGGTGGTGGTGGTGGGCTTCTTCGTCTGCTGGGGGCCCTACCACGTGGCCGGCCTCATCCAGGCCTCCCAGCCCCCCAAAAGCTGGCTCAGCGACTCGGTGAACCAGGCGGACCCCCTGATCGTGTGCCTGGCCTACGTCAACAGCTGCATCAACCCGGTCATCTACGTCCTCGCCGGCCACGACTTCCAGAGCAAGATGCGCCGCTCCGTCAAGGCGCTCCTGCGCAACGTCTTCAGCGAGGAGTCCGCGCTCGGACACTCCCTCGCCGACGGCCACGCGGGGACGCAAGACACGTGCGCCGCCACCACGGAGGACCGCAGCGACCCCAGCGACCGCAGCGCCAGCACCGTCGTGTGAGGAGGGGGTCACCACAAAGGAGACCCTGCTGGGGCGCTCTGTCTGCGCAACGCCACTCCTCCTACTTGCTTAGCTCTGGGAGGGGGCCAGCCCCACCCCAGCAGTCTCTGCAGGCGCCTAGACCCCTGAGACCATTTGCACCCCCCCACACACTGGGGAACTCCCTGCCCATTGACATCAAGCAGGCGGCCTTTCCCGTGCTCCTTGCGGTGCCTGCGAAAAACATTCTGCTCAGACAAGCCGACCCAGAAGCGTAGAGAGTCGAGGTGGATTTTAACCTGTTGGAGTATTTTAACTTTTGTATGTTTTAAAGTCTGTTGTACATTTTTCTCAGTTTTCTTATCTTTTTCTTAGCTGCTTTGAGGCGTTTTTAAAAAACAACAACCAAGCCATGCATGCACATTATGAAATAAAATAACTGCAATAGATTTAGCAAGCCATCCTCCTCCTTTTTTTGTGCGCTCTCTTTCCGCAGTTCAAACGTTGCTCAACTATGCGTGAAGAGTCAGACAAAATTACAAAAAGAGGGAACCAAAGGAGCCATAATAAGTGATACACAAAAACCTTTCAAGACAAGTGTGTGTGTGTTTGGACCTGGTGACTGCAAGGGATGGGAGACACAACCCCCTTGATGCCTCCCCAGTTTGCCTAGTGATGCCCAGAGGAAACTTTATTTTTGTGGGAATGTTAATAGTATGCTTCCTCACTCACACTAGTGAGTCAGTAGCAGAGTATATTCCCCTGTATATTGCAGGGAGCTAGTTGGTAGAATCGCTTGAATCTCTTTACTTAAGCACTCTAATCTGGCTTCTGCAGATTGGGTTTGTTCCTTTGTTCCCTCTTAAAAAGAATAATGACACAACAGTCTTCTTTAAAAGTAATGATAAGAGGTTTACTCACATTCAGTTCACAGTTGGTTCCCTGAAGGAAGACTTTAGCTTGTAGTTACAGAAGAGAGTTTATCCCATATGGGGACTGAGCCATGTGCTGCTGGCTGAGAGCCAGCAGACAGCAAAAGACATCTAGGTGGAATAAAGCGAAGAAGAAGGGAAGGTGGCTGCGTGACTGCACTTTTATGGGGTCTCCCAGGGTCACACGCAGGGGGAGGATGCTCCAGACCAGGTGGGACAGGCAGTCCTCCTGGCTGGAGTAACATCCCCCTGCATGTCCACTCTGGGCAAACAGGAAGTGTTGTACTTGACTGTTAATGTTACATCCCACAGTTTTCTCTACTGTGTGTCCCTCCACCCTGTCCCATCTTTTGCCCCCCCCCCCGTGCCTGTGTGTGCATCCTTTGCTCACTGACTATCCCTGCGGATATATAATTGGGAGAAATTCACCTCCTGACAGATGATGAGCTTTGCTCACGAGGCTCAGGTGAGAGCTCTTCTTGTTTATTTCTGTTCATGAGCTCAAGGTGGCCCACATGGTTCCGCCCTCTCCTTGTTTAATCCCCACAACAACCTTGCAAGGAGAAGACATGGACTGGCACCCAGGTCAGCCAGTGGGAGCTTCAGGGCTGAGTTGGTGGGTTTGAACCCTCGTCTTTCCCAGATCCCAGTCCGACCCTCTAACCACTGCACCACCGCTGCCTCTCTTCGAGCCTCTTACCCCGGAGTTGGCCAGGCATTCCTGCCTCACTCTTCTTCTCCTCCAGTCCAAGCCAGGATGCCTGGGGTCATGTCAGGTAGCAAGAGGGTCAGAGTGGGGCCACTAAGGAAAAAACCTATACCAACGCTAAGGCTGAGGCTCAAAGAAGAACCAGAGAACTAAAGAACACCTGAAGCTCAAGAGATCCAGCACTTGGCTGACACTCAGGATGCACAGAGTTTCATTAAAGCACAAAGCAGAGCTGTAGCGAGGTGCTCTTGCAACCTTGCCAGAACCACCCAGATTGCGACCCCAGCCACGCACAAATTAGCTCTGTTTTCCACCTCTCTTCACCCCCCCCATTCAATTCTTCACGCACTTCATCTTGTAATGAATTCTTTCACAGAAAATCCAATATTTATTATTTCTTAATAAAAGGTTTCAGCAAAGAAAAGGACAGTTTTATGTGACAGGTTTTTGGTTTTTTTTGTAATTCACTTGTAAAACAATACACAGATAGGCCTAAATGAAACATACAAACAATATCAAAGCAGCTATAGTGGTACCTCAGGTTCAGGTCTGTTCTTAACCTGAAACGGTTCTTAACCTGAGGTGTGCTTTCGCTAATGGGGCCTCCTCCTGCTGCTGCGCTGCTGGTGTGTGATTTCCGTTCTTATCCTGGGTCAAAGCTCTTAACCTGGAGCAACCACTTCCTGAATAGCAGAGTTTGTAACCCGAAGCGTCTGTAACCCGAAGCGTCTGTAACCCGTGGTACCACTGTACTCTATTCCGAACTTATAAATAGAAAGCGTAATGCTGGTGGTCAACAAAAGAGGTTTAAAGACTCTCTCAATGCAAATCTAAAAAAATGTAGTATAAAGACCGACAATTGGGAAACACTGGCCTGCAAGCGCTCCAGTTGGAAAACAGCCTTTGCCAAAGGTGTCCCGGGCTTTGAAGACACTCGAACTCAGGACACAAGGGAGAAACGTGCTAAGAGGAAGGCACGCTCGGCAAATCCACACCGTGATCAACTCCTGCTCAGAAACCAATGTTCCCACTGTGGAAGGACGTGGGGATCCAGAATTGGCCTCCACAGTCACTTACAGGCTCACTGTTAAGGCTTGGAAGACAATCTGTCTCTCTTTTGAGGCTCTTTCCCTGCAGTTGGCTGGGCATTCTTGCCTCACTCTTCTTCTCCAGTCCAAGCCAGGATGCCTGGGGTCATGTTGGGTAGCAAGAGGGTCAGAGTGGGGCAGGCAAGATGTCTCTGGGGGCCTCATGGGGCCCACATCCCCTGAGATGGATCAAGGTTCCCGTGACAAAGGCAGGTTCCTCACACCCCTCGTTCTGCAGAAGAACAGGAAAAGAGCCTGCAGGGGCAGGGTCAGGACTGTGACACATCTAGTCCACCTCCTGGTCTCATGGTGGCTGACCAGAGGCCCCTCGAGGGAAACCTGCAAGCAGGATCCAACCCCTCCTGCGGTCTCAATAGCAACTGGGGCTCAGAAGCACTGTTTCCTCTGATCAGAGGTGGACTTAGTAGTAGTAGTAGTAGTAATAATAATAATAATAATAATAATAATAATTTATTATTTATACCCCGCCCATCTGGCTAGGCTTCCCTAGCCACTCTGGGTGGCTTTCAACAAAGATCAAAACTACATTAGAACATCAGTCATTTAAAACTTCCCTAAACAGGGCTGCCTTCAGGTGTCTTCTAAAAGTCAGATAGTTCTTTATTTCCTTGACGTTTGCTAGGAGGGCGTTCCACAGGGCAGGCGCCACTACTGAGAAGGCCCTCTGCCTGGTTCCCTGTAACCTCACTTCTTGCAGTGGGGGAACCGCCAGAAGGCCCTCAGAGCTGGACCTCCATGTCCAGGCTGAACGATGGGGGTGGAGATGCTCCTTCAGGTATACTGGGCCTTTGGGGCTGTTTAGGGCTTTCAAGGTCAGCACCAACACTTTGAATTGTGCTTGGAAACATCCTGGGAGCCAATGTAGGTCTTTCAAGGTGTTATGTGGTCTCGGCGGCCACTCCCAGTCACCAGTCTGGCTGCCACATTCTAGATTAGTTGTAGTTTCCGGGTCACCTTCAAAGGGAGCCCCACATAGAGCGCATTGCAGTAGTCCAAGCGGGAGATAACCAGAGCATGCACCACTCTGATAAGACAGTTTGCAGGCAGGGAGGGTCTCATCCTGAGTACCAGATGGAGCCGGGAGACGGCTGCCCTGGATAGGGGAGAGCAACTGGTGTGGTTGCTCTGGGAGCCACTCTGGGTGTGTGGTGTCGTTTCTGGTGTGGAGAAGTTCAGCTGAGAGTCACGTCACCACAGAACATTTCCTCTTTTTCAGAGGTCTGTTTTGATGAGGCAGGAGAATCTATATTCTTCTTTTGCTGTTCTGGCAGGAAATGGAGGCTTCACTCTATCCACGCACATGAAGTCACCCAAACTGAAGTCACCCAGGGGGAGAAAAGCCCTGATCTCCCCCCACCAGCCCCCTAGTCCAGCTGCCATCACCACCACCACCATCATTTGACTTGTATGCTGCCTTTCCACAGTTTAAACAACGCTCAAGGCGGCTTACAGTCTGAAAAGATTTACATATTTACGAACATAGCAAAGTACAGTGGTACCTCTGGTTGCAAACAGGATCTGTTCCGGAGGCCCGTTCGCAACATGAAAAGAGCGCAACCCACAGCAGCGTGTCTGCACATGCACGGGTTGTGATTTGCTGCTTCTGCGCATGCACGTGACGTCATTTTGTGCGTCTGCGCATTTGTGAGCGGTGAAACCCGGAAGTAACCCTTTCCGGTACTTCCGAGTCGCCATGGGACGTACCCTGAAAGAACGTAACATGAAGCAAACGTAACATGAGGCATGACTGTAGTCATAAAAATAAAGAAAACACATCAAAGACTACATAACCAAACTGAACAATTTCCACATAAAAATAAAGATACAAAAATTAATATCAAGAAAAGCAACCCCCCCTGACAAAACTTCCCCCCAAATACCCCTTGCTGGGCAGCAGCAGCAGGCCCCCCCCAGGTGGAGAGAGTCCAGCTGTCCTCTTCACATGCAAAAAAGGGGCTGCAGGTGCACACCTGAGAAAGGTGAGGGACCTGGGCAACAGGCTCTGGCGTCCCCTTGGTCAAAAAGAGCCAGGGGTCACCCTTTCCGTGGGAATGTTGTGGATAGTTTTGTTGTTGTTTAGTCATTTAGTCGTGTCCGCCTCTTTGTGCCCCCCTGGACCAGAGCATGCCAGGCACTCCTGTCTTCCACTGCCTCCCGCAGTTTAGTCAGACTCATGCTGGTAGCTTCGAGAACACTGTCCCACCATCTCGTCCTCTGTCGTCCCCTTCTCCTTGTGCCCTCCATCTTTCCCAACATCAGGGTCTTTTCCAGGAGTCTTCTCTTCTCATGAGGTGGCCAAAGTCTTGGAGCCTCAGCTTCAGGATCTGTCCTTCCAGTGAGCACTCAGGGCTGATTTCCTTCAGAATGGAGAGGTTTGATCTTCTTGCAGTCCATGGGACTCTCAAGAGTCTCCTCCAGCACCAGAATTCAAAAGCATCCATTCTTCGGCGATCAGCCTTCTTGATGGTCCAGCTCTCACTTCCATACATCACGACTGGGAAAACCAGAGCTTTGACTATACGGACCTTTGTCGGCAAGGTGATGTCTCTGCTTTTGAAGGTGCTGTCCAGGTTTGTCCCTGCCATCTGGGGACGGTCTTTGAGGACACTCCTGCAGCAGGGCGGTCCGCGGATTCCCCCAAAGGGAAATGCAGGCGATTCTCCCCCGTTGGCCTTTTGGGCTCCCGAAAACAGGCTTCGGGTTGTCCGGGCTGCCTGCCTGGCTCCTTGCCCGCCCCGGCGCATCTCTCCGCCCGTCTCTTGGCTTTGAGCCTCAGGCGCGGTCAAAGGGGGCTCCGTTGGGCAGACCCCCCCTGCACGCGCCCCCAGCCCCACTCTAGCCGTGGGGCTTCACGTGCACAGCGCCCGTCGGGACCGAGCGGAGCCCGCGAGCGAAGCAGCCCCGAAGTCTCCCGAGGAGCCCGGCAGCTGCCCGTGCGCGCGCTCCTCTGCACGGCTTCTCGATCTATGGGTCACGGGAAGCGGGCATGACGCGCGCCGGGAGCGTCGGCGGCTCGTCCCGCGCATGCTCAGCCGCCAGCCTGCCCTCCTCGACTCGCCGAGGCAAGGGAGACGCGTGTAAAGAGAACGTGGGAATGCGGGGATCCGGGCAGGACGGGGGGGGAGAGAAGCGTCCGGGGAAGGGTCTCCAGCCGGTGGGTGGCCAGAGGGAGGGGAGAGGGAGGCCTCGGGGGTTTTCCCGGCTGCGTGTCCGTCGCTTCTCACGAGCCCGCCGCTTCCCGCCCCTTCCAGGCAGCCTTGTTTGGGGAAGCTTTGAATCTTGGGTGAATTACTGTGTTTTAATATGATGCTGGAAGCCGCCCAGAGTGGCTGGGGAAACCCATAAATAATAATATATATAAAAATATGAAACTAAAGTTTGTTGGCCTCTAAGGAGCTGCTGGACATTTTTTAAATTTTTAAAAATATATTTTGACTGCGTCAGACCAACACGGTTACCTACCTGACCTGAGTAGGTCTAACTCTCTTTCAAATCAGAACCAGTGAAGGCGGTGAAGGTCCTGTGTGAGTGTCTGGAGGCGGATGGAGGATGGATGGCAGCCAACAGATTGAGGTTGAATCCTGACAAGACAGAAGGATTGTTTTGGGGGACAGGAGGTGGGCAGGTGTGGAGGATTCCCTGGTCCTGAATGGGGCAACTGTGCCCCTGAAGGACCAGGTGCGCAGCCTGAGAGTCATTTTGGACTCACCGCTGTCCATGGAGGTGCAGGTTAATTCTGTGTCCGGGGCAGCTGTCCACCAGCTCCATCTGGTACGCAGGATGAGACCCTATCTGCCCGCGGACTGTCTGGCCAGAGTGGTGCATGCTCTGGTTATCTCCTGCTTGGACTACTGCAATGCACTCTATGTGGGGCTACCTTTGAAGGTGACCCGGAAACTGCAATTAATCAAGAATGCGGCAGCCAGACTGGTGACTAGGAGCGAGACCCCATAACACCGGTCCTGAGAGATCTGCATTGGCTCCCAGTACATTTCCAAGCACAACTCAAAGTGCTGGTGCTGACCTAGAAAGCCCTAAACGGCCTCAAAGGCCCAGTAGACCTGAAGGAGCGTCTCCACCCCTATCATTCAGCCCAGACCATGACGTCCAGTGCCGAGGGCCTTCTGGAGGTTCCCTCAGTGCGAGAAGTAAGGTTACAGGGAACCAGGCAGAGGGCCTTCTTGGTGGTGGTGCCCGCCCTGTGGAACGCCCTCCCACCAGATGTGAAGTAAATAAGCAGCTATCTTCTCTTTAAAAGACACCTGAAGGCAGCCCTGTTTAGGGATGTTTTTAATACTTAATGCTGTATTGTTTTTAACACTCGATTGGGAGCTGCCAAGAGTGGCTGGGGAGACTCAGCCAGATAGGTGGGGTATAAATAATATTATTATTATTAATAATAAATCTTATCATTATTATTATTCCAGGTTTGTCCTCCCAGGCGCCTGCGAGAGGAGATCCAGGATGTCGTCGGAGCCCCCCCTGGGGCCCTGGGGCTGCCCGGCCCTCCGCACCCGCTTGGAGGAGCTATACCTGCCTCGTGCGAGCGCCGATGAGCGCGCCCAGTTCTGGACCTTCTTCGAGCGGCTTCGGCGGCGCTTCCCCGGTGCGAAGGAGCCCCGGGAAGGAGGCCCCCCGGCTGAGCCCGGCCCCGGGGCGACGACGCCAGGGCCCCCGCGGCCCTACGACCCCCGGCTGCGTGCCAACCTGCGGGCGCCGCGTCGGGAGGTGTCTGGCGTGGCCCCCGAGCGCCTGCGGGAGTTCCGCGCGGCCCTGGCGCACTTCTGGGACTTTGGCCAGAAGCAGAGCTTCTCCCGCCTGGCGCGGCTGCAGCGGGAGCGCGCTGCCCTGCCTATTGCGCACTACCGGGAGCGGCTGCTGGCGGCCGTGGGGAGCGGGCAGGTGGTGGTGGTGGCCGGGGACACGGGCTGCGGCAAGTCCACGCAGGTGCCCCAGTACCTGCTGGCCGCCGGCTACAGCCACGTGGCCTGCACCCAGCCCCGGCGCCTGGCCTGCGTGGCGCTGGCCCAGAGGGTGGCCTACGAGAGCCTCCAGCAGTACGGAGATCAGGTGAGCATAGGAGGTATCTTGCATTTTTAAAATGGATGGATCTTGCTTGCGATGGTCCAGCTGGCGCATTTGGGATCTGTTTTGTTGTTTAGGTGTTTTTCCTTTTTGATCCTCCGTTCCTAGCCTCCTATCACCCCTGGGGGCCACAAGGGGAGCTGTTGGTGCTCCGTTTTCCAAAATTTTTAGTAGCTCTATCCTTTCGTTTTGGAATAGATTTCTTGCTCTAAAAATAAAATTTACCAGGTTATGATCTAGAAACGTGACTCCACCCACATCAGCTTCTCATTAAAGCAAAAAGGCTAATTGGACAGCGTCTGAAGGACTTAGAGCAACAGAACAATCTGGCCATTATAAAGAAATTCTGTCCTTGGTATGCCATTCCCCCCTTCTCAGTTTGATTCCCTGGCACCATATCTGTATAAATTAACTATCCCAAAATACAGACGTGCCTTTGCACTGGCCAGACTGGATGCGATGCCCTCTGCCGTACTTGAGGGCAGATCCCAAAAGATTCCAACTGAGAAACGACTCTGCCCCTGTGGAGATGGCAATCTGGAAACAGTGGCTCGTGTTCTCCTGTCCCCTTTATAAAGATCTGAGGAATGAGATCACCCCCCACTCCTACTCACCATCCCAGGCCGCCCATCTGAAGCCACACGGTTCTTTCTTTTACCAGATCAAAATGGATCAGACAGCAGCAAAGGTTGATCGAGGGTGCAGTGAGATTAAGGGCCACTATCTGAACAATAATCTTGGCCATTGGATTGCCCTTTTTTCCCATTGCTGTCTTTTTATTTGTATATATTTTATTTGTATATATTGCTTGTTTTATGTTGCTGTGGCCATTGGCTAATGTGAATAAAGTTGATCTTATCTTATCCTGAGCATAGGCAGAGTGCCCCTTGCTCTACTGCATCACGTCCAGGGGGTTTCAGGTGGGCTCTTGGAAGAGGGATGGAGGTTAACAGGAAGATTTTAAGGAACTATTAGAAATGACTCTCAAAAGCAGTAGAGATAGGCGATAATCAGCCCCCCCCCGAACTTGAAGCATGGGAAGTCCCAATAAAAAAATTATCATTCGGCAGAATATTTGGATTATTTGATATGCATATGTAGAATTTGGAATATTTAATGTGATTTGATTGGATTGTTAAAATGGAAAAGTTAATAAAAATGATTTATATAAAAAAAGGAAGAGGGCTGGAGCTGGGGAGCGTGAGGACCCAGGAGCATGTGCAGAGTGCCTGCCGTCAGAGGCACCAATGCTTCCAGACTGGTGAGGACAGGGGGCTGGGTGAGATGGACACTGGTCTGATCCAGCCCTGCTCATGGGCTGACGAGGTTGTTGAAACCCGCTTTGCCTGTGGAGCTGGTGCGTCCCTGGGGGTCTTGTGTGTCCCTAGACAAGCCCCTCCCTCCCTCCCTCCTTCTGGCCTTCCTGGGGGCTGACCCCCTCTCCCCCCCCCTTGCAGGTTGGCTACCAGATCCGCTTTGAGAGCACTCGCTCGCCGGCCACGCGGATCGTCTTCCTGACGGAGGGGCTCCTCCTGCGCCAGGCCCAGCGCGACCCCTCCCTGCCCGGCTACCGGGTGCTGATTGCGGACGAGGTCCACGAGCGCCACCTGCACAGCGACTTCCTCCTGGGCGTCCTGCGCAGGATCCTGCCCGCCCGCCCCGACCTCAAGCTGGTGCTCATGTCGGCCACCATCAACATCCGCCTCTTCGCGGACTACTTTGGGGGGGCCCCCGTGGTGCAGGTCCCCGGCCGGCTCTTCCCCATCACGGTGAGGGGGAGCCCGGATGGGAGTGGGGGGTGGGGAGGTTGCGGCTGCTTCGGGGGGGGGGGCGGATCTGTGGCTCATTTGCCTCAGTATCCCTGAAGGAGCGTCTCCACCCCGGGCACCGGGGTCCAGATCCGAGGGCCTTCTTGGTGGTGGCGCCCTCCCATCAAATGTCAAGGAAATAAGCAACTATCTGACTTTTAGAAGACATCTGAAGGCAGCCCTGCTTAGGGAAGTTTTTAAAGTTTGATGTATTTATCATGTTTTTAATATTCTATTGGGAGCCACCCAGAGTGGCTGGGGAAACCCAGCCAGATGGGCGGGGTATAAATATTATCATTATTACAGTCATCCCTTGGGGTACAGATGCTTCAGGTTGTGCGATTTTGGGTTGCACAGCGCGCCGAACCCGGAAGTACCGGAACAGGTTCCTTCGGGTTTTGGTGCTCGCATGTTTACAGAAGCACTAAATTGCGCTTTGCGCATGCGCAAAAGTGCCGAATCGCGACCTGCGCAGACGTGGTGCTGCGGGTTTCGAACGTGCCTCCCGCATGGATCACGTTCACAACCTGAGCGTCCACTGTATGATGATGATGATGATGATGATGGTGATGGTGATGTCTGGGGACCAGGGGCTCTGAACAGGCCCTGCCCCCCCATTGCAAGTAAACCTCTTTTGGGGGGTTCCCTTGCAGGAGACTCTTTAATTCGGGGAGTGATGGGACAGCAAAGGAAGGCAGGAAAAGGCTGTGCAAGGAGAATGTATGGGCCTATTTTCACTCCAGTTTCTTATAAGGCCCATGCAGTGCCAGGGGGTTGGGCTGGATGACCTTGGGTTCCCTTCCAACTGCACAATTCTCAGTTATTCATGTGTGTTGGGGGGGGAGGTTTTGCTCTCTCCTCGAACCCTCGCCCTTTGACTGCCCCTTCCACAACTTCCTAATTTGTGCCCTATCTCCGGAAACCGCCCCTGTGTTTCCCCATCTTCACTTCTGTAACGTTGAGGGCTAGAACCTTGCAGTGTGCGGCAGTGGTTGTGTCGTGGTGAAGAGCGCCGGAGGCCTGGGCTCAGATCCACCCATGTGGGCATGCTGCCTCTCTGGGCGTGATCTACCTGGCAGGGTTGTATTGTGGTGGGGATTCCACGGGGAGGGGAGCGTGCCCCCCCTTGAGCTCCCTGGAGACGGGCTACGAAGGGAAGGAACGGCTGCCCGGCTGGGGAAGGGCCAGGCAGGCCCATCCCGGGCCGGCAGCATCTCACGGCTTGCCTCCTCTCTCCTCCCCCTTGCACAGGTCCTGTACGAGCCCCTCCGCCCCGAGGAGGGCGCTGGCGGGCGCAAGGAGAGGCTGGACCCCCGCCCCTTCCTGCGGGTGCTGCAAGCCATCGACCACAAGTACCCCCCCGAGGAGAGGGGCGACCTTCTTGTCTTCCTCAGTGGGGTGGCCGAGATCGGGGCTGTCGTGGAGGCGGCACAGACCTACGCCACCCACACCCAGCGCTGGGTGGTTCTCCCTCTCCACAGCACCCTGTCCGTGACCGAGCAGGACAAGGTGGGTGGGGCTTCTTTGGGGGGCTGCCCCTCCCAGCCTCCCTGGAAGAGGGGGGGCGTTGGGTGCCTGCCTGGGGGACCCTTTTAAAAAAACCAGATTATCGAGGGCTCTGCCCGCAGGTGCCCCGTCCCGAGGCTCCCTTGGCGCACGTGGGTCGTTCCCCGTGGGCCCTGGAGGTGTGGAATGCCCTCTTGCCTTGCAGGTATTCGACTTGCCCCCCCCAGGAGTCCGGAAGTGCATCGTTTCCACCAACATCGCCGAGACCTCGGTGACCATCGACGGCGTCCGGTTCGTCGTGGACTCGGGTAAGGGGCGGCCGCTTCTGCCCCGGACTCTGGGGGGCAGCTGGTTTGAATGAATTTTTATTTGCATCAGCAATAAAGCAACAATACAGTATACAAAGAATGGAAATACAAAGTCAATTATATAAAATACATTTTGGGGTTTTGAGTCCATAGTCAAATACCATATTTTTCGCTCTATAAGACGCACTTTTCCCCCTCCTAAAAAGTAAGGGGAAATGTGTGCGTCTTATGGAGCGAATGCAGGCTGCGCATCTATCGCTGAAGCCAGAACAGGTTGAAGCTAAATCCTTCGCAGACAGAGGTCCTGTGGCTGGGTCAGGACAATATGGGATGGGGGGGGCAACTCCCATCTCTTGCGGGGGCGCAATCAGTGCCAGCACCGTCCGTTAAGAGTTTGGGTGTAATCTTCAACACCTCCATTTCCATGGAGGCGCAGATTGCAGCTATAACAAAGGCGGCGTTTTTCCATCTCCACCAAGCTAAGCAGTTGGCTCCTTACCTCTCTCGCCCTGACCTAGCCACTGTGATCCATGCAACGGTCACCTCCAAACTGGATTATTGTAATTCGCTCTACGTGGGGCTGCCCTTGAAGCTGACCCAGAAACTCCAGCGGGTGCAGAATGCTGCGGCGAGACTCCTTACGGGGTCTTCGCTGCGAGATCACATTCACCAGCTGCACTGGCTCCAGGTGGAGTACAGGGTCAGGTTTAAGGTGCTGGTTTTAACCTTTAAAGCCCTATACAGCCTAGGACCCTCGTACCTACAGGACCGCCTCTCCTGGTATGCCCCACAGAGGACCTTAAGGTCCACAAATGACAACATTTTGGAGGTCCCAGGTCGCAAGGTGGTTAGATTGGTCTCCACTAGGGCCAGGGCCTTTTCAGCGCTGGCCCCGACTTGGTGGAATGCTCTGTCACAAGAGACTAGGGCCCTGCGGGACTTGACATCTTTCTGCAGGGCCTGCAAGACAGAGCTGTTCCACCAGGCCTTTGGTCAAGGCACAGCCTGACCCATTCCTTTGGTAATTTTTCAGAGAACTCTAGCCCAATGGTTGCCATTAATCTGATTTGAGCTGATTTTATAATGAAATGATTTTAGAATGTTGTATTATTTTACTGTTGTTAGCTGCTCTGAGCCCGGCTTCGGCTGGGGAGGGCGGGATATAAATAAATTATTATTATTATTATTATTATTATTATTATTATTATTATTATTAAAATCTGAGCACCCCTTGATTGTAGCAAAGCTGTTTGCAAAAAGATAAAATAATAAATTTTCAGGAAAAATTCACACTAGTTTAGCGCATACAGAAAGTACTGGAACGGGTTTAAATGCACATCAGCTTCCTACTGTTAAACAGGCTGGCAGGTCAACTGCCCCCCAGTTAATGCGACTTATGGGGCAAGGGGCCCCCTCTTCCTGGTCTCTCTCTGGCAGGGAAGGTGAAGGAGCTGAGCTACGACCCGAAGGCCAAGCTGCAGCGGCTGCAGGAGTTCTGGATCAGCCGCGCCAGTGCCGAGCAGCGCAAGGGCCGGGCGGGCCGGACGGGGCCGGGCGTCTGCTTCCGCCTCTACGCCGAGTCCGACTACGACGCCTTCGCCCCCTACCCCGTGCCAGAGATCCAGCGGGTGGCACTTGACGCCCTCGTTCTGCAGGTGGGCAGAGGCGGGGGGCCCGACCCCTTCGCCCCAGGGGCTGGGACCCACTTTTGCTTAAAATCTTTTTCTAAATTAAATTTCACGTTACAGATTTAAATTAACAACATCCATTAGGATCATTTGACTCCCCTTCGCCCTTCCATGCTTACCATTCTCCATCTTATTTTTCTCAAATAATCCATTTTTACCTTCATTTTTAGTGCCTTACAAGCGTTACTCAAATCCTGCCAAAGTTTCCAGTTTTAAATGGGCAGCTGCCTGTCAGGGATTCCTGCATTGCACGGGGGTGGACTAGAGGACCCTCTGGGGTCCCTCCCGCCTCTACAATTCTGCAACATCAAAGAGGGACCCCTTCAATGGAGGGTTTTTGAGCAGAGGTCGGGCGGTCGTCGATTCTTTAGCTGAGATTCCGGCAGTATTTTGGGGTTGGACTAGAAGACCTTCAGGGGTCCCTTCCATCTCTTCAATTCTTTGATTTCAGTGATGGCATTTGTGGGTGAAATGGCTGTTCTGACCAGGGCTGGATTGAGGTTTGATGCGGCCCTCAGCTCCTGAAGGCAATGGGGCCCTTTCTATGTCCAGCTGGCCTTTGTCGACAGCAAATCATCACTGTTTTTCTGTTGAATATATGCTAGATGGTCATTTATGGACTTCATAGGTATCTCAATCCGTTTGCCCATGTTGCCCTGCAACCAGTCCATGCAGATTGTGGGCACCCTATATATAGAAAGAAGCAAAGCAGGGATATTTGAGGGAGCAGACGAGCAGGCGGGGCCCAGGACTTACATCATAGGAGCTGACACAATACACTGTTGCTGGATGTAGGTTTTATTTGATTCGTTTTTTATACGATAATCTTTATTGTCATTGTCCCATACAGAACAACAAAATTGAAAAAATGTACATCAAACATTCAGAAACCAACAAGCCTGCTATCCCAGCCTGATTAACCCCCTAAAAACTCTGATACCCCATAATTAAATACAATATACTCCCATAGAGACTCCTTACATTGCGTTTAAAACCAAAATCGCATTTGGATTTTAAAACCAAAATCGCTTAGTATCTTATATTTTGGAAAAGTACATCCAGTTTTTTCCCCTTAAATTTTTTTGGGGGCCCCCAAGAGAGTGAGGCCCTAAGCTAGAGCTTATTTAGCTGATACCTAAATCTGGCCATGGGTCTGACACATAGCGAGTGGGAAGGCAGGCGACATTCCCCATAGCTGGTAGAGCGAGAGACTTCTTCTCAGGGTCGTGGATTCGAGTCTCCCGTCAGGTGGAAGATTGCAGCGGGTTGGGCTGGATGGCCCTCGAGTTCCCCCCCTCCCAGCTCAACAATTCTGTGATTCTTTGTCGGAGAGGAGGGGCTGCGTCCTGCTGCTGGGGGGGGAGGGAGGGATTTGGCATTGGGGGACGGTGGAGGAAGCCTCCCTCCTGGGCTCTGTTGCCCCCCCAGATGAAGAGCATGGGGCTGGGCGACCCCCGCGCCTTCCCCTTCCTGGAGCCCCCCCCGCCAGCCAGCCTGGAGACGGCCATCCGCTACCTGAAGCAGCAGGGGGCCCTGGACCCAGAGGAGAACCTCACGCCCATCGGGAGCCTGCTGGCCCAGCTGCCGGTCGACGTGGTGATTGGTGAGTCCGGGAAGGGGGGGCCGCATGGACTGGGGAGGGCGTCTGTGCCAGTCACCCACAGGAGCCTCTGCCGGATGCCCAGCTCTTTTGATTTTGCTTTGGGTTTATGTGCTGTGGCGTTTCGGAGTGAGCATGTACAGAGTGCCTTGGGGAGACTGCCCGGGGGGGGGGGCTGAAAGCGGGGGCATCTCTCCCCCTCCCCATGCCAGGAATCTTATTCTGGGTGAGAGCCGGTGGTGTGGTTAGAGGGTTAGGCGGAGATCAGGGGAGACCAGAGTTCGATTCCTCCCACTCGGCCATGAACTTCTTATTTTATTTTATTTTATTTTATTTATTATACAACATTTAAAATACACTTAAACAAGACAATATATGCAAAACATACATTACATACATTACCGTAATACATACCTAACGTAGACACACCTTACACATTTGACTTCCCACTCTTTGCAATGTGCTATTTTACCTCTTATTGTCCTATACACATTTCATTTTAATTCTTCTTCTTTTACAAATCCTTTTTCCCCCTAACCAGATTTTGCTATGCATTTGCTCTATTTTTTAGATTCATTCTATATCTGTCAGGAGATTTACCTTATCCGTATAATTTTTAAGATATTCCTTAAATATTATATTATATTATACTTTTCAAGTTTATACATTTCACTAATTTTACACATTTCACTAGTTACTGGCCACGAGCTTCTTACTGGGTGCCCTGGGGGGGGCATTCAGGGGGCATTCACTGCCTCTCCTCCTGGCCTGCCTTCCAGGGCTGCTGTTGTGGGGATTAAGTGAGGAACGTTGGAGGAGGCGCTTCCTGGGGGGGCGAAGGGGCTCCTGCTCTCTGGCTGAGACCCCCCCCCGTTTGTCTGCAGGGAAGATGCTGGTTCTGGGGACCCTCTTTGGCCTGGCGGCCCCCACCCTGTCGGTCGCGGCTGCGCTCAGCGTCCCCTCCCCCTTCCTGCGCAGCAGCAGCGGGCGCAGCGACCCGGACTGCGCCACGGCCCGCCGGCCCCTGGAGAGCCCCCTGGGAGACCCCCTGACGCTGCTCAACGTCTTTGACGCCTGGGTGCAGGTGGGTGAGGAACGCTCTCTCTCTGCCTGATCTGGTAAGGCCTTCTCTTCTGATGGAGCCTGCAGCTCCAGGGGCAGTCTATCTGGAGTCCTGGGTTTGGGGGGGGCATTTGGCCAAGGGGAGAAGAGGATTCTGGACTGGATGGTCCCCCTTGGGCCTGAGGAAGAAAGGGTCTCTTCCTGGGTTGGTTATTTTGTTTTGTATAATTTTTACTAAATTTTCTGTTTTGCGTTTCAGAATATTCATTTAAACAACCTTAAAATATCAATGACTTCCCTTCTTCACTTTCCATGGTTCATTTTGCATATCCTAAATCCCTGCGTATTTTACATAAACAAAAACCATTCAGTATTCCATTATAACATCCATCAAAACTTATTTACGCTGTTGGATTTATCTTAATGCCTCCCACGTTTGCAAACGTACATAATTCCCCCCATATATTCAACAAACATCTTCCAATCTTTTTAAACATAAGTTCTTCTTGCTCTCTTATTTTATATGTCAAATCTTCATATTCTGTCCACTTAAGTTGCCAATCCTCTTTAATCGGGACCTTGCTCGTTTTCCATTTTTTCGGCTAACGAAACACGGACCGCAGTAGCGGCATACATAAATAACCTTTTTTGACACCTGGGAATTTCAGTCTGAATTACCCCCAACGAAAAGAACCGGGGCTCTTCCTGAGTTTCTCCCTTCTGGCCTTTGTCCCTGCGCTCGTCTGTCTCGGTCCGTCCTGACGGAGTCGAATCTCCTTGTTGTCCTGCAGGAGAAATCGGAGAATCGGAGCGGATCCCGCCGCTGGTGCCGCCGACGGGGCCTGGAGGAGCACCGACTCTATGAAGCCGCCAACTTGCGGCGCCAGTTCCAGGTGGGTGTGAATCTGGGAGAGGGGAGGACAAGGGGTTGGTCTACGTGGCCCCTGGGGTGCCCCTTCCGAGCGCACAATCCCTCTGTGTCCAGGGCAGCTGTCTGCCAGCTTCATCTGGTGCGCAGGATAAGACCCTCCCTGCCCGCAGACTGTCTCGCCAGAGTGGTGCATGGTCTGGGCCGATTTGTGGCTTGGGCCGATTCACGGTCCCACAGACGCTGCGGTGGGCTGGAGTGTTCACATGCATGCGCAAATGCTATTTCTGGTGCAGAGGAGGCGTGCGCCGGCCAGTGTCATGGAAGGCGGTCCCTGCTCTGCGACTGAGCGGGCGGCAGGGGTCCATGGCACTAAATGGCCTTAGTGCAGTAGACCTGAAGGAGCGTCTCCACCCCCATCGTTCTCCCGGACACTGAGGTCCAGCTCCGAGGGCCTTCTGGTGGTTCCCTCCCTGCGAGAAGCCAAGTTACAGGGAAGCAGGCAGAGGGCCTTCTCGGTGGTGGCACCCGCCCTGTGGAACGCCCTCCCATCAGATGTCAAGGAAATAAATCTGACTTTTAGAAGCCCCTAAATAATAAACAACGCGGGTGGCGCTGTGGGTTAAACCACAGAGCCTAGGACTTGCCGATCAGAAGGTCGGCGGTTCGAATCCCCGTGAGGGGGTGAGCTCCTGTTGCAGCTCCTAGCAGTTCGAAAGCATGTCAAAGTGCAAGTAGATCAATAGGTACCACTCCAGCAGAAAGGTAAATGGTGTTTCCGTGTGCTGCTCTGGTTCGCCAGAAGCGGCTTAGTCCTGCTGGCCACATGACCCGGAACCTGTATGCCGGCTCCTTCGGCCAATAAAGCGAGATGAGTGCCGCAACCCCAGAGTCGGCCACGACTGGACCTAACAGTCAGGGGTCCCTTTACCTTTACTAAATAATAATAATAATAGTAATAATAATAATAATTTTTGCTATTCTCTGCCAGGAGCTGCTGCGGGACCACCAGCTGCTGGAGCCCCCCTCCCGGCCCAGCGACACCCACGCCCGCCAGAGCCGCCACCGCAAGCGCCGGGAGCTGCAGCGGATCAAGAGGGAGCACGATCGGGGGGAGGGGCGGCGGAGGAAGGTGCTGCGTCTGGAGGAAGAGGGGGGCAGCTCTTCCTCGGAAGGGGAAGGGGACCCCCAGCGTGGCGTCGACATCCAGGTGAGGGGTCCGGACGGGGCCCTTCCCCTCAGGGGCCCGGCTGCCGGGCTCTTCCTCTGTTCCCATGAAGCCTCCCAGTGTAGCGTTCCCAAAGCAAGGAAGGATTGGACTCTGATGAATAGAATACACACCAGGCTTGACCAGCAAGATTCTGGGAGGAGTGTCAATAATAATAATTCCTCCCCACCCCTCGGCCCAGGTCGTTTTATTCGCAAAAGAACTTTTGACACAGTGTTCGTAAGAACCAATCCGATATCCTCTGAGCATTGCAAAAACCTCACATGGGACAAAGTCAGATCAGGAGAAATCCTGTTAACTACAAAGACTACTCTGAGCGTGCAGACATAGCTGAGAGAGAATAAAACAGGACTAGAGGAATGCATTCAGCAAACCCAGAGGTCATAAACAGCAATAAACAAGAGAGGAAGGATGGGTAGAATTTACCTTCTCTTTGTGAACTCTCTTCCTGGCCCTAAGATCTATCTAAAGATTAACAAACCTCATCAAAGTAACCTATTCACGTTATGGCCTGGGATGCCTGGGGCCGCAACCGGCAACCGGTCTGTGTCCTAGAATGCTTATATGTGCTTGTCAGAGATGGAGAAATGGGCAGCAGAGAAAAATGGCAGAGATGGAGAGGCTTGTGGGGTTTGATCAGAAATTATTGCCAATGAATCAAACCCAGTCAATGCCATGCTTTCATCGCCGAAACAACGGCTTGAGGCATAGCTCACCGTATTTTTCGCTCCATAAGACGCACCTAGTTTTTAGAGGAGGAAAACAAGAAAAAAAATATTCTGAAAGAAACAGTGGATGTATGATTTTTGTGGTTCATGCTGTGGCCACAGACATGTGATTTGACGGTGGGTTTGGGGTAGCCCAATGCAAAAATCCTGAGAATCCATGTGGATCCGTGCTTTGTAACCACGTTTTTGCACCATTGCGGCCCCACAAAACAGTGGGTGTGTGGTTTTTTTGGTGCAGGCTGTAGCCATGGACATGCTATGTGATCTGATGGTGAGTTTGGGGTGACCCAATGCAAAAATCCTGAGGATCCATGGGCTTTTACCTCCCCATCCCAGGCAGCCTCCTTTATCTCTAGCGTCCCTGATCTCCTTCCCGATCCATTACCGATCAGCTGCTTCCTTTCAACACTCCCTTCCGTCTTGTTTGCCTTAGTGTCTTTTCCTTAACTGGAGCAGTTTTTTGCTCCTCCTTTTCTTCCAATTTCTCTCCTTATTCCTTTAGTCTTCCTGTTTCCCCCCTTTGTAAGTTTGCTGTCTTTACCTCCCCCCTCCCAGGCAGCCTCCTTTATCTCTAGCATCCCTTATCTCTCTCCCGATCGGCAAACGATCAGCGGCTTTGTTTCAATACCCACTTCCCTCTTTAAAAATAAAAAGCATGATCTGCTTTTCGCCCCTGGGCAATTTGGCTCCAGGGACCATGCATTCGCTCCATAAGACGCACAGACATTTCCCCTTACTTTTTTAGGAAGAAAAAAGTGCATCTTATGGAGCGAAAAATATGGTATAATTCCTCATAGTAATCCCATCTGATCACTACAGCCCAGTCCAGAGGCAGCCTACCTCGGTCCCTAGGTCCGTGGGGATCTCTTCCCGCACCTCGGCCCCCCTGATCCTCCTGCTTCCCCCCCCAACAGGACGTCAAGTTCCAGCTGCGCCACGATGTGGCCGAGCTGCGTGCGGCCTCTTCTGTGGGGCAGGCCCTGTCGCCCGGCCGGCTGGCCCTCCTGCAGCTGGTCTTGGGGCGCGGCCTCTACCCGCAGCTGGCCGTGCCGGACCCCTTCAACCAGACCCGCAAGGACTCTGACCAGGCGAGTGCCAGGGCCCCCAGTGGGTGGGGGGAGCTGGGAGGGTGCTGGGCCAGGAGGGGCCTCAGGAAGCAGCCCCCCACCCTCTGTCTGCGTGTGGGCGCCTTGCCCCCTGCCCCCACGCTGAGCCCCCCTCCTTTTTGCTCCCCAGATCTTCCACACCAGGGAGAAGGTGGGGGTCGTTCTCCACCCCACCAGCGTCTTTTCTGCCTCCCCAGAGCTGCTGCAACCAGCACAGGAAAGGGGTCTGGAACGTGGGGGGCAGAGAGGTAAGAGGGGTCCCCCTGCCGCCCCCCCTCCAGGCATCGGGGGCTCTCAGCATCTTGGGCTCCTGCATCCTGGGCCAGGGGAGACACTTGGGGGGCAGAGTGGGGCGGGGCATGATCCTGTACTGGGTGGGAATGAGCAAACTCAGCCGTGGGGAAAAGTTGGAGCCAGGGCTGCGAGTGCGAGTTTGATTGAAGCGGGAATTGAAGTGGGTGGCCGATTCCTGGAGGTTTTTAAGGAGGTCTGTGTCCCTTCCAGCTCTGCAGTTTTTAAGCAGAGGCAGGGGGCCCACCTGCCATGGATGCAAAGCAGGGGGTTGAGCTGGATGCCCCCTTGGGGTCCCTTCCAGCCCCACGGCGATGCTGTTCTGAGCGCCTGCTCTGTCGGACCCATCTAGCTCAGCCTCCAGTCTGGGGGAATGTTGTGGATAGTAGGAGAGGATCTATTGATTAAATATTATCCTTCTTCACTCACGCTGGTGAGTCAGTAGCAGAGTACATCCCCCAGTATATAGCAGGAAACTAGGTGGTAGATTCATTTGAATCTCTTGAGTTACGCCAGGCATAGGCAAACTCAGCCCTCCAGCTGTTTTGGGACTACAACTCCCATCATCCCTAGCTAACAGGACCAGTGGTCAGGGATGATGGGAGGTGTAGTCCCAAAACATCTGGAGGGACGAGTTTGCCTATGCCTGGAGTTAAGCATTCCAGTCTGGCTTTGTCCAGATTGGGTTTTGTTCCTGGTAAATTTCCTTTTTATCCCTCCTAACAAGAATAAACACACAACAATCTTCTTTAATAGTAATGATAAGCAGTTTACTCACATTCAGTTCACAGTTGGTTCCCTGGAGGAAGACTTTAGCTTGTAGTTACAGAAGAGAGTTCATCCCATATGGGGATGGAGCCATGTGTTGCTGGCTGAGAGCCAGCAGACAGCAAAAGACATCTAGGTGGAATAAAGCGAAGAAGAAGGGAAGGTGGCTGCATGACCAGCCCTGTTGTGGGGTCTTACAGCCCATCTAGTCCAGCACCCTGTTCTCACCTTGTGGTCAAATACCCACAAGAACCTAGGAAGTGAGGTAGACTGCCTCTGGACATGGAAGCTCCATGAGAACGTGAAAGGAGCTTGCTGGGGCTGAGCGTGGGGCAGCCTGTGAACCTCTCCTTCCCTCTTTCCAGATGCCAAGGAGGGTCTGAGCAGCCACCACCAGATCCTGGCCTTCGTCTCGCTGCTGGAGACAAACAAGCCCTACCTGGTCAACTGCCTCCGTCTGCCAGCTCTTCAGGTGAACGTCCCCCCTGAGTGAGGGGACCCAGGCGTCCTGGCCCTCCCCTCCCCTCAAACACCCGGGCAGCTCTTTGGCAGAGCTCTGGTGGCTGTCTGCTGAGGATGCCACAGCTGTGACTCCTGCCTCGCAGGGGGTGGGGCTGGATGACCCCTGGGTGTCCCCTGCAATCCTGTCTCCCCCTGCCGCGCAGGCGCTGCTGCTCTTGGCCCGCTCCCTGGACACGAACGGCGACTGCACCCGCCTCGTGGCCGACTCCTGGCTGGAGCTGCGGGTTCCCTCCCCGGAAGCGGCCCTCCGCCTGCTGCGTGCGGCCCTCCGCCTCCGGGCTTCCTGGGAGAAGGTCCTGGACCGGCAGCTGGAGAGCCGAGGGGCTCGGGGGGAGGAGGCTGAGGAGGGGCGGCCCAGCGCCCGGCAGGTGCGCCAACTCACCCAGGAGCTGCTGGACTTCCTGAAGGCCGAGGTGCGTTTGCTGGCCCTGCGGGGCGGGCAGAAGCGGGTGGGGGCCGGCTGGGCCGGGGGGCATGTCTGTGGCTCCTGGCTTCCATGCAGGAGGCCCCAAGTGGCTGGAGACCGCAGGAGGGGAGGTCGGATCCTGCTTCCGGGCATCTCCCTAGAGACCCCAGGTGCAGCAGCTGGGCTTCCAGATCCAGAAGTGGAGGGCCTTCTTGGTGGTGGCGCCCGCCCTGTGGAACGTCCTCCCACCAGATGTCAAGGAAATAAATCTGACTTTTAGAAGACATCTGAAGGCAGCCCTCTTTAAGGAAGTTTTTAATGTTTGATGCTTTATTGTATTTTTAATATTCTGTTGGGAGCTGCCCAGAGTGGCTGGGGAAGCCCAGCCAGATGGACGGGGTAAAAATAATGAAACAATGAAATGATGATGATGATGATGATGATGATGTCACCCATTCTCTGATTCCCTGGCCAGTGAGAAGTTCCAGGGTCAGGGCGATGGAGCGTGGATTTGGTCTCCTTTGGAGGAGACAGCACTGGAAATTTAACCCTGCCATCGTTTGATGCTTAATTGTCTTTTTAATATTTTGTTGGGAGTCGCCCAGAGTGGAAACCCAGCCGGATGGGTGGGAAATCAACTAACTAACTAACTAACAATAATGATTCCTCTGCTGCCCCCCCAGGTGCCCCACAGCCTGCGGCGCCTGATGCCCCTGGAGCAGCAGAACCTCTACGTGGGTCCTCAGGCGGCCTCTGTGGGAGGGGAGGTGCCCCCCGGCCTCTTCCAGGGGGTGGAGGTGGCCCCCGACAAGGAGAAGGGCGGCTGCAGAGTGGGCAGCTTCTTGACGTTCAACTGCCTGGCGGTGAGTTCAGGGGAGTGGGGAGGGGGCACCCAGAGGCCACGTAGCCCAACCTTCTGCGGCGCAGGAGCGCTCTTTGTCCTCTGGGGGTGGAGGGGGGGGCAGGCGAGGGGGCAGGCCGGAGCCTGGCTGTGGGGCGCGGAGCCTGCCCCTCCCTTGCCGGGGGGTGGGGTGGCGCCAACCCCTCTTGGCCCCTCCGTCTCCCGCAGGGCACAGAGGGCGACCTGTACAGCGACTGCCTGCGCAGCTTCTGGACCTGCCCTCGCTGCGGCCTCTACATGCCCTTCACCCCCATGGAGCGCCTGGCTCACGAGGAGGCCTGCCAGGCCCCAGGCCAAGAGGGGGAGCAGCCCAGCCGGGAAGGTGAGCCCCATGGGGGGAGCAGGGGGAGGTCGCTGGGACTTTGCAGTTTGGGGGCTTGCGGGGGGGTCTTTCTGGGGGGCTGGGAGGGACTTTGTTCTCTAATAATAATAATAATTTTTATTTACACCCCGCCCTTCCTGGTTCAAAAACCGGGCTCAGGGCGGCTAACAACAAATTTAAAACACTTACCGTATTTTTCGCTCTATAAGACGCACTTTGTCCCTCCTAAAAAGTAAGGGGAAATGTGTGTGCGTCTTTTGGAGCGAATGCAGGCTGCGCAGCTATCCCAGAAGCCAGAACAGCAAGAGGGATTGCTGCTTTCACTGCGCAGCGATCCCTCTTGCTGTTCTGGCTTCTGGGATGTGGCATATTTTTTTCCTTGTTTTCCTCCTCCAGAAACTAGGCGCGTCTTGTGGGCTGGTGCGTCTGATAGGGAGAAAAAATGCTGTAATTATAAAAGCAGCATAAAATACAGTATAAAACATGAATAACAATAAAATTCAAAATTCAAAAATCAGTTTAGGGGAAATAAGCATTAGATAATCGCCAGGGCTAGCTGGCTGAATTGGTCCTGCTTGGGCCAGCGAGGAGGCCAGGGGAGAATTAGCTGTGGGGTCTCAGAGTGGGTGAGGGAAGGGAAGGGAAATCAAAGACCAGGTTCTCTGCGAGAGAAGAGCTCCGGTTCTTCGTCCCGCGAGAATTTTCACAGCGCGGTTTGCAGAGAGGGTGAAAGGACCGCCAGAGACGACTCTTGGAAACATTCAAAATCAAGAATAAACCAAAAGCAGATCAGGATGTGAAGCCGCACTTGACACGCCTGCGGCGCCTTGTCTGAGCCGGGAGGTTTTGGGGCAGTGCTGCGAAAAGGCCTCCCTGATTTCAAGAGGCAGGGAGTTCCGCAGTGCAGGCACTGCCCCGCTCAATCATGGCGCTTTTACAAATGCAGAGCAGGAATCACGAGGCACCAGGCGCTGGATCGAAGCGGAGGAGGGGGGATAAATATCTGGTGGGAGGCGACCTTGCAGGCAAACTGGTCCCAGGTTGTGAAGGGCTTTATATACCAACGGCGACACCTTGAACCCGGGCCGGGTGGCAAAGGGGCAACCAGCACAGATCCCTGAAGTGCTGGCAAGGCCTCCCTCCCGTCAGCAATCTCGCTGCAGCATTCTGCACCAGCTGCAGCCTCCAGACCCGGAGCAAGGGGAGCCCCCCGCTGCACGTTTTGGGGCGCTGTGTTTTGTGTGAGTTTTCACAAGTTTCTTGCTCCTCCCCAGAAGAGGAAACGGAGACCCCATCCGGCACCTCTGCCCTGCAGCGCCCGTACCACTGCCCCGCCTGCCAGCAGAGCCTCCTCCTCACGCCCACCGAGATCCTGCGCCACCGGAAGCAGCACCAGGCGCCCCCCTGACAACAGCGCCACTGGCG